ATATCTGTGGCTTATCATGCCGGAGCTCGCCGTACGGAAGAATGGAAATATGGTAAGAGAGCCTTGCACGGCCACACTGTTGCTGCAGCCCCCAATCAATGTAGGGGTCCCTCAATGTAGCGCTTAATCGATAGGTGACGGCGACAGACCAGCGTCACATCGCAGTTGGCTGCCAGCTGACCCTGCATCCCCCATCCCGGCCGTGGCCGGTTTCGACCCGTCGAGCTTAGCTTGGCCGCTTTTCCAGACCCGCCCGGCCATCTATGGAGGCCGGGAGAGAGGGAGATCAGACGAAGAACAATTCGACGAGCACCAAGGCTTCTTTGTCATGGAGCTCATTTTTACACTTTCAAGCCCGGTTGAACACCCGGTGGACAAGCTCGATTGCCTCTGAGACGGGGTTCCCGAAACCCCATTGCCCCATTGTTGGACTGTCATCACAGCCCCGTGGCCGCCCTCCGTGGTCGCATCAGCGGTGACGGTCAATTCCCGCCATCCAAAGCACACTCTCCCGACACATGTGACCTCTGCCAGCATGTCCATCTGAGATAGGAGTCATCTGGTCTGCGGCCTCCAACGCGTAAAGCTGATTTCTAATAGTATCAATGGGTCGCTTGAAATTCTCTCGTAGAATCGCTGACCATGTTTCCAGCGCCGCGAAACTGCATCGAGAGCTCGATAGAATTGCTGACCGGCAGACGCATTCATTGCCTTCTGGTTTACTGATTCACATGGTAATTCCGTCTTTGGCCTCGACACTTTCAGCCTGGGACGGAGGTCAAGGTCTCCGTTCTGCCTACATTCCTGACGCATAGGCGGTCGCGAGACTTTCGACGGCTAGGCTCGCGTGACACTACATGGCCCGGTGCCGAGCGTCGGTGCCGATACAGTGACGAGTGGTGATACTTCCCGTAAGGGGGTCTCACTGGAAGGCATGCCGTACTTGAACTTGTGCAGATCTCACCTGAACCCACAGCATCCTTCTGTGACACAAGGCCTGGAAGGACAATCGAGTGCTAGAGGTTACCTCGTTCTCGATGCACGCCGCAAATTTACGATCCATGGCTCACGAATATCCACGGTTTCATCCAGACGATCAACGTCGCCTTGGAACCAGCTTGTTCCTCCTCTCATGGCAAAATATGTTTATGCTGCAGCTAGCCGAGTCTGTTGTACCTGATTAAGTGTCGATGCTTCAACCAATACCGGATCCAGCCAGCTCTCAGCCGTCCCAGGATTATTGACGTGGGAGCCGATTAATCTGTCTACATGTATTTTGAAGGCTGGCGCTTTCCCGGCGAGTGAAAAGCCCGCAAGCGATTTATCCCTCGTTCGCGCAACCTCAAACGTGCTGGGAGTCTCACATCAGCCATCAGGAGTTACGGCGTACCGGTATCTTCTTTTTAGAGTTAATTCCCCCACAGACGCTACTGCATATCAGACGCCCATGATGACGATAGACGCCTCACGGCTGTCGCGGGGAGATCAAGCCTCTACACGGGAGAGGCGTCGTTTTCATGGTCGTGCCGAGTCCGTGAGACCGGTGAAGCATATGGGGGCCGAAAGCACATGTCTCGGTACTAGTACTCCGGATCTCTCCACACCACATGGCATGGCACGTCGTGCTTGTACCACGCTTTACGCCCCATCTCTGCCGTCCAGGGTCACATGGCGGACGATATTTGACACGTACACATTTGTTTAGGCGGGGAAACATAATAATAGTAGGGCTGGTGCACACGACGACCCAGTTCACGAACGTATCGGGGTAGGATATTCGAGCGGTCAGCAGCGTGGACGGCAGACGCTCCAAAACCCGCTCATCTACTGCGGCCAAAAAACCCTTCTCCGCGGCGGCTTGTCAGGAGGGTAGCATTGCAGCAAGAGAGTGGGAACTCGCAGCCCAACGTCGACCTGGCGAACCATTCCTCCTTGTGCGACCCAAATGACAAGGCGACCAATTGCGACAACGGACGACGCCGATTCAACCCCCAAGCGACATGGGTCCCATTCAGCCTGCAAGCATGCTCATATTGCTTCGATGCCGCAGCGTGGTGTGATGGATTGTGATGCCATGTTGTGTAATGGTGCCGGTCTGTGGCAATACGACTCTAGACGCGGTGGGCGCGTTTGAGCTAGAAAACGTCGACGACTATCTAGCCAGAAACCAGCTGTCCTCCACGCCTCTGCCTTACATGTCTCGAGCCTACCGCAACCGCCTGCAGTCCTGCCCCCCGCCTGCCTCTCTCACTTCACCACCACAACGCCGACGTGCCATCCTAGTCTACCCTCTGAACTTCGTGGGAGCATGAGTGTCTGCCAGCCGAAGCTCGTTCAATCCGTTGCTGCAGCACATAGCACTATGAAACACGATGGACCAGAACCAAGACCATCAAGCACTGCACACCCACACTACACGTACTACTCATCGATCGACATCATCATTGTGGAGTTACAAGGCGACAGGATAGCCTCAAAGGAGGTGCTCGATTGCAACCCACTCTCCCAAGCGACTGCTCCTGCTACGTCGCTCATGACATCGATTATTAATCGGCGAATAGAGCTCGCGAGATTGGGTAGGTGAGAAGGTGAGCCCAACTCAGTCAGGGGAAGAGGTTTATTGCTACGGTACCATGATTACTTCACAACCTGCCTGAAGTATCATCATCGTCCAGCTCAATACTACCCCTATGTCAGTCCCTGACCCTTCTTCTCCTCCCTGACTGACGGTGTACCTATACCACTTACTGGATATCGTGTGTCCTAATCGCGAGCTGAGCTGGCCTATCTCAACTTTCATTCGCTCATCCGCTGAGCTTCTGCATCGCCGTAGACGGCGGACGTAACAGACATGTCCGAGCACGGCGGCTGTAAGTCAGTTCTAGATTTGGAATCGACGTTGATTCTGGCGCATATGATGACACGCGCCGTGCTGCCGAGCCGCAGACCGGCAGCAGGACCACCTGGCGGTGAGGAAGTACTCGGGTCCGAAACGGCCTCCCAGGTACCTAGGTAAGTAGGAGGTAGGTAGAGAAAAGCTGAGCCCCAGATCGACGAAACGAAGAACCGAAACCGAAATCAAGATTGACGTTGAGAAGAACCACATGTGGATCAGGGGCCGGCTGCCGGACGAACTAGAGAACAAGAGAAGGAGGAGGAGCTTGTTCCTGGTCCCAACAACTACCAACTGCCGCAGTAAACTGGGGGGTTGCAACAGGGCTGAGAGAGATCAACACTACTCCACCCGCAGCCTACCTCATGGTACCTGGGCTAGATGTAACTATCATGCGTAGGACTTTCCACTACCCCAGCAGCAAGCAGCAGCAGCATCGGACCTGGACCGAACGGGAAAAGGGAAGGGAACCCTACCACGTTGGGACATCGTCGATGGGCCAAATACTCACTTACTTACCTACTGAGTTACATACCTACATCACTCCCGATCCTTCATGTACGGGACATATCGAAGGATCGATCCACTTGCCATGCTTCATCGATGCATATGTACCATGCACAGGTCTTCCCACGATCACATTTAGAGACTCACTCAGATAAATAGATATATGTACCGTACATAACATTACATGCACAGAGGTACGTACGTAGACCAAGTCGCATGTTCGGCATGATTCCTAATCCTGCACACATGGCATCGACTCTTCCCACGTGTGTTTCCCCGAGCCCGGCGGCCCATCCATCCAGCCGCCCATCCAGCCATCCAGCCATCCAGCCATGCACTTACCACCTACCTACCTACCTATCTCTCCTCTTTCCAAGACGACAATACAACCCTCCGATGAATGCCATTGATGACAGAACAGGAGAAAATAAACGAAATTCATGTCAGCCATGGACCATCGTCAAACACCATCAAGCACCACTCTCCTCCTCTCCCACTCTCTCCCACTCTCTCCCACCCACACATATAAAAACCCCCCACCCCAGCCAAGATCCGCGCGTGTGCCGAATCCTATGTGACGAACACGCGTGGTGGATAGCTCCTATGTGACGGATAAAAACGCCCAACCAAGGCACAGCAAGACATTGGATTGCGGACCATCGATGAGAGATCCATCTGCTCCTACGTGACGAACACGCTCTCTCTGCACGCGTGGTGGATAGATCCTATGTGACGGATGAACACCAAGCCCGTCAAAGGCACAGCATGAAATTGTGGTTTCACCATCGATTTGAGATCCACCATTTGCCAGTCTTACCGGGCTGATCGGCGGTAACGTAGGCAAGGGGGAGGCAGAAATAGAACAATGGGTGGATAGGTGGTGCGACATCTGTCCCGCTAGAGCCTACCTACCTGCTTTACACGTGGGCGTAACGTGGCAACAGCCGCGTGTGTCCAACGTGATTCCTGGCTATGTACGTACATACCCCTGAGAGAATGGATCTGTCTGTTGGTAGGTACGCCTGCTCACATTACGTCGTTCATAATTAAACTGCCACGTGGGTGCGAGTGCGTGTGTTCCGCTGAGAACTCCGGAAGAGTACACGGTGCTGCGGAAGAGACTTGAGGGTATTCCGTATCTTCCGCCTTCGAATTGAACAATGAACTGACTATGGTACGGGGAGCTATTGAACATTAACGCAACGTCGCAGATATATATATATATGTATATATCACCAGATGCAAGCCACCCTCGTAAGAGATGCCCGAGCTCCCAATGCATGCAATCGTGAACTCCTCTGACAAACAAAACGTAGACAACAGAGAAGGACCATGCGAAAGGGGTATTAAGGCATTCCAGCCAAATCAGCTTCTCTCACTCTTCTACCCGCGAGCTCCTCTCGGGAGAGCCTGAGACTCCCGCTCCGGGTGGCTGGCGAATTGAACAATCTTCCCTCGTACCCACCATTGTGTTGCAAGACAATGCCTGCATTCCTTACATAATCATGATCTGTTCATTGGTTTATCGTGCCCGTATTCCGTGTCTCATAGTAAGTTATTTGGGTTGCGATGTCGTCGTGAATCCCATGGGGGCTGAGTTCTACATGCCCTCTAATGGTTGAGCAAACGTGTAGTTGAAGTCGAGCAGACCGTCGAGCATCCAATGTTGGGGGTCGAAGAAGTCGTAGTTCGCATCGCTTCCATAGCCTATCCCGATCATGCTGTTCGCACCAGTATTGAGACCATGACTGGGCGTTGGCGTTAACTCTCCGTTGTTGGCCACGGGCCCTATGCTGCTGAGATTGTTGTTGTTGTTGTTGTTGTTGTTGTTGTTGTTGGGTAGCAGGGTGCTCTCCATGTGGCTTGATGACGCTGAAGAGTCGTTAGCCGAGTCCGGATTAGTAGGTTGCTTGAGAGCTGCTGGAAATTAGCAAATTCTCCTGGCAGGCAATGTGAATTTGGCATCGAAGTTCACGAAAGAGGGGCTCTCACCATCAAGTGTACCCCGTCCCAAGGCTTGATATTCTTCCCGCCACCGCCATATTGAGTCGTAGACAAGACTCATGCTATGTCGGCACCGCACCTTCAGTTGCAGGCTGTCATCGATCGGCACCGCCGTGTCATCGTCGTGATATGAGTTGCTGCCGCGGTCAAGTCGCGCGCCGTTCCACATCTGAACCATGAGCTCAGCCAAACGCCACTGCAGATCATTGTGCTCAATGCTGGTTTGGCGGATGCCGTTGACGGTTCTATGAAACAGGGTCCTACCCCTCTCAAAATCTATCGTCTTGGCAAAGAAAGACCTCATCAACTTCAACAAGGCGAAGCCGCTGGCGACAAGCATTTGCTGGATGTAGTTAGTGGCATAGACCAGGACGTTTTGGTTCGAATCCTCGAAGAGAAGATCTAAGAAGACAGTCACGGCTCGCCACAAGCCCATGAGGTCATCTATATACCCCGGAGTGGCACTGGAATCAAAGAAGCCGGCGAGACGAAGGTGTACAGCTGCTGCTTTCAAATGAACCTCCACTATAGGTGACAAGCCTTGCGACAGGATTGACGCCTGCAATTCTTGGAAATCTCGCCGATACACGCGCATCAGCATCGCTCTATGCTCGTCACCGGCGACACCTCTCGGATCGCTAGCATTACTGTACATCTCCTTGGAGACTTTGTCAGAGAATCTCTCAATCCTCAACCTGGCTTCCAGCTCCGGGGATAATGTGAAGGGACCGTCTTCGCCAGGGCGGATCGCGAGAGTCCAGTCGTAGAGCGTGGTGGCGGGCTGACCATAGCCAGTGCCAATGGACTGAGAAACGATGTTGCAGACGGCCCATGTGGTGACTCGGTCATGCAATTGATCTTTGTTGAGCTCAACAGAAACTCGCGAAAAATCCTGCGTGTGGTTTGGTCGATGCAGGCCAATGCCCGTTGCCGCCTTCATCATCACACCGCCCAAAATGTGAGTGGGGTCCGCCGTCGTTGTGCTCGTCGGCAACGGCCACGTACAGAGAAGACACAGCGCCTTCACAACGAAGTAGCTGTTCGGGACGTCGCCAATGGTACCCCATAACAGTCTGTTCAAGGGCCCACTGGCCAATTCGTGCAAGATGCTGGGTTTCGGGCGATATCGGCGTGACGCAATGGCGATGATGGTCCAAAAGAGTAGCGCGTGTTGTTGGTAGTATAGGTCGGGAGATTGGTGTTCGTTGAGCATGGGCAGAAAAGGGTGGTAGTAGTGGAAGTACTCTTGAAATAGGCCGTGGACGTCCTGTTCGGTGAGGCGCACCTGTTCGAGCTCGTAGGCGTAATGGGTTGCGGGCATGCTATAGGAGCCACCCCTCTTGAGGGTGAGGAGGGAGGTGACGGCCTCGTCTGATCCCATGAGCGAGGGGTTCCGTGTGTGCGAGTATTGGCTGTTTGCAATGGGCGACTGCAACTGCGACGACTGGAGGTCGTGGTCGTCGTCGTCCTCCATGACAAAGCCCTGCTGCTTGGCCTGCGACAAGTTGCGGCGCAAGCGGTCGATCTCCTTCTCCATCTCGGCGTGTTTCGATCTCTTCCCGACGCGCTTGAAGTTGGATTCGATCTTGCAGTCGAGTTTGAGGCGATTGCATCGTGAGCAGCTCTGAAACGGGTCCTGTACGACATCGCACCGCAACTGCGAGTGGCGGGTTACACAGTCAGCCTCGCCGTGTCTCGGGAAGAAGGGGACAGACGACAATGCATGTCTGAGATGGGCATCAGGGCCTTGCGCAAGTGCTGGCTACTGATACGATTGAGGTGGGTGGTTGACTCACCTTCTGCTGGCGGCACTCGTTGCACGCCCGCTTCACTCCCGGCTGTCGCTTCTTGTCCAAGGGCTCGTTCAGTGAGTTGTCTTCGTCGCCAATGGCACTGCCCGGGCTGCTGTCGATGCCGCCGGGACCGGCCCCAATGCTGCGCTTCCGCTTGATCGAGCCATGGCGATGAATGCTCATGGGACTGGTAGGACTCATGGACATGGACGGGGCCGGTCCGGCGCCGGCGACAGTGTGGCCATCCATGCACCCTCAATTGGGAGAGTTGGGAGGATTGGGAGACAAGGGCAGTTCTAACCGGAGTCGCGCGTCACTCGTCCCAATCACCACAGTGTCACTCGTCACTGGCGCTCGTTACCCGTGCGTTCCGCTGTGCCGGCGTTTCCCACGCTGAAAGTAGGTAAGCAGGCCTTTTTTCCGGTATCTGGCTGTATTGCGCAGCTGGAAAGTCTGGCAGCGAGACCGATCACGGAAGGAAGAGGCAATTGAAGGAGGGGTCTCGGGTCTGGAACTAAACAATAATAAGTTTTGGGCCCTTCGGACTTGGGCGGCTCTTTTGGTCGGAGGGAAAATTTGTTTTCGCCACTACTGGTAGGATAGAAGGCGGGGGTGGTGCCCGAGCGGGTCTCGTCTCAACTGTATTTTGGTATACTTTCAGTCTCATGAACCTCTTGTCAATCTTCAATGTTTGCAACCAAAACAAACTGGGGTGGATAAAAGTCGGTGTCAGGGACTAATTGATGAACAGAGAGTGTTCAGAAGATTTGATTGACTCGATCCCAACCTTGAAGGAGACGAGCGGGTGCTTGCTCGCCTTTCTCCATACCGATAGTCCCATCGTGACCAGTGACCACACATGTAATAGCCCCCCATTAATCGAGGAGGGGGAGGAGGAGGAGAAGCGCTGCCCGCCACCTGCATTGCTGCATTGCATTCGGCTGCCAAGCCGCAGAGGTGAGGGGTAATGTGCCCAACGGTAGTTCGTCGCTAAAGCCTGAAGAGGCAGGTCTCTGCGATCTGGTCTGCTTGTCTGGCTGACTGATCAGATACAAAAGTTGCTCTATTCCCTCCAACGCAATCGAAACATCAATGATTTATTCGCATGTTCATCTAGTATAGGGGGGATGATTATGTATGTATAGTCAAACTGATTGCAGGAACAAGTTCAGAGCGAAAGACCTGGCTTGGTTCAAACTATCAGAATCGTCGATATCTACCAGTAACACCCTCCGCAAACAGCCTTTTAAGGCGGCCCAATCCCTTTGAATGCTGTTTCGGCACCAATGGACCTTACAGGGGCTATGCACCCAATTAAATCAGCCATAATTTCAGTACCTGCTTTCTTACTAAAAACTGTGCGTGCCAGATGTACCAGCACTTACGGGAGCTATAAAGCATCATCGCCCATATCGCAACCGTAGCAAGTGGTAATCTTTTTAAGCACGAACCTATCGCTATTAATCTCGCTTTAAAACGTAAATAAAAAATCGAAACCGGATACATTAATACTTAATTTATAAAGTAATATATTCGATATATCTACGGGTAATATTTATTAATAAATGAGTTATCAAAATTTTATAATAATTTCGTTTAATAATAAAAGCCTTTTATAAAAAGTAATTATATAATGCTTTATTATAAGCCTATAATAGCTTTTAACAGTTTGTAAACTGTATTATTAAAAGTAGGTTCAAAGGTATAACTAAGTTATATAAAAGTTATATAAAGCCTTATAAAAGCTTAATATATCATAAGTATAAGTATAATTAACGTATGAAAAGTCTTATTTCCTACCGTATGTATTATTCGTTTTTATTGAATATTGATAAGGCGTATTGAAATAAAAGCTGTGTAATGTAAAGGCATATTAAAAGAAAATATATATATTATAACATACTTTAAATTAAAAGTAAAAAGAAAATCGAGATTGTGTTAGATTTCGAAATTATAGTATACTTTCAACAAGCCCGATCGGGAAATTAAAAAAAAAAAGTAAAAAATCAGCTCTAAAAGTTAAAGGCTAAATATTAATATATTATGATATACAAAAAGAATAGATAAAAAATTATTTTATATTTTAAATCAAAATTTTCAACGTAGTTTTAATAAGATTAATCGAAAAAAAAAGAAAAAAAAGTGTATAGCTTTAAAATATAAAGGCTATAACTTTAAAACGTAAAACCTTACATTTTTAAAAAAAATTATACGCGAATTAAATTACTCGTATAAATATTTAATTATTACTCGTTTTACTACTTTTTCTTATACACGTTATTTGAAGTTTATTATAACCTCATTTATTTAAAAGTAATAAAGCGGTAATGAAAGATTAAGCTTTAAGATTAAATATTTAAAAACGTTTATTAATATACATTAACGTTTACGTTAAAAGTAATGTTAAAAAGAAGATGGTTAATAGAAGTCTTACCTATAAATATAAATTTTAAACCTAAAATTATTTTCGCGTAAATAGCATTAAAGTGGTGTAATTAGTTTTAAAGTAATTGGAATTGATTAAAGACAAAAAATACGGTACTAAAACGTAAATCGAAAGTAATTTAAAGTTGTAGTAATGAGAACAATATTTAAAAATTAATTTAATTATAAAGATGTAAATAAATAACAAAAGTAAGGATCTTATTTAATATAAATAAAGATTTTAATACAACGTCGTGCATCACTTGAATTAAATTAGTTAAATTAGGTTAATTATGATTATTTATTAATTAAAGCCGGCTTTTTAAATATTAGTTTTTACGATGTACTTATTGTTTGTAAGAGAGGTGTAAGACCTGGATTTATCAGATACCAAAACAGCATTTGAAGAGATAGGTCCGTCCTTACACGGCTATAAATCAAAGTGTAGTAGCGTACCTTGAAAATCCAAAGTTCGACGAGCCAAAGTCGAGATAATAATACTCATAACTGAGCTAAGTATTAATTAAATCATAATAAAATATGCTAGTTTATACGACGAACTTTTATAAACCTTAAAGTTTTAAACATGTAACTATATACGACCTTATTTATAACTAGGCTTTATTTACAACGATTTTTATTATTAAAACAAAGCTAACTTTTAATAGTTATATTAAATCCAGTAAAATAGCTACGAGGTTATTTTTAAAATTATATATTATCCGTTTATTTACGTTTTAAAGTCTTTTATGTTAAAGAAAGCGATAAACAAAGCTTTTTAACATGTTTTTATATAGGCTTTAACGGTATATATAAACAATAACGAAAAAGTATTTTTAATATTGTTTATTTATTATTTTACGTATATTAAATAAGTTTAGGGTTAAAGTAAAGTTCACTCTATATATATCGTTATTGTCGTATATAAAATTTATATAAAAGTAATTTGAACATTTTAATATAGTTAATTTAAATGTTAAATAAGTATTAAAATTAGTTCAAAACTAATAATAGATTTAAAATCATTAAAAAGTCAGTCTAATGATAACTTTATAAATAGCTTTAAAAACTGGTTTTAAAGTAATACTGGTAGAAAATACTATTATTAGTAAATAAAAATATAGAAGCACTGTTGTTAAAGCAGATACTAAATATTTATATAAATTGCGTTTAGTAGTATTTCTAAAGCTAAAATGTTTTTCCTCAATAAGTGTGACGGTCTGACCTCCTGGAAGTCTGTCAACCCATCAGGGTGGCCTGTGCGCAGCATCACATGACCTGGCGCACAAGACGTGTGGCCACAACTGTACTAGGCTAGGTAATAGTGGGGCGGATGGAAGGATCATTAATCCCACCAGAATTGGCTGGCGGGTCAGATCCTTCTTTCTCTCCCCACTAAGAGATTCTTACACGTAGGTAGTGCAATCAGGACTTTTATGTCCTCATTCTATTCACGCTTCGTGACAATAAGTAGAATCAATATTTTTTCTAAAATATGTTTTAGAAAAGATTAAAAAGAAGTAATATTTTAAAACTAATAAACGATTATTTATAAAGCGAAGATCGGTTTATATCGTTGCTTTTATCTTATTATTATATAATATAATGTGATTAAAGATTATATCGTTATAAACGATTATATAAAAATAAAATAACGCGTTTAAAAAAGAATTTGAGTTTTTAAACTTTTATAACATTAATCATTAAAGCTATATAAGAAATATTTATATTTTAATAATTCTCGCTTCTATATAACATGTTCATGTAAATATTAGCTTTTAAAAGTATTTATATCGTAAGTTATAAAGATATAAATACGTATAGTTTATGCGATATAAATACAAAGGTTTAAAGCAAGTTTAATATTTTAACAAATTTTATTATGCTTTTGCTTTTTAACGTATAGTTCAATATAATTTAAACTTATATTACATTTTATTATTCTTGGTTCATGAAAGAAAATGGTATATCGTAAAATATACCGAAAACTTATATTTTATAAAATTTAACACTCGGTAAATATAAGAATTTATGAAAAGCGATATACATAATATTATAATAAGCACAGAACCTTATAATAACCTTAAAATGTTAGAAATTAAGTATTGAATATAAAATGTTATAATATTCAAAGACTTTTATTTATTTTACATTTATTAAAAAAAAAAATCTCAAATTTTAATATTACTTATCTTAATTACGTTATATAAATTTACCAATAGTTTCTTTTTATATTAAACGTTTATATTTATCTTACTATAAACTTATGGGTATTTTAGTTGTTTAATTATAACGGTTTTAAAATATGAAGTTTCAGTGGAGAAAGCGTTGCAAATGGGAGCTAGTTGCAAATGGGGTCCCACACGGTTAGATAATTTTGTTACTAAGCGGTTTCCATAAGGTATCATTCGATGTGTCTTTTGAAATGCCGAAGTATAGCCATTGTCCTCGTCTCAATCATGAGTTGGAAAATCTCTTAAGCCAACAGCATCAAATCTCAGATCAACTGCTTCGTCACTACAAGAGGATACGAGCGACCGGTGTACCATCAAGTACCCGAGCAGAGATCAATTGTCGTGACCTATACCTCCACATGTCAGCATGTCTTCCACGCAGGAAAAGGCTCAGCAACAGCCCCGGAAACCCTTCAGGGGCAGACTGACAGCGCCGGTCAAGCCACCAACACCCAACTCATACACCGTGACCCCGGCGTCCATATCCGAAGTCACCATCGCAGACCCAGCCGACAAACGGGCCCCCCGTACGTCGTCATCCAAGTCCAGCTGGCTGAAGACGAAGCGGCAGTCGGTCGAGCTGAAACTTGAAACCATCTTGCAGAAGATCATACTAACAACCGGCCAGGAGAACCCACGTCTATTTCATCCGCCGCCGTGGCTCAACCATTCGTCGATCCCGCCGTTCTGGAGCGCCATAGATGCACTCATGGTTTGAATTGATTAGTTCACGGCCCATTGCACTCCTGACCCCGCCTCCATGATGATGTGCGCAAGGTATGATGCCCCCAAGACACGGAAACATATGCGATCACCCGAGACTATTCCCAGGGTCTCGTGCGAGGACGGAGCTGCTTTTGCGCAGACACCGAAATCACAACAAGCACGAAGTCACCATCTCCGATAGCAAGACCTCGGAGGCCCGGCGGGCATCCGATGTAACATTCTACCTTAGATAGGCGCATGCCGAGTTGAGGGGTCCGGGTGTGGGGGCATCTCATGCGAGTGTGAGCAGGACTCCTGATAGGGCACACGCTTCAACCCGCTCCTACCATGGGCAAAGAAGTTGTCAGACTTATCACGTAGGATCTAACTTGAGCTTCAGTGTTGAAAATTCTTATCCATGTAACCGCGCGACCTTCACATCAGCTCCAACGACATCCTATAAGTTTCGCCCTAAGACCCCGTCGGATCGAACGTTCCGGTCCCCAGAATTGAGGGCATCTCCAAAGATGGCGCCGGCAGACGACCTAGCCTTCGGCCCGGAGGGCGGGCAGTGGCACTACAAGCGCGAGACGAAGACGTTTGATCTTACGCGCGGCTCCTCGGGCGCAGACACAAGCAACAACAAGACCAACAAATTCACGGTCGGCACGACACAGGGCCCGGCAGACACGAAGATTGAGCTTGATCCAGCCAAGACGGCCCTCGTCATCGTCGATATGCAGAACTTCTTCCTCGACCCGAAGTGTATGGATCATCCGACCGGCGTGGCGGCCGTGGAGCCCCTTATTGGGACTATTGCGAAGTGCCGCGAGCTGGGCATTGAGGCAAGGACGCTCCTACCCCTCAATCTCATTTGGCTTTCCTTCTTGTCTCATCGCCTCAAGTCTGGTGATGAAATTATCGCGCGGAGAAAGGGAAAGACTACGGCAGTAAGTCTCCCAGGGAAAAACCCAGCTGACCACAGAGCCAGGTCATCTGGCTCACCTGGGGCCTCACAGACGCAGACCTCGCCTCCATGCCCGCAGGCGTCCTCCGCGGTTTCGCCAACTCGCTCGTCGCGCGGCATGAGGACCCGGTGCATAGCGGTCTAGGAGTGGACCTCGGCGCCGAAAAAGGGCGAACGCTGTACGCCGGAGCGTGGAACTCTGAGGTGGTGCCGCGCCTTGCGGCAAGCCCCGTCACGGACATCGAGGGCGACGTTTTCTGCGCTAAGAACCGCATGTCTGGGATGGTGGGTATTATCACCAACATTCTTCACCCTTATCCATTGAATTCCCAGATACTCGCAATCTTACCCTGATGGAGCACTGCTGACGCTGGTCATGGCAGTGGACACCGGAGCAGCCGCTATACAAGCACCTAGAAAAGACCGGTAAGACATCGCTGCTGTTCGCGGGCGTCAATACGGACGAGTGCGTGCTGGGCACCCTTGTCGATGCGTACAATGCCGGCTGGGACTGCGTGCTGCTGGATGATTGCTGTGGGACGACGACGCCGAACGGGCATGAGGTTACGGTCTATAATTTGATGGTCAGTAAGCAGCGTTTTCTTTTCCCAACTAGATAGCGAGGATGCTGGAGGGCGAACGATGGTAATGACTGTTAGAAGAAATCACGGCTAATCCTCCTCTAGCTCTATTATGGATTCGTTATAGATAGCCAGAGTTTCAGGGCTGGCTCTCTCTCTTGAAGACGTCTAATAGATGTCGGAAAAGAAGAACGTGTATGTTGGTGCTTGGACAATGTGTGATCTTGGGACGCTGCCTTGACCTCAGGGGCCTCCCACTTGCCCCGATACCTACCTAGAAACCTCGCTTAGTGATCACCTCTTCAAGTGTATCCCCAGGTAGGTTGAGGAGTTTGGTACTACGATCTTGAAAGACATTTTACAACGCCATCGTGATGCTCGCAATAATACGCGCTGATCATTGTACCTCCTATCACACCAACTCACCCAAGGGCAGCCTCATCACTGACCATCTGTCGCTGCACCACCCACGACAGGTCGCGAATTCTCCATGAACGGTGCTTTGGCCAGGGCCGTAGCCTGCACCTCCCAGACCGGCTTGCCCAGTTCCACCAACTCCTCCCCAAAATCCTTGAGCACCTGTTCAACATCGTGTTCTCCTATTGGATGTGCTTCTTGGTCCTCCTCCTCGGTCCTGAACCCACCCATAGCAACGCGCCACACCTCCTTCCACATCGCGACCGCCCGGCGCGCCTCCGCCGAATCGCTCCTGACATTACTGGCGACAAGATAGAAAGACCCGCGGAACGTATGAGCCGTTGTTGGCTTGTACACGCGCACGGTTGCAAAGGATGAGAGCAAGTATAGCAGCTGCACGTTATTCCACGATCCGACTTCTTGCTGTAGCACTATTATCGTGCCTCCTGGCCTGAGGTGCTGCAGTCCCAACGCCAACCCGGTTGGTATCAGACGCCGTAGCTCACGCTCCTGGTCATACCCTGGACGCTCGTGCGTGTAATGATCCAGACCGTCGCACATGACAAGGTCGAATGGGCCGGTTTGCAGACTGGCATGCGGCTCGCGGCGAAGGCGGGCCATTTTCTCGACTCGCGGTCGACCGGGATCTCCAAGTCGGACACGCCCATATCGGCGGCGAACATGGTGATATCCGCGAATTTGATCGACACATTGGAGATATCTGGCAAGTTGATAGACGCACTGGGGATGGATTTGCGCTCGTCTCGGAGGAAAACGCTGTGTCCACCTTGAGATGATGGCAGGGTGAATGCCACGGCTCTGTCCCCCAGGTTCTTCGACAGGGCTGTCTGGAGGAAACCGCCGGTTGCCATGCATAAGTCCAGAATACGCGGTACGGACCAGGTACCCGACAAAGGGGCAATAGTGAAGGCGCCGGTAGCCTCGTGCAACTCCTCGCCGATTCTCAGCATCTTCTGGAAGTAGCCGAGCTCATCTTTGGCGTCGACCTCGTCGGACTTTCTTCGCTGCTCCCGGAAGTGCTTGTTCTCCCATCCCTGCACAGTTGGGTTCATTAGTAAAGACTTCAATGATACCACGCGAGGTCGGCGTCTGTACGAACCTTCAGTTGTAGTGCATGAAGTCTGCGGAACTCTTCGCACCTCTCGAACAGGTACTCCTTGACAACCTCCTGTGGCTGTCGTGGCGAATTTGCGTTGGTAAGGGGTGAGTCTGCTTGGCCCAACCCACTACCTGCAGCTTCGTTGTCGCTACCCGCAGCTTGGTTGTCCGTTTCCTGCATGGTTACTTGCGGTACGACTGAAGATCTGTCAAGCGTAGTATCCTGGTCCGACATGACGACTGGATATCGGAGCAAGTAGAAGAAGACAGATTTTGCAAAGAAAGAAGATGTAAGAGAGGTTTTTAAAGAAGCCTTGTGTAGGCCAGCGACGTGCAAACGGCTCTCAGATGGAAACGACATTTTGGCAAATGGTTTGCAACAGTCTGGAAGGCCCCTCTATGACAGAAATAGCATGACCAACAACACACTGGATGGAAGCATTCCGACGTTCCTGAATCTACTACGTACGGGGTGTAAAATCTACGGGGTGTAAAATCTGTGAAGTGTAGAGCAGCATTATCAGGGGCCTATGGGAGGACGAGGCAACACACGTCTGTAGGGGTGTGAGCACGAGACGCCCGAATCACACTAAGCTTCGTGTGTCGTCACATCTAAATTCGCCTAATGTGAGGACCTCTATTCGAAGGTGTGTACATGTGATCTGCTGTTGTTCTGGTTTTCGTGATTCCAGCAGCCTTGTGAGGTTTGGGGGCTGTGTACCATATACACCATTGAGGAAAGCGCACATTGAATGGGGGAAACCCCATTTCTGTGTCATTTCAATTGTGTGTACCGTGAATCACACTCTCTCGGAATATGTTGATCTCGGGACAGGCACCTCTATTCGTCGTCAGAATCGTGACCCATTGCGTCCAACCAAAGATCCTCGACACTCAATCAAAACTGTGGAAATAGGTATCGGAGTTGGTAGTAATCTCTACGCCCAGCGCAACGTTGTAAGAAGACTCCTCTTACATCCGTAATCGATTGAAGCTCATAAAACTGTGCCACTCCCATAGCCCAGTTCCCCGTCTCCGGCGTGTCCAACTTCGCACCGTACTTGCGCAGTAGGCGAAACATGTCCACGTCCTCCTCGAAGACAGCTAGGACGATGGGCGGCGGGCAACCCTCGTTGAATTTTGCCTCAGCGTCAAGAAGCATCTTGGCAACGAAAACCAGTCTAGTTCTGCTCCATAGCTGAGCAGAAGCTTGACAACATTCGAGTTCCCACCTTTCACAGCGGCCCGCAAGGGTTGATAGCCGCAGGAACTCATCCTGGTCTCTTCGGCCCCCCTTCCTTGGTTAGGGGAGATGCCCTGGTCGAGGGAATACTGTACCATGTCCACATGACCTTTCTCCGCATCTTGGGTCATTCGCGCTGGGACGCTTCCGGTGCCGTGAGGATCGAAGACCTTACTATCAAGTACGAATAAGGAGGCACCGCGCTCATAATTTTCTGGGGTTGCCGTTAAACTTATAGCCAGCTTCAGGCAAAGGTATTCTGGGTGCCAGCCGCGGTCTCCACGGTCTCCGGCATCCAGTTCGAGAGGCCTGCTGTCGAGTGCGAAGTCGAACGCATCTTCGTGTCCCAGAATGTGACGATCAGGCCTGCAGTACAACTGGTCAGGACTGATGGATAGATAAAGCTATATTCAACGATCTGTGAAGAAGGAAGAAGGAAGAAGGCAGGCCGCTTCAGGTGAGAGGTGGGCCTCCCATATATATAGGTACATGTGGAGGTACAATGTACTTGTACCGTAACACAGAATAGACGCCCAACGCAAAGTTTGTTTCTGAAGATCAAAATTCATAGGTGCGGTTGGTGTATTGTTTGGGTTGGAGGAGAGTAAAATGCGTAGCATAGGTACATTACCCGCGATAGAAGCTACCCCGTAGGCTGTTCCAAAGACAGAACTGGAGACGTCCCGAATTACTCCCAAGTTGCAGAACAGTCCGCTTTGCGAGATCAGCTTCGAAACATAATCTCGGCACCCAAGGTATACGGCCGCCACAAAAAGGTCGCACTTCATCTCATCGCATTATTCGTGCCGTTGGCGAGAACCAGTGTGGGCGAGGCGACACGAAGACGAAAGACGAGACTGGTTAACGGCCTGATTCACGTCGCCAACCTGATCCGAGATAGCCGCAGCGGTACGTCGAATGCGGCCGAGCTGCGTACCAGGCTCTTTCTCAATCCATGCTTGGTAGGCCAGATAATCATAGGCAAAACTGCACCAGGCGTCATACCGACCAGGCGAATGCAGCATGGAAAAGTTTGTGTACGGAACATCGAGAAGACGAAGGCGGAAAATGGGTTTGTCGACGAACTGTTTGAACAAGTCTGTAAAAGTCAATTAGCAAAGGTGAAATGAAAAGTCAACGTGTTCTAGTACTGACGGCTGACGAGGCGTAGTCTCATGAACCGCTTGAGCTCGCGAAAATGAGCCAATGCATCGAAAATGTGATCTACGAGCTCCGGAGCGAAGTCAAAGGGGTGCATGATGACCAACGGCAATGCAGCAAGACAGGTTGCGTTGAAGTAGGTCGATCTTTGATGCTGGCCTATGGCACTCACTAGTAGAGCAAGTGATACCCTTTCGAAAGCTACCAAGGCGTCGAGAGATCAAGTCGTGCAATGCCCTGATGGTTAAGGTGTAGGCCATGGTGCGGTTGCGTCTGGCGACGATAGAAGGGGCGTTCTGTTGGCTTGCCGGTGCACCGCCCCCTATGCACTGCCCCACCACTCCTGCCGTGCAACACTACCCACCTCGTTGAGCACAAGTTAAGTAAGTTAAATCTGAGGCATCAACTTGGCTTGATTTGGTATTACTGAGCAAGTTAAGTCAAGTTTGGAGCCCTTACTTAATTACTTACAAATATAGTCTCGGAGCCCTAGGATCAATCAGAAGCCATAATTCTCTATTAGACCCATATTACTAGCCCTATCACCAACTACACATTCGCTCTACTAGCTACACTATATCCACTACATCCACTCCACTAGCCACACCACATCCACCACATCCACACACACACACACCATTCTAGCCAGTCATATCTATCACATCTACCACATCTACCGATATCAAGTAATTCAAGTCAAGTCACAACCCCGGATTTAATTTGCAAGTATCCGTTAAAGCCTGATTTAATTTAGCTTACTTAGATTTACTTAGATGTAGACTTGTTTAACTTGACTTATGCTCAACGCAGCCACCCACACCAACCTATTCTCGATAGCCGGCTAAACACCTCTTGTCAAACAGAGCGTTCATATGGTTTATATTCGCGTATTCAGTGCTGATCTTGATGACTGTGTCATTGTGAAGTCTCCGTTGGTGGCCAGGTGGCCCCAAAATGCCCTACAGTAACGGCCCCTGGTTAGTGCACTGCCACCTCCTTGACGCCACGGTAGCTTATGTGCCATTCAACACCTCGCCTGATGAGACCATGACCAACTTGGAACAAACATCTAGACGTGAGGCAATGTATGGCATGTATCGAGAACTCGTGTTACAGATGTACTTATACAATACTAAAAGAAATTACACATTAAGTATTGTTCCATCAGGGCATTTGTTGTTGACGCAGAACCAGTCTTGAATATCCTACGCCTCATAACCCCAATCACTCTTCGTCTCTCCTGTCGAGCTGGGTGCTTTGCTTGTCGACGCAGCATCATCGACCACGACAGTGATCTCCTTCGCGACCTTGATGTCCTTCGACCCGGGCTGATGTCTCTCATCGTACAGAATATGCTCGTCGCTGCCCCACGCCGTCGCGTGCGTGGTGTTCATGTTGTTGGACTTTGTGGCCTTGGAGTTGTTCGGCCTGCTGCCGAGCTTGTAGCCGGTTGGTCCGTTGCCGCTTCCGATCTGGTAGCTGCGCGTCGGAGATGATCTGCTGAAGATACCGCTGAGACCCATCTTTCCGGCTACCTTCCGCATCAACGGTTGGATTATGGGCAGGTTGGTAACGACTATGGCGACGAATATCTCTCGGCACGCCCACTGCACGGATAAGGGTCAGAAAGGAGTGGGTTCCAGGACTCATTGGACCGCATGAAGGGGCGTTTCACGTACCTCGCTCCCCATCACAGCGCCGTTAGGACCAGCCTGCGCGAGTGGATTAGCCAGCGCGCACGAACTTTGAAAAAGAGCGACTGGATGACCACATACCGACAGAATAACAATAGCTCGGACAGTCCCCGCGGCAATGATGAACACAGCGCCGCTGAATAAGAGCATTAGGCTGGCCTTGGTGCGCAGTCCAATATTGACCTTCCATAGAAGCTGCAAGGCGATCTCATTAGCCTCGGAATTGCGAGATGGCGGACAATTCGAGCAACGAACCGGTAGTGGGATGGAAAGAAGGTACAGATCCGTGATTATATTGGGTATCAGTACAGCCCACACATTCAAGGGCGAGTTGGTTGGCTGGCACAGAGCTGGATTTGGAAAGTCAGCCGGCCATGGTTGTTCCTCGTTACATCGTTGAGCGGTCTTATAGACGTACCGCCAGGGTTGGGATATATCTGCCAGTAATGCGAAGTTGGGTGGCAACCAGCAATCAAGCACAGCGTTGCTGTCGTCCACGATACCCCAATAATCACGTAGCCAATTCTCAGTCTCAACTTGAGGTCATTCAAGCGTAGTCTGACTCCCCGGTTAGCCTCATTAATCTGGGGTTGTCAGGCAACAAGAAGGCTGGTGCAATACATACGTCAGGCGTGAGTAGAAGACTGTCAGGCACAGCTTCAGTACCCAAAGATCCATGGCATAGAGCTCCCATCCGATGATCTGGAGCTTCGATCCTGAGACGCGGTTATATGCCTCGACCGAGTCGAGATCCAGCGCCGCGCGCTGCTCTTCCGTCATGTAACTATTTGTGAGGCCATGGTATTTCGCGCCGACGAGATATGCGAGTGACGTTACAATGGTGAAAAGAATCTGTCGGATTCAATGTGTCAGTCCAAATTGACGCGCCGATCTAGACACAAGAAGGAACCTGTAAAAGCTCCGCCCATGGGGTCGGCCGAGGACTTACACCGGAGACTGGCATGAGGTAATCATCCCAGTCGAAAGCCTTGAAGCCTACATTTGACCATCTCCACCAGGTTCGGAGGGCAATGATACTGAGGCCGAGCGAGAGAAGGGTGAAGGATTCTTCTTTCGCCATTGTAGCCTGTAGACGGCCAGTTCATAGGCGGAACACGTCGTTGAAAGCGAAGCGAGAAGGAGTGACTAGGTTTGGTTCGAAATTTTGCTCGAGAGTTGGCTTGGCAGTCTGCCGTCCTGCGAGGGAGACGAGAGGCTTTCTATACTCGGCCTGGGGCTCGATCAAGCACATACCTGCCTCATGGGCCACAAGGCAGATCCATCTGGAGAGCACATGGCAGCAAGCGGCCGGATCTACAGTCCCTGCATTGTGTAGCGTGTTGGAGCGAATACATGGGTCATCCCTGCATGTCTTGTGGAGGGAAGGTGGATGGATGACTCTTCGTCGATCTACGATTGTCGGTAGCAGGCGTTGCGTCAACAGCAAACTTCGAAACCCTGCCGCCTCAGAGTTCTGGCTGTAGACCACGTCTTGTTGGACGCATTTGGATCAACAAGCTAGCTTCTTTGACATGATGTCGTCCTTTGAGAACGCCCGATAGCATGTGCGACTAGTAGTCAGGCGTAGACATGCTTTCGTGCTCGACGCCGCTACCCGCCTCAGCGTTGAAGAGGGGCCAAGGGAAATGGGGGCGGCTGATACCTTTTTGGGACGGTTCAATCCTATGCTGCGCACGGAGCCTCGCCAGCGAGAAGATGGTTTCAACTACTACATTACTCGTAGCCTCAGCTTTAGGCTTGGGCCGGTAGATGAAGGCCCCTGCATGAACAAGGCATCCCTCAAAGACCGGCGTGACCAAATCTCGAAAACAGGGTCCCTTGCCGTAGTCGATCTTCCCTAGTACATAGTCAGAGATAATATTGCTTGGAGCTTCCACACACTGGGGCCCTCCTGGTCCCGTACTTTGCCTGCCCTAAACGCACCAAAGTATACATCACCACTTGTTCTCATCTACCATCATCTGCAGTGATTTGCAGAACTTCATGCGATGGTCACTTCTCGTTATGTGTTAGCATAACAGCTACCATCATACACGGACACAGACCCCTCACACATATGGAGACCCTAAGCAGGTATCTAGCGTATTGGCCAGGCAGAGTATTCTTCCAGTCAAGTGGGAGTGAACAATCAATAGCCACACAAGGCAGGGGAGACTGTGAGGTGGGGGCCCCGGCCCGGAACCCTAGTATAAGAGATCGGAGCATTTTCAGATGAACATGTTCTCCGCTTATTATAGATAGAACTTGAATCAGGGCACCCTGAGCAAAGGAACGATCTTTCTGCTACTAGCCCTCAGAGATTACTTGGCCCACTGGTCACCAGACCGGGGCAGGGTTCAGAAATCAGGTAAAATTCCAGCCTTTGTCAATCTGTTTGGGAGTAGTCAGGTCCCGTCCAACTTCGGTTGGCAGCTTTCCATGGGGTGATAAGTATAGTGTCGCGCCGGCTGGTCGTTGGTGTAGAGCTAAAGAGGCTTCGGAGCCAGATCCGCGCAAATCCCGGCATACATCTACAGTAGTGCTCAGCTCCCGTACTCTGACAAGAGACGGCTTAAATCTTATCGCGTAGGAGAGAACCGAGCACGGGACAGGGAAGGCAGATTAGGGGTGAACAGAATGTGCCGATGATCGTTGCTAAGAGACTCTAACGTTATCAGGGCTTTTGCCTAGTGTGTTCTTACACTTGAAGTATCGCCCGACTGCATGATACGATCGGCCCGCGGCACGAAACTTCGCCACCATGATTTTCTGCCCACCCGACGGGAACTGGCTCTCACGACGAGACTTTCGATCATATACTCAAGATCAGTGCCAAAACGATGAAGCAGGCCTGGAATACTGTTTCATATGCTGAAATTATCCACTGTCGTTAATAACACCATCAACATAAAGGGGCCACTCGCCCACCATCCCCCTTAATCGGTCTCCCCCCGAATCAGGGAAGCCGAAGCACCAGCCCTAAAAGTGTCGCTCTCAACCCTGCTAGTGACATTGGCATCATAGCGGGATACTATATCTGGGACACCCCAGCTTCCGTAGCCGCCCCAGCAGCCCCATAGACCGGCCAGGCGCCAACACGGACACTCTCCCTAGAGCCTTCGCCACCTCCCCCCGTGACGCCCACGCGCTCGGATCGCCAAAATCCACAAACCCAACCCAATCGCTCGCCACCAGCGACGCCAAATCCCTATGTTCCTCGCCCGACCCCTCAAAAGGGGCGCGTCCGCACCGGCGCATAGCGGACGCCGTCGAGATTCAGCATCGTATTGAAGCGGAAGCAGTACGCCGGGCCGCGATCGGAAAGCGGTCGCCGTAACTTAGAGGGTTGCGGCGCACCGCCATTGCAGCAGACCCTACGGCTACGCGGGCGAGACGTAGTCGGGGGGTAGGTCGGGGAGGATGTTGTCGGGTCATACCCCCGATATGCGGCTAGGAGCTCCTCGACGTAGGCTTCGGTTATGGAGTCGGAGGAGGAGGATAGCAGCGTCTGTCGGAGGTCGGAAGTCGTGTTGAGGCCCTTGGGCGCGAACGACGTGCCCTCGTCCGTCGCGGTGCTCGGGATGATGGACACCTTACGAAGCTGCCGTCGGCGATCTGGTCGCGGAACGCGCGCGCGAAGAAGAAGTCGCCGTCGATCTTGGGGGGACCAGGTCTGCAGCGCCGTGGTGTTGACCACGGCATTGCGGTCCGCGAAGGGGGCGGCAGCTCGCGCAGGCACTGCAGCGAGTCGACCGAGCCGTCGCATCGGGCCTGAGAGACGAGGGCGTTGTACAAGGCCTGCATGCTCGTCATATCCGCGTCGTCTGTGGCGATGGGGCTCCTGCTCTCCACGATGGCGCTGACAGCCAGAGCGCCCGAAGTTAGAGTTCCCGCTGTCGAGCACTTCTTGCGAGATGAGAAAGCCCCAGGAGCCCAGTCGGTAGTCCATGCTGACGCGATGATGGGCCGGCCATCGACGGAGCGCTGTACGATGAAGGAGAGGTTGTAGCGGATGTCGGATCCGCCTGCTTGGACGTAGCCGCCAACATACACCGTGGATTCAGACGGCAACCGGTAGAGGATCGCCATCGTAAGAGCCAGCGGACGGAAGACATTGAGATAGAGGCAGTCCTACTCCTCGTCAGTGTGAGAGGTTCCCATAGTAGATTTTTAGCTGCTTACCTCACTCAGGTTGTATCCCCATTTCGGTGACTGCTTGTTATATCAGCATTATTCTTCGGTGTTCATGACCAAACTGAAGCAACTTACCCCGTAGCCGACGCAATGAGACGACAGCGTATCCGCAGTATATTCCTCAGTCCAGGTCTCGTTAGCAGGCCGCGGATTACGAAACTGCTAATCGCCCGCAGGCGGCTGCGCATACGGCACGCCCAGGAAGGAGTCTTGGTCACAGCCAGGTGAGTAGACCCCGGCCAACGTTACCATTCCTGACGGCAACTTTGGAAGTCGTTTCTGTTCTTTCCAAGATTGGCGATGATGTGACTGTGGCTACAAGCAGCGCTTCGTACATGAAGGACTACAACTTCTTAAACTTCAGCTTCATATAGGGTTAAGGGATGAGCGGAGCAAGCTAAAGTGGTACCTGCCACACGTTTATAACTCCGTGCTTGAAGGGGTCTTCAGAGCGTGGAAGCTGGGCGGCTGGAGGCAAATCCAGAAGAACATCTGCCGCAGCCGTCTTCTGAAACAATGGGAAATGGTAGCTTAAGAGCCCGGTCTCCCCTCGATTTGCCGACAGCGTTCTCTTGTGCGGTCAGACGTTCTTCTCCTGTCGCTGTAGACAAGATGCACCATATCTAGCATCAACTCCATTCTAAAGGCGCATGCGACTGTTGGGGTCATCTTCGCTCCCCTCACTCCCCATATTCAACCTCAGCTTTCCCCGCCAAGCGTATGAACATTTTGCATCTCCTGGAGTCGTTGACCACCTCCAGCAGCGAGCACATCAATGGTAGCCACAGTAGTCATGGGACGTGAAAACATTTCGTGCCGTGTGGAAAAGCCTCATCGGCGTGTGCAGCTCATAACGGGACAGTGCGGAATCTGGGAGCATGATCAGTCACCCATGAAGTCTACATGTACAGAAACTGAAATGGCATTGTCTTGTTCACCTCGTGATGCCGAGCATATGAACCTATTCGTCATCTTCCGACGACGATTCTTCCTCCTCTGCCTCGTCAAGTTCCTCCATATCCTCATCATCGTCCGTCATCTCAGCGGCGGCGTTCTCCTCCAGAGCTTCAGCTTCCTCCTGCTTTCGCTTTTGCTCGTCTTCATTCCTTGCCTCTTCCAGCATCTTGGCCTTCTCGGCACCAGCTTTCCTCTGGGCGACTACATATGCTCCAACCGGGGTCTTCTCCCACTCGAAGTCTTTCAGGAAGGCATCAACCTGTGCTCGGTTTTTGGGCGCGAAGTCTACCTTTGCCCGCTTGCCCTCGACAAACTTCGCGTTCGCCTCGAGCTTCTGAACAAGCAGAACGAGACCCGCACGGAGCTTGCCATTGTTATTGCCGGCTCTTCCCTTCCTCGACTGCTTGAGCCATCGCTTGAGCATGATTATGACTGGCAACGCGAATTCGGGAAACGCAATGTTCGTTGACCATAAGACAAAGTATTCACAGAACAGCTCCACCACTTGATCTCCGACACCATCCTGATAAATTCGCGTTCGCAGGTACGACTTTGGCGCTTTGTAAGCAATGTGAAAATCGAGCGGCTTGAGAGTGGTATTCTTCGGTGATTTCCTCATCTCAGCCGAGTTCAGGACCTCTAGCAAAGCAGAAGCTAGCGGGATGTAAGTTCCTGTTGATCGGGAGATACGAAGAAGCGATCGGATCATGTGGAAGCGTAGAGGGAAGTAAGTCGCGGTCGGAATAAGCCGCATTGCTCCAAGCGTAACTTGTACAAGGGGGTAGATGAGCAGCCTGAGTTGAGACTCCTTCCCAGACTCGGCCTCCTTGAGAGGGTTGCAGTGTTCCGACAACACGCATGACCAAAAGTCGAGTGAGTGGATGTACTGCCAGTTGTAGATCTTCTTGTACGACTCGTTCTGGTTGTGGACGATGCTGTTGCGAAGATGGATGGCAAGTTGTCGGATGAAGCTGAACGCAGTGGTATAGCCAGTATTCTGGTCTAGCCCCCAGAGCTCCGCAGCCGAGTTCTTCATCAGATTGATACCCTGTACAGTGTTGACATTCGTGACCCGAGCACCCGCAATCAGGCCTTGGTAGGTCGCCTTCAGCACAGCTTCTTTGATGCCCTTATCGCCAACAACAACTAGTCTGCGGAGAGCAAGGAAAGCGGTGATCCGGGTCGAGTCGCTGCTAGTGGACTGTGACCAGAAGCTCACCACAGTCTTGATGAGGTTCTTTAGCAGTTTCCGAAAGCTCAGGAGGTATGGTACAACGGGCGTTATAGCCGAAAGAGTCAATTTGAGGGTGGCATCATCCGACAACGTGCCAAGCAAGTGCAGTATCGCAGATATGTAGGAACGCAGTAGGGTAGACAAAGGCTTGAACTTCTTGGAATCTGTTGGCACTTGGACCTTGCCAAATGTCGACTCTTTGATGGGAACGTGGTGTTGTAAGACTTCGGGTATTTGCTTGAGCGCAACAACCAATATATCGTGGAACACTTCGGGGCTCGAAATGGTGTATCGCTGCTTCGTGTCTTCTTCGACATCGTCGTGATTCAAGTGTGCCGCAGATCGGAACGCCAGCACGACTTGTCTCGCGGCTCTCAAAGAGTACTTTTCTGACATTGCTGCTTTCCAGCGCGCGACCATTGCTGGGGTGAGTTCGTTATCTAGTCCGGCTTCCTCGTCCGATTCGTCTGCTTTGGCTTGCTTCTTCTCCTTCTTTCGCTTCTTCTTTGGCTGTTCCTGTTCCCGCTCCTCTTCTTCGCCTTCGCTGAGCTCGTCCACCTCGGCCAAGTCGGCATCGTCAAATTCCAACGCTTCGGGGTCGTTTTCCTTCAAGAACTTGTAGAATTCGGGGTCGTCCTTGGCGAGCGCATCCATGGCACCTTTGCTCATACCAATGTCGTCGTCGTCCTCATTGCCAGACTCTTCGCTATCGCTAGCGACGGGCTGTTCGTTGTCGGAGATTTTGAGTTCGCTCGCGTCATCGGACAGAACCCCATCTTCCTGTTCGGGTTCATCGCGTTTGCGCTTGCCCAGCTTCTTCGATGCCTTCTTGGCTGGTTCGGCCTTCTCGATGATCTCGAACCCACCACCGAAGAAGTCGTCCACACTCATGTCATTGACGTTGGCGGTCTTGGATGGCTTGGGCTTGGGTGCCGCATCGCCATCTTCGGCACCTTTGTAGAACTCGGCATCTTTTGATCTTCGGCCTTGCTTCTTCGCCTTGAGCTGTTGCCTCTGTTTCACCTTGGCGTTCTCTTTCCGCTGGTCGAGGACGCCCTTCAGATGCTTCGACTCGAACTTCTTCGTGGCCTTGAAGTTCTTCTTTGCGCCGGCCATTGTGGAGGATTGATCGCACTGCGCCGCTGTGAGGATCGGTCGATTAGAGGGAATTCGAAGAAAAGGCTGCGCAGATGGCACGCTCTGCTTCCATCTCGACTAAGAAAAATAAAATTATAGTGGGGCTTATCGCGGGGCTTTCTTATCGGAATAGCGCCAAGCCTGGAGCAGCTCCGTTGCAGGGCGGTGAATTCGTATTCTGCCACCTGCCACCTGCCACCTGCCGCCTGCCTCATCGTCACAAGCACCTGCACCAGCCCGTAACTTTAAGCAGCAATCTGACCGAAGCTGGGCGTTTCCCTCACCCTTCGAGGGCACCACAACGTGACCCCTTTCTACCCTGCATCGTCGACATATAATTCCACGGAATTTTGTCTACATCATGAATCCACGGCAAGGGTATGCACCAACGCCTCATAGCTATGTCCCGAACACAGCCCTTTCGGCTAAAATCAACCTTGATGAGGTATCCACATGTCCTTCGCCCCACGAAGCTTCCATGGACCTGAACTCATGCTTGTGTAGGAGGTGAAGCTGACCGAGACGCGCGCCGAACGCGACTTGCACGACTCTCTCGCCGAGATCTTCTCCATCATCATCACCCTAGATCAGCTTGAAAGAGCATTTCTCAAGGATGCGATACCTGAAGCCGACTATACGGAGATCTGCGAGCGGTCTCTGAAGCAATATAAGTCTATCCTCGCAGATGACACGGTAGCCAATGCCTTCGTGGGTCTGGAAGAGTTCAAGGCCGAGTGGGAGGTGAGACAGGCACCGCTGCCCTCGACCATTGATTGATCATTTGCTCACTGCAGATACAGCTCGAAGTGCCCCGGGCGACAGAGCGACTCAAGGTGGGCATGCCGTCGACGACCGTCACTGCCTCTACAGGCAATGCACCACAGCCAACTGCACCGACGAATAACAAGTCTGGTGCACTGATTCTCGAAGCCACACAAGATTTCATCACCTTCTTAGACGCCCTTCGGTTGGGTCTCCTGGCCAAGGATCAACTGCACCCTCTCTTGACCGATGTCATCCAAAGTGTTAACAAGGTTACGGACCGAGACTTTGAGAATCGGGGCAAGATTGTGCAGTGGTTGATCACATTGAACCAGATGAAGGCGACGGAGGAGCTGAGCGAGCAACAGTCAAGAGAGCTCGAGTTGGACATCAATTCTGCGTACTTAGGTTTCAAGAACACCCTCTGAGATACCCCGGTTGGTTGTGACGTTGTTTGCTTGTCAGGTAGCTCTTTTGGCTATTTTATGCCCTTTCTTGAGGCCGGATGCAGATGGCTGCTTGATGTTTGATGGTCGGGAAAGGCGCTCCGGGAATGGGCAGTTTGCGTTGGAACCGCCAGTATGGCTTCTCAAGTGCAGAGGAAACAGGATGTTCAAGAATCGGGATGTTGGCAGGGTCAGTCTTCGGTCCTGGACTCTGATTCATGAATGGCCGGGGTGCCGTGCAGAGACCCACCTGCAGGGTGCGCCTCGTCGCAGCGGATCATCATCAATTGAAAAGGTGTTCAAACTTCAGCAATCCATTGCAACAGAGCGCGAGAGGCACTGCTCGCGAAGAATCACAGCCAGACCTTCTCCATATTCAACTCCAACCATATACTCACAGCTCGTTATCCTGCCGGCGGCTTCAACCCTCACTATGCAGCGGACGTATCTTGCATTTCAGCGCAATGCCAAACTCCACAGCCTCCAAACGGTAGTCACCGCTGTGAGATCGGTTTCATCTCTGGAGGACGCAAACCGGAGTCTCTTCAAGCAAGCCAACGACGATGACCATGTCGTGATCACGGAGCAGACCATCTTCCATCCGCAGGGTGGTGGCCAACCTTCTGACGTCGGCGTGATGAAGAGCGATACCGGGGCGAATTTCGATGTGTCCCTGGTGAGGATGAACGCCGTGACAGAAGGCGAAGTACTCCATTTTGGCCGGTTCACCGATACCTCATCTGTCTTCAAGCCAGGCGAGACAATCACCCAGACCATCGACAGCGACAAGCGCAACCTGTACTCGCGTTATCACACCGCAGGCCACGTCCTCGGCGCAGCCGTCCGCCATCTCCTCGAGAAGGAAGTGGCCAACTTTGACGAGGTCAAAGCATCACACTTCCCCGACTCGGCAGCGTGCGAGTTCCAGGGGCTGATCGAAGGGAAGTGGAAGGATGCGATACAGACGCGGCTCGACGACTACATCAGCAAGGACATGCCGGTCGAGATAGACTTCTGGGACGAAGACAACTTCAAGGCCAACGGTCTCGAGAGACTCATCCCCGACCGCAGCGCCATGGGCATGGCGCCGGGTGAGAAGTTCCGCGTCGTCAAGATGGTCGGTGCTGAGGCATATCCCTGTGGAGGAACGCATGTCGATAGCACCGAGCAGTGCGGCAAGACGAATGTCAAGAAGATCAGTCGGTCGAAGGGCGTGAGTCGCGTCGGCTACGTGCTTCCCTGAAGACGTCGACGACGCCAATTCGGGTCCGTGTCTTCAACAATCGAATACCACCTTCATGCCACAAATAGAGCCCGACCGTCCTAGGTCAGTAGGTTAGACCCGGAGCGGATGCACTTGTTCGCGCAGTAGCAGAACAGAATACATAGAGGATTGGGCCCTATCTGGCATTCACAATGGGGAGACGGCCCTGCCTCTGCATGACTCCGCGTGAGCATGGGCTTACAAATGACGGGATGACGAGCATTACAGGAGGTCTAGCAATGTCACGTTCTTCAGATAGACGGATATTCGAAGTCGATAACTCAGGAGATACTTTAAAGCACTCTGAGGGCAGCCGTGTCCATGTCAAGTGTCGGCGAGAGACAATCCAAGGGTCTCTTGTCGGCTAGTGCGCATGGCGTATTCAGGATTGTTGTGTATGCCAGGTTATTCGGTGCTCTCATGCCGTCGTTCGTGTACTGCAGGATGCTGAACATGGGTTCAAGATCCAACCTAGATGGTAACAGTAATCAGGCAGGGGAGTTAATGGGCCGACCGTGCCGGTGCCACTAGTCGTCCGGGAGCTCCGCAGGTGAATCTTTATGTTTGCCTTCCCTATGACGATAATCATAGGAGGACGCTTTCCCGGAGGAGTGGAATCCTGTTCAAACGGGTATGCCGAGTTCCACGTTGCTAAACTTGGGAACTACCAGTAGCCTTTACCAGCATCTAGGCCCTGGCGCCTGGGCCCCGTGGCATGGTTAGCCACATACAGGTGTCCAGGATACAACTGGGGACCTACATTGTAGACGCCATATTTAGATCAAAATCCTATAAGGCTAACCTTACAAGCTAAGTGGCGGAGAGATCGAAGGAACTTGCCAGGGGTGGGACTTCATATATCTTTCCCACACTTAAGTTCCGAGTAGAATTCCTATCGAGCGTGCCCTAAGTCTTTACTCTGGTGGTTTACCTGATAACTTTACCAGTTGGGTTTAGATTACCTCGAAGCGGCAAACAGCCCTTGCTGTAGAAAAGAGCCTCCCTAAGGATGTCTACACCGAAGGCGAAACTCCGTTTTTAGGATGCATCTCGGTGATCTCATGCGTCATGGTTTTGCGACAGTGATAAAAATTCTTAACGAGTACCCCGTGTGTATCACTACAAATACCTCCATGTCGCCCTTTATATAAACCTAAATCATGCACCAAACTCGTTCCTCTCAAAACACGAATCTCACTCGAATATCCTTACTTCCATACACTCCATCGAAAGCAGAGCCTACCGAGCACATCTATTCCGCCAACTCGACCACACATTCTCCGAGGTGAGCACGTGCAGACTTTGCTTTTCATAGTTCTTTGAGGCGATTAATGTATGTAATGTTGTAGATGTATACCCCCATCACCAAGCTAGCATTGTTGTCTTTGGCCGTGGCCAACGCATTTGCGTACTAAATCTCGTGGGAGAACAAATGGCAAAATCCGATTGGCGACCGCATCGAGTCACATGATACCAACTTCAAGGTCTTCAAGATCCCTATCAATGCTGAGTACGTGGAAGTTTTTGAGTTTACGGACTTGAAGGGTTGGTTCTGGTATGACTTGGACATAGCAAAGAATAGAGACAAGGTTAGCGACAGTGATTTCCCCGGCCACATAGTTAAGGAAAAGGATGGTGGAAAGTTTACTGGAGCTGGAATTCACGAGATCCCGAAGGGCGCTGAGGCTATCCGCATTTCTAAAAAAATAGACACGGGGGCTCTGCTTTTTGTTGTCTTTTAGGAAATTTGGGTTCGGCTCTTCCCTTACGGTCGAAGAGCTTAATAATCAAATAAATCGGGTGTTGTCATCTTCATTGGTAGCGCGCTGGGCCAGGGTAGATCAGCTATGTAAATCAGGTCATGTGTAGCTTGCGACCACTCGTTAGCCACGGGCAGGTGTCGACACACTCTTGTTACGCTTACAAGCAGTACAGCCTTTTCATCACGGAACAGCCCTTTACTTCGAGTCCACACATTGGAAATGGCCATGTGTATATCTAGCTTTCTCGTACTGAAGGGACGACACTGCTCCAGACTGCCCATGCCCTCAATCGCTGACGGCAACCCTATCAAGTTCACACAGCTTGTCAGGTCCCAACGTGTCTGCATAAAAGGAAGCTATAGAAGGCGCCCGACCTGGGGCCTCTCTCAGCATCGTCGTCTCGTCACGGAGGCCCAGCTTCTCAAGAACCATGTGCCTAAATCGTCTCTTTGCCATGCCATCAAGGACGTCTTGCTGGAAATTGGCAGGAAATATATCAGCAGCAAAATACTTCACCCCAGACGTACCAAAAGTAGCCAGCCTCAAATCCAAAGCCCATGATGTGTGCCTTTGTCGTGTATAGATGTCCACGGTCACTGCGCCATACGTCAGTAGTTTGGTGCCGAGTTTCGTTCCGGACAACGTACTTAGGCACATCAAGGCCCTCAACACCACTACCAAACATGAGGTCGCGCCCAATCTGGTCGTAGAGCTGTATGTAGCTCATATCGTTGAGGCCATCGGCGGGTGGAGGGACTCACGCGTCAAAGTAGCTGGATTGGAGGGATCGCATAAGTTAGTCTTGAGCGCGAAGAATTCATGCTTCTCAAACACTATGGCGTCTATCATCTCATCTGAGGTGGAGCAGTCTGTGCGATAGTGACGCGAAACCAATTCGAGAACCAACAGACGGACTCCAAGCCCACTGCCCGAGTAGGAGCGAAGGAAGCTCAATAATTATTGAAAGACCAGTCCCGTAGCCCACCGCGTATTTCGGCCGGGATACGAGGAAGTGCAAGGCGTGGCCCATTTCGTGGAAGACGCTGACGAGTTCCCCGTGCGTCATCAACGCAGTCTTGTTGACTTCGGCTTCGGCTTCGGGAGGCGGGTACTGATGGCGACGACCGGTAGATACCAGACCATCGGCGGAAGCTGCACTGCCACCGTGGCAGCAGCACAGATCGACGGCTACCCGACGGCTATGAGCCTCAATCCTACCGTGCACTCATTCCCAGAGACCTCAACCATGTGCCCAAAATGATTGGCTGACGCGGCAACAGATGGAGCAATCTAAGGTTAGTAGTGCTTAGCTTCTAGACTTCCAGGTTGAGTCTCTTGCGCTGCCCGCCCCTTTATTAAATAGCGGGGTTGCCCGCCAGTGGGGGTAGGGTAGTAGGTTCTCGCGGGCATTTCAGGGTTCTCTGGTGTCTTCCGAGGTCCTCTCTCGGAGACGACACGTGGGATGTTGGCCGACTCATACGGGCTGCACCATCAACCGACACGGGCAACTCAGTCAGGATGTCACCTCAGAATGAGAAAGACGGGAACGTATGGCCGTGGAGGTGGATTCCGGGGGAACGTATATATCCCCAGAACTCTTGTTTCCTCCCTTTCCCTGCCCGCCTCAAGTTCTTACAGCAAAACCACTTCAACACCACAGAGGCCCCCTCAACACCCCTTCTCTCATATGCCTAGCAATGAGAGAGTACCATGGATTTTCTTGGTGGTAACGTATTGCCCGCGAGTCCGGAAACCCGAATCTATCTTGCCGGAGTAGGTGTGGTCCTCGTCGTGGGACTGTGCTTCTCAACACTATCTACGAAGAAAGCCAAGGACGATCAGAACCCGACTCTCCTTCAGTCATTATGGCTGTTCTTCTACTCCTGCTTCCTCAAGCCCCACAATGGCGATGCCAAGGGAACACAACAAGATGCCCTTGAGAGCTTCTACAAGACGCAGGCCGGCGCCTACGATGCCACCAGGAAGGCTCTCCTCAAGGGCCGCGAGGACATGCTAGCTCTCGCTGCTGCTCAACTCGTGTTTAAGGCCAAAAAGGACGGTGCGGTTTCGAATGAGACCAGACGCATCTGGGTTGATGTCAGTAGTCTACACTGCTCGTCGAATTCGCATCACTAACCCATACCACAGGTCGGCGGTGGCACAGGCTGGAACATAGAGACCATGTCCAGGTTTGTGGACGTGCCCAACTTCTTCGACAGTGTCTATCTTGTCGACTTTTCGCCGTCGCTCTGTGAGGTTGCTCGCAAGCGGTTTGACAGACTTGGCTGGAGGAATGTCAAGGTTATCTGCCAGGACGCGAGAAAGTTCCGCCTTGACCAATACGAACCAGTCAGCCCAGGGTGTCGCTCGTGGTCGCCGAGCATGGGCTACTTCACAGAGGACGGCCCCAAGCATGGCGGCGCCAGCTTGATAACTATGTCCTATAGCCTGTCTATGATTGTAAGCAGATCTCCCATGGTCGGCGCGTGTGAGCTAACAGTACCAGCCTGACTACTATTCTGTCATTGACGCGCTTCCGTCTCTCCTGGCTCCTGACGGCATCATCAGTGTCGTGGACTTCTACGTGCAGTCTGAGGTGGATGTCAGCTTCCGGAACTATACTGGCGGTCTTATTGACCGTCATGTCAACTTCTTGGGGAGGACGTTCTGGCGCGCGTGGTTCGATATAGACAGAGTCGCTTTGGAGCCAGGCAGACGAGACTTTCTTGAGTACCGCTTCGGCACAGTCCTCAATGTCAACGCTCGCAACAACATTCTGGGAGCTATTCCCTACTATATCTGGCTGGGCACTCACAAGCGCCCGGTCTCGCCGAGCCTCCCGCACGACGTCGTGGAAAAGGTTGATGCGCTGGTCACGGAGTCGCCCTATCTACATCCGGCCAACCACTCAGCCGCTCTCTCGCGCGCAGTCGAGAAAGCTGCACCAGAGATCCGATCCAAGGCTTTCGACGCAGCGATCGTCAACCTCTCCTCTAACCTGCCGCTTCCGTCTTCCTTCTACCAGAACCACCACTACCGCATCTACTATGACGATCAGCTCAAGAAGCATACCCAGTTCAACGACGAGTACATCTACGCCTTTACCTGGGAAGACACCCGCGTCGACGAACGCATCCTGAAGCTAAAGCCCGACGATGTGGTTCTCGCCATCACAAGTGCCGGCGACAACATCTTGTCCTACGCGCTCCAGAGCCCAGCTCGAATCCATGCTGTCGATCTGAACCCGACTCAGAACCACTTGCTCGAGCTCAAGATAGCTGCATATTCGTCGTTGCAATACGAAGACTTCTGGAAGATCTTTGGCGAGGGAAAGCACCCCGACTTCCGCTCCTTGCTCATCTCCAAGATGTCGCCTCACCTGTCGAGCCGCGCTTTCCAGTACTGGCTCAGCAACCACCACATCTTCACCAAGAGCCAAGGCGGGCTTTACGACACCGGCGGCTCGAAGCACGGTATCCGTATCTTCCGCTGGATCACTCGGGTATTCGGGTGCCGCTCCGCCGTCAAGGATCTGCTCACCGCGAAGACCCTCAACGAGCAGAGAGAGATCTGGCGCACCCGGATCCGACCCGCCCTCCTCTCCCGGCTCGTCTCCAAATTCGTCGTCAGCCAAGAATCATTCCTCTGGACCGCCCTCGGCGTGCCGAAGAACCAACTAGCCATCATCGAGCAAGATCACGCCCTCTCCGACGCCGTACGCGGCCCGAACGCGACAGCCAAGAACACGCGCTCGCACGCCATCTGGGCGTACATGGTCAGCACCCTCGACCCGATGGTCGAGTGCACGCACATCGCGGCCGACAACCCGTACTACTACGTCTGCCTCGAGGGCAAGTTCTCGCGGCGGTGCCACCCGGACTACCTGGCGCCCAAGGCGCACGCACGCCTCGCCCGGTCTGGTGCTCTGGACAACCTGCGCATCCACACGGACGAGATGGACGAGGTGCTCGCGCGCATGACGCCCGGCACGCTCACCGTCGCCGTCGTCATGGACAGCATGGACTGGTTCGACCAAAACTCCAACGCGGCGGCGGCGCAGATCACGAAGCTCAACCGCGCGCTCAAGATGGGCGGACGCGTCCTGCTGCGCTCGGCTGGCCTGCGGCCCTGGTACCTGAAGGAGTTTGAGAGGCATGGCTTTGTGTCGAGGTGCGTGGGGTCGCGTGAGGGCGGCAAGTGCATTGATCGGGTTAATATGTATGCTTCGTGCTGGATCTGCACCAAGAGGGATAATCTGGCGCCGCCGACTCCGGACTTGGATTCTATGGTCGGGGCTGATATCGCGAGTCTGGAGATCTGAGATGGTTGCGACGGTTGGATGTCCGACACCATTGAGGTTGGGACGATTCACAATGGTCATTTGACTCGTGGAGCAAGAAGCGTTCTGGGTATGAGGGTACGATGAGCATGATGCTACGCGACGAGCTGTCACATTGGATGAAAGTATTGAGGCCGATGGACGAGTGTCAATCCGATTTCTTCTAGTTTACGACAGAGTGCCAACTCAATAGCTTACACTATTCACAAGTCATTTACGATCTTATGAAACTCGTGGGACCTAAGGATAACTAGCTCGGCGAATAGTCAAGATGTGCGGTGCAAGCGATGACTTTGGCGAGCCGAGGTCGGGTGCGACGGACAATGTGGTGCGCCGCTGGGTTGGAAATCCCTCTAGGCTCCGGCTTTCTATTTTTAGGAGGGCCACATCCATCTTTTACGAAAAACCGATGACAAGCATCGTCAATTCACATCAACCTCACAATAGTAGACTCTGCGGTCAACTATGATGTGATAGAAAAGCGTCCGTTCAATTCATAATTCAATCGCGCAGCCACGGTGTCACGGCTAGCCTATCAGAATGGCGCCTCTCACCAACGAGCCGGACGCGATACGCGTCGTGCTGAACATGGCGCGACGCAAGGCATACTACAGCCTGGTATCCGACATCATCGCCTACATGCGGTCACAGCTAGAACCGCATCATCATCACAGCCCCGAGAGCACACCGCCCTCATCATCATCATCATCTACACACAAACAGAACCCGCCGCCGCCGTATTCCGAGTCAGCAGACGCGCCGCTCTTCGCGTCCCGCACCAACAGCAGCAACAACAACCGTCCTCAGCGCCAAAGCTACGATCTACAACAGAGCGAAAGCCCTCACAGCAGCCATGAGGTCTCGCCGCCACAGCCGCCACGTCCGGCTCAGCGACATGCGCCGACCAGCCCGGCGCTCGTCCGCCTGCGTAAGGCGGCGCTCGCGCACTTCGATGCGTGGCGCGCCGCCACGATGGGCAAGCTTAAGGAGGTAGTCGCCAAGAACGACGACCAGACGGTCGTCGAGGCGCGGCGGAAGCGGGCTGAGGCGCTCAAGGCGCGGGCAAGGGATGTGCCGGGTGAGGGGGAGGACTTGCTCAGTTTTGGGGAGAGTAGCAACAGTATCAACAGCAACACCCCTAGCACTACTAACACCTCCTCCGCCTCATCGTCAGGGACACGCTCCCGCGCGGAGGACGACGACAAAGCCAGAACAACAGCCTTCCAAGCGCTCTACCACCAGATCCCAACGCGACTAACCACAATCCCGCTCGCGGACCGCAAGGAGGTGCTCAGCGCGACGCTGATCCTATTACTGTCCTTCGGGAACTACTCAGCGCACTCGCGCACTTTAATCTGCCACCTCGGCTCCGCGCTAGAGATCCCGCCCACGTTCCTGGACGCCGAGGAAACAGAAATCGCGACGACGATGGTGGGTGCGGCGCAAAAGGCCGACGCCGACATGAAGAAGCAGAACGGCATGTCCGCCGAGACCGAAGCCCAAAAGCGCCGGGAGCAAGGCCAAACCGGCCGCTTCTGGAAGGTCGGCCTCGCGTCCGTGGCAGGCGCCGCGCTCATCGGCGTGACGGGCGGCCTGGCAGCGCCGGCGGTCGCGGGCGTCATCGGCGGGCTGATGGGATCGGTCGGGCTCGGCGGCCTCGCGAGCTTCCTGGGAATCTTCTGGATGAACGGCGCGCTGGTGGGGGCGCTGTTCGGCGCTTTTGGGGGCAAGATGACGGGCGAGGCCGTCGACCGGTATGCCCGCGAGGTCGAGGATTTTCGGTTCCTGCCGCTGAAGGCGGAGTGGGGTGAGGGCAATGGGAGTGGGTGGTCGCGCGACGGCCCCGAGGCGAGGAGGTTGAGAATCACGATCGGGATTAATGGATGGTTAGAAGAGGAAGCCGACGTCAGTCGGCCGTGGCGCGTCCTGGGCGACGAGACCGAGGTCTTCGCGCTGCGCTACGAGATGGGCAGCCTCATGGCGCTGGGTCGGCGGCTGAGGGAGCTGGTCGCGTCGAAGGCGTGGGGAGCGGTGCGCGCCGAGATCTTGCGACGGACGGTGCTGGTTTCGCTGCAGGGCGCGCTGTGGCCGCTGTTCTTGCTCAACTCGGCCGCTGGCATTGATAACCCTTTTAGCTTGGCAAGGAATAGGTCCGAGAAGGCGGGCCGCATCCTGGCGGATGCGCTGATTAATCGTGTTCAGGGGGAGCGGCCTGTCACGCTCGTGGGCTACTCGCTCGGTGCGCGCGTCGTGTACGCGTGTCTGCGCGAGCTGGCGGAGCGTAAAGCCTTTGGGCTTGTTGATACGGCGGTGCTGGTCGGCGCGCCCGTGCCGTCGAACGCGGGCCACTGGCAGATGATGCGGGCCGTCGTCGCCGGAAGGCTGGTTAATGTGTACAGCGAGAACGACTACATCCTGGCGTTCCTGTACCGCAGCACGAGCCTGCAGCTGGGCATCGCGGGGCTGCAGCCCATCGACGCCGAAGTGAACGGCGTCGAGAACCTGGATTTGAGTGCTGAGGTCCAGGGCCATCTGAGGTATCCGGAGCTGCTGTCTCAGATCTTGAGCCGGTGTGGGTTTCCCGGTCTGCGAGGGGGCGCGGAGGTCATTGAGAGGGAGGTAGAGGCGCTGCGTGAGATTCAGCTGCGGGATAGCGATTTTGCGGAGATGGGCAATCTGATTGATGTGGAGGAGCCGGTGCGGGCGTCGCGGGATGGGCTAGAGGTTATGGGGAATAAGAAGTTTGATCCGACGGTTAAGGACCTGAAGGAGCTGAAGAGTGAGGCCATCGTCAGGACTGCGAGGCGCATGGGGCCAGAGAAGGAAGACGCGGATGCTCCTTCTGCGGGTATTCCGTCTTCTGCAATAACGAAGCCCGTTACTTCGTCCATGACGAATCTACACGAGAGTCTGCCGCCTCTCCAGACGCGCTTCGGTGATGCCGAGAGGTCGGCCAGCACGAGTCACATTCCTCAGGATCTGTCGTCTAGCTACTCGGGGGTGGGCAGGGATGATGATTACGACTACGATGACGATGCTGATGAATACGGCGGCAGTATCGAGATGATGGATAATGATGGCGATGGCGACCTTACTACTGTTGAGCCTCTCCGGATAGACGATTGAGAATATGTGCTGGGTAGGCGGCCTGCATTACCAATTATATCTACACGAGAGACGAGTTACGTGTCGTGCATTTCGGGTATGTGATCCCACTCAGGATCTGACATCAAGGGCCTGGGTATACGGTCACTCATCCCGTCAGCCTACTATACCGTGAAACAGAGTGTCCACGACTGGATTGAAACCCCTTTTGGCCAAAGTAGCACAAATAGATTTCTGCACGGTTCGTCTATAGCCAGGACCAACAATGCAAGTGCCTAAGCATACGCGAACCAGACATTAACTCCGTGATCTGACGGAGGTTACACGGAAGCAGCATATCATGTCAGACAGAACTCCCAGGAACCCAATCGCATGACAAAAAATCTGTGGATTCCCCCAAGACGTGCATCCGGGCAGCCCGGGGCTGTGAAGTGGGAAGGACGAGAGCGGACCCGATTATTCAGCAGCCGAGAGTCGGCGACATGGATATAAGTTAAGGCGTGAATCTCGGTCCTGACGACGCTCAGGTTCTTCCCCTCGTACCTAGCCTGCTAACCTTGGACACTTACTCTTCCGACGTCAATACCTCCAAGCTGTCTCCCTATTACCTCAGCAGCTTTATACCTAAGTCCCTTTTTTACTGCCAGCTTCACACATCGACACCGCCCTTCAAAATGGTGACCCTCAACCTCGCCTACACCGCCCCCATCAACCCCGCCGGCGCATCTCCTGTCCTGACACAAGCCCAAGTATGGGAGGGCCTCAAGCTCAAAGTGCGCCGCGCGCAGGACTTCGTCCCGGTCATCCTCGATTGTAAAGTGCTGTCCGAAGAGACTCTGCCGACGGGCAATCTCAAAGTCACGCGCGAGGTCCAGTTCGCGGCGCACATGAACCCCGACGACAAGGTGAAGCCCGTCACGGAGCGCTGCGTGCACTACGCGCCGACCTGCGTCGTGTTCGAGCAGGAGGACGGCAGCTCCGTGATCAATGTCGTTAGTCATGGGCCCGGCGGCGAGGGGGATTTGATGATGACGTATGTGTTTGAGTGGCGGTATCCGGTTGTCGAGGCGGGCAGCGTGGAGGCGAAGGAGTTGGGTGAGAAACATTTGAAGGTTCGTCTGTTTTGTCTCCTGACTGCTATTTGAGTTTCCTTTTCTTTCGCAATTGGCATGTTCTGACGGCGCTTTGCAGATGGCCAAGATGGCGGTCGAGGGCAGCATCGACACCATCCGTCGCTTCGTAAAGGACGGGAAGATTCAGTCATAACGGCGGTTTCCCTACGTGACCCACCCATGAAGCCTCGATGCTCGGTCAGGGGCGTATGACAGGAGAATGAACGCAACATACTGTCATTTGGAAGAAGGCCGTGGGCCGTTTAGATTCGGGTTACTCCGGTTTTGGAGATGGTCAATGTTATGTACATGAAGACGCCTGCATTGTCATGCGTCCTGGGTGACATTTCGGAAGTGACAGGACGTTAGCTGCTCATACAACGAGAAGCGGATGACTTGACATACCCAGTTCCCTACTATTGGCTTTGCTCGGTTTGCTTACTACCATCTGAGAGTACCGTAATATTTGGACGTCTACAGTCTGATGGTCTAGGGTTAGGGTTAGGGTTAGGATCCGAACGGATGCCCCATGCCATGTATCGATTTCTCGCATCAGATAAATCGTCGCATGGACCGATTGCGCACCAGCTTTGCCTTCGAGGTTTCGCTGGACATGTGACAGGACTGTGCCTGCTGCATGTCAGATCTGGGGTGTCCAGAGCGCGACCGATCTCCGCACGCAATCCTCCAACCTACTATACTCTACAGACACACGGTAATCGCCAAACGTCAACATGGCAGACATCTACCGGTCGGAGCGCCTCGCCTACATCCCAATAGAGCAAAACAAGGAATGCGATGACTTCCTATACCAGCTACTGAAAGAACCGTATGTAAGACACCGCGCCCGCGTAGAATCAAGTCCGCCGGTCACTAACACTAATAACTCGGCGGGTGCTCCAGAGCGGCAGTCAACTTCGACCCCGCGCTGCCGGTCGGCACGATGCGCTCAAGCATCGAAGCCGTCACGGGGTCAATAAGCTCAGCCACATTGATAACCATGTACATCTGCCTGCCGGGCCCAGATCCCGAACCGGTACCGGTCGGCATTATCGCCCTGAACAGGTCGGCGCCGAACAAGGCGCAGCACGGCAACACGTACATGAGTCTCATGGTCGCGCAGGCGCAATAGCGCCACGGCTACGGTCGCGAGGCGGTCGCGTGGGTTCTGGGGTGGGCGTTCGACTTTGCGCGACTGCATCGCGTCGAGGTTACTTGCTATGGTTGGAACCAGGGGGCATTGAGACTGTATCAGCGTCTTGGGTTCGAGTTAGAGGGGACGAGACGGGAGGCACTGTGGTTCATGGGCAACTGGCACGATTCGTACGAACTTGCGATACTGGAACGTGAGTGGCGTGCTAGGGTCGCGGAAAAGGGGGGCAAGGTGGAAGCACTGACCACCCGCGAGGTCGCGGAGAGGATGGGCTCTGCCTAGAGCAGTCTGACAGAGTAACGTTCCTAGAGAGATATACTTCCGCATAGCCAAGCTCTTAGATGTCACGGCGGACTGGCTCAGGGGTCTTGTTGTGGAAGAGAATATAACAGAAGGCGTTTCTGTGTCGTGAGACTTCGGAGCACATCCAGAGCACTCGAATGCATCGTTCAGGCCAAACCTAAACCGGCAACGCTCACAGCATGTGGCCCTTTTCCGTTCGAGGAAAGATTGCTCAAGTACTGATCGGGAGGGCGACACCATCCACGTGTACGAGACCGCTGGCCTGGCTACAGACATTGCCTCGGCATCGCGCTCGCTGAGTAATTCCTAACTGGCCGGCGAGGCTGGCTTCACCTCACAACCCGAGACTGTCCATATGCTTTTGGATGCAACCGAACGTGTCCGCTCGGTGCTTAGCGGATGTGATATTCCAACGACCTGCGAGCCAAGGGCCCGGATACCTGGGTGGCGAGACGCACGGTTGTCGAAGACGGAAACATCTCCTAAGCCGGGGCTATCCTGCGGCGCACCACGCGACCAACGTGGTATTTCACCAGGGGTCGTCCATATCAGGTGTCGACTTTGCTAGCTTCGTGGCCGTAACAGTCCAATTCGACGCAACGTCATAGCTGTAAGCGTCAGCACACACCCCGAGGCTATGGTCAGACAGAGCCGCCCAATAATAAAGTTATTAAATGTGCAATGGAGACGTTCCACAGCAGTAGTTTGAGAGTTTACCCCGGATTGGAGAAACTGGCCAGGGGGTAATGGTCATGCGAGCCTCGTCTTCAAGCGAGCTAGCTTGGCATTGGAATGCAACAAAATTCTGACATCTTTTTGAATGGCCATTATGTCGATGGTTGCCCTCGTGAGATTCTGAAGGCCAATCCACACACCGCTTCAGAGTCCGGCCGATATGGTTGGCGGAGTACGGTCATCACGAGAAACACCAGTTGACCTTTCTTCGCCATCATCACCTTCTCATTCTGTGCTGGCGGTCCGTTAGGGTTGCTAGGATTGTTGTCATCTCGGACCGCAGATTGGCTTGCCGAGTAATTTTGACATCTTCTTGAATGGCCATTTTTCTCGCCGAGTGCCCTCGTGAACTTACAAAGCTCCGACTCACACACCGCTCCCAGGTCCGGCCGGTATGGTTGGCGGAGTACGGTCATCACGCGAAACCCAAAACACCAGTCGACCGTTCTTCGCCATCGTCACCTTCTTGTTCGGTGCTGGTGGTCTTCATGGGATCGCGGGGCTATTGTCGTCGCGGACAGCACATTGGCCTCCGGTTTCTGTTGGTGTCTCGATATGTGGTCATCTGACTCAGCAAGAGGTTGTTGAGTGTACGTGTCTGCCATTGACTCGAGCAATGCGAGGTAATGGTCTGGGTGCGAAGGTGGGAAGGTGGCCGCAAGGAAAAGAAACAATGGCATAACGGATATCTCATCTGACCACAATGACGTGGATGGATAGCAGATATCTCATCCGACCACAATGACCTGGACGGTTTTGTCCGCAGGGATATGGGAATGGGTATGTAGTGTCAATGTTTTTGTATAAGGTCTTGAGGAGCCTTCGAGTTGGGGTGGAATGTGTATGTCGGTTTCTAAACACAATTCCAAGCACATAATACAACCAACATGCTGGCCAAAGTCATATCAGTCGCTCTTGCTGCTTGTGCACTGGTGTACGGTGCACCAGCTGTCCTTGACAAACGTCTATCAGCAGCCGGCAATCCCGTTGTCATCGACGGAGCCGGGATCTATATCCGGGCCAACCGCATGAACGACGGCAGCATCATCGCAGGCTACGCATCAGGTGAGGGATCTCAGAAAGTCCTCGAGACAGCCAGGTCAACCAACAGCGGCCAGTCGTGGACTCATCTCGGCGAGGTCTTCCGAGCGGACTACGCTACCGTCGACCTCGACAACGCCATGCCGATACAACTTCCCAGTGGTCGTGTCCTATACGCATACCGCAACCACGATAAGAGCAGTAGTGGCGCATATACCTATTACCGGATCACCGTCTCCTACTCGGACGACGGAGGCAAGACGTTCCAGTTCTTGTCTGCCGTCGAGCAGCGTGCGGCTTCTGGCGTCAACGGGCTGTGGGAGCCGTTCCTGCGACTGGCGAACGACGGGAGTCTTCAGTGTTACTACTCGTCCGAGAATAGTGCAACCGACCAGGATAATCTCATGAAGCGCTCGACCGACGATGGGGCGACTTGGTCGAGCGCAACGACCGTGTCTAATGGGAAGACGTCCCGCGACGGCATGGTCGGTGTCGGGCCTATCAATAGCGGGAAACTCATGTGAGTATTGCATCGAGCAGCGATAAAAGTCCATCTCATCCCATCCCTATGCGAGGCTTGAGTACCGTACGATGAATCTGACATCAGACCGCGCAGTGCTGTATTCGAGAACACCGAAGACGGACCCTACTCGATCGACTACGTGACCTCGACGAACGACGGGTCAAGCTGGGGTGGGCGGACGAGGCTCTACACAGCCCGCAACGGCCAAAATGCCGGAGCGCCACAGGTCATCAACGTGGGTGGCACGCTGGTAGTCAGCTTCATGACGAACGAAGATGTCGCGGGCACCAACGGTATCGACGGGGCTCAGATGAAGGTCGTGACCAGCACGAATGGCGGGAGCAGCTGGAGCGCGAGTGTGGTGACGGGCCAGGCTGCTTCGCACTGGCCTGGTCTTTTCGACCTTGACTCTACTCATTTTCTTGCGCTGTATTCGAAGGATGGCCTTGGTGCAGTGAGCCAGACGTATACGCTGTAGGACTGCTGTACGGCTCGGTGTTTCACAGGATACCACTGCCCATGCAAGACTCACGGCGTTTTATGTTGAGGTTGCGCTGTCAAGGGTTTCGACTTGTACTGTGGTCAGTTTATCGTAAGAAAGCTGGATAATCCGCCTGCAATCCGTTTCAAGGTATTGCATGTCTCGACAGCGATCGTGATATTAGGTGTCTTTCGCACAGGTGTATAAACGTGCAATCGCCTCGTGTCCTTGGGTACTAAGTCCGCTACGAGGGATGTGCAGCAAATGGAAGGGACTGACGAGATGTTGTCAGTTGATTCGGTTGGCCGCGAGGTTTGGCAAGTACCACCAACGTGTGTGGTGCATCGCCAGGCAAGGAAGGAGGCTATACGGCAGGTGCAAGCGTCAAGTGCATCTGCCCAGACATCAACTGCCCACAGGTGGAGAGCTGGAGAGCCCTGTAGCGGAAAACATGGCAGCTGCATGCATGTGGTGCTTCGGGAGGTGGCAAGAGCTTTCCTCCACTGCAGCATGTACATGTAGGCAGACGTCTGCGGACTGCGCCCCTCCATCATGTTGTTATATCCATCATGCCTCTGCTGCGTCCTGCAGGCCCAAGAACAGGCCTCCAATGTTACCATGCCCCCCGACCAGTTATACTGTTGGAAATTATTGTGCCACGTCATCGGGTAGGAGCTCCTCAAGTCGATATTTGCGGCCCGAGGCGTCGTACTTATTCAACACGGGCAACTACACGTCGGGTACCCCGTTCTCAGAGACAGTTCGCAATCAGACAATGGGAACCGAGTAGGTGAATCATACGCATTATCACTGAAGCACGTTCGTCAAAAGCACCGAACAGACATCGACTGCAACCAGCGGCTCGATCCGACCCCATCTGAGTCATTATTGTGTCCCAAGACCGCGCCCTGTCTACACTGAAACCTCGTAAGTCTCCGTACACCACCCTTCCAGCAAACCATGGTATATTCATAAAATCGGAATAAGCACCCTGGAATAAGCAGTTTGATCTTTATTTACTATGCTTGACGCTTATTCCAGGGTGCTTATCCCAGTATTTCTACCTCTCTCACTAGTAGTCTGGAGTCTTGCTAACATGCGCGTACGGAGACTTATGAGGGCTGAGTGTAGCAAATCTAAATCATCATGAGTTTCGGTTTTGGTGTTGGTGACTTCCTTGCCATCATCAAGCTGGTCAACGGCATACGAAAAGACTTTATCGGCGCCCCGAAACAACTGGAAACTCTTGCCAGCGAGGTGCGGAGCCTGTCGATTATCCTGCAGGACGTTGATGTTGTCCTTGGCGACAAACTTCATGAGCCGGACAAGGAAGTCGAGCTGAACTGCATTGCAGAGAGCTGCGAAGTTCTCTTCAACGACCTCACGACATTCGTCCATAAATTTAGTTCGCTGAAGTCAGACCAGAAGAAAGTCCACAGTCGAGCTCGGCGGATCTGGGACGGCTTTAGATTCGTACCTGGCGACGTCGAGGAACTTCAACGGCGCATTTCGGTCAATGTCAGTCTGCTGAATCAAGCGACGCAGAGCCTACTACACGACAAAGTCTCCAAGATTCTACGCTTTCACGAGGATGGGGAGAGCAAAAAGGTGCTCGACTGGATTAGTTCTGTTGACTATGTCCCACAGCAGAATGATCTGCTGAGTCGACGGCAGCAAGGAACTAGACGGTGGCTGCTTGAGTCCGAAGAATTCCAAAGATGGTTGGGAGGGCGCGGCGAGACCCTCTTCTGCCGAGGAATCCCGGGGGCTGGGAAGACTTTCACGACTTCAATGACTATCGAGTATCTGGAAGATCAGTCCCACGACCACCGCGATGTTGGCATAGCTTATGTCTATTGCAACTTTCGGCGGAAGGACCAGATTTGTGATGAGCTACTCTCTAGCCTACTCCGATCGCTAGTGAGCCAGCTACCATCGATTCCCGAGGCGCTTCTGTACACATATCGCCAGCATTCAAGGAAAGGAAGAAGGCTATCAGGAGATGAGGCATTGCAGCAGCTGATCTCAGTCGTAAAGGGGATTCACAAAGCTTTCATCGTTATCGATGCTCTTGATGAGCTTTCAGGGCCCGACAGGCGTCAGGTCATCCCGAATCTTGTCAGACTAAAGACATCCGGGGTCAACCTCTTTGTGACGTCACGAGAGAATCCCGAGATATATGACTCTTTGGGGAATTCAACTTCGATCGAGGTAAGGGCAACAAAAGACGACGTTCGGAACTACCTGGACAGCCACTCGTATCAATTTCCGGTCTGTGTTCGAAAGAGTCCCGAGCTTCAAGAGAGCATCAAAAGATCCATCATTGATGCTGTCAATGGAATGTAGGTCTTCCAATTCTTGTTCCGTGATGTCATCTAATGGAAGCAGGTTCCTTCTCGCGGAACTACACCTAAACTCATTCAGGGGCATCATCACGCGCAAACAGGTCAAAGACGCTTTAGGGAAACTGTCAAAAGGCTCCAATGCTTATGAAGATGCTTACAATCTGTGAGATTTCAAACCGTTCTGTATTGAAAGGAAAGAGAAGAAGATCTCTGGGGGAGAAGCCCCCATATGTACAGGTGTGCCATCAGGGTGACCAGATAATCATATGATAATGGCGCCAGGATCCTGGTGGCCTGAGGGTGGGCTGACTGCCCTGAAGCTAAACCCATTAGCGCATTCAGCCGCGAAAGCCTCAGCCTGGTATGATATCCAACACAATCAGATCATGGAAAGGATTGATAGTCAAGAGCCTGGATACAAGGACCTTGCCATGGACACGATATCGCTGATCACTTGTGCTCAACGACCCCTTAAGATTGATGAGCTTCGACACGCGTTAGCGGCTGGGGTAAACACCCCGGACCTGGAAGACGACAACATACCCGAGGTCGAGGACATAATTACCGCTTGTGCTGGGCTCGTGGACACCGACCCTGAGAGTGATGTCATCCGGCTTGTCCATTACACTACCCAGGAATACTTCGATCGGAACCACGTCGACTGGTTCCCTGGAACTCACGCGGACATGGGCTCCCGTTGTCTCACATACATGTCCTTCAACAGAGTTCTAACAAGTTGGCCGGAAGACGACTATCGTAATGCACGCCTAAACGCTTACAAGCCCTTCGAGAAGACGTTGAACACGAATACGAAGTCAGAGCCTCGAAGGTCACTCAATGTCTGGTTACTATCTTACCCATTTTACCTATACGCCACGAGACACTGGTCCACCCACGTAGGTCCAGATCCATGGGATCGCCAGGGCGCCAAATTCTTCAAGAACCCTTCAGCAGTCTCGCTTGCGTGAGACCAGAGGAGAACCAGTCAATATGTACCCATGGTCCGGGCGAGAGGACGAATACCGGCCACGCTCATGCCATGGGTTACACTTGGCCGCTATGCTCGACATGACAAAAGTCACCAAGAAGCTAGTAGCATCCGGTAGCGATTCAAATGTACTTGACTCTCAGCGGTGTACACCGCTGGCGGTGGCTGCAGCATACAACAGCCTCTCTGTGGTAAGCTTCTACATGAGTCCAAGTTGCCGTCCTAGGTCAACACCTGGATCCTACAGAAATGCTCTTTCTTTGGCTGCAGGCCAAATGAATATGGAGGTCGTCAAGGAACTGCTGCAGTTCAAGTCTGACTATCCTGATATTCCCCCTCTCTCACGAGAAGATCCGGTGGATGACGCTCCCCTTGAGATGGCAGTTCACTGGGAACGTTGCAGTATCGCCGAGCTCCTGTTACAGCACCACTTTGACATCAACGCAGCGTCATGCGACAACCTCCGTGCCATAGATAGGACATTCATATTCGACCTTCACAACAGACCATGGGGAAAAGTAGGGACAAAGCTGGAATTACTGAAACTCCTTCTGTCGCACGAAGACATAGAGGTTGATTACCCAGGCTACTCTAGCACTAACCCTTTGGCGAACGCTGCAGGTGAGGGGCGAGTTCCGGAGGTCAGCCTTCTGCTCGTCAGAGCTGATGTCAACTGGAAGGATCCTCACGGCAGGACAGCATTGCATTCCGCAGCATTGCGTGGCAGGTCTGAGATTGTGCGCATACTATTGAGAGAAGAGTCTATCGATGCGGATGCTGTATCGGTAGACGGGAGTACGCCTCTCATGTGCGCGGCAGGTTGGCGAGGGAAGCAGGATGAACGGCTGGAAGTCGTGCGTTTAATACTTGAGCGTGCCAAGATCCTGCTGCGCACAATGCCACAGGGTTCTTATGCGCTATCTTTGGACACACGCCCATCATGTGGACCGGCATCCAACAATCCAACTCAAAGCTGCTCGGACCACAAGACAGTACCCTACTACTGCTCTATCAACATCAACAGAAGGGATAACGGCGGCCGGTCCGCACTCAGCTGGGCTGTGCTTAACGAGCACCTGGAAATTGTCGAGCTTCTTCTGCGTTGCGACGACATTGACATTACATGGAAAGACGACAAGGGTCGGGACTTACTTATGCTAGCAGCAAGCACTGGTAATGAAATGATCATGAAACTCTTTCTCTCAACAATGGACGGTCCTTTATCCCGCGACATCGATGGCGAGACCGCGTTGTTCTTTGCGGCGGGTTCGAACCATCTAGCCGGGGTACAGATGCTATTCAAGGAACAAGAAAGGTCGCTAGAATTCCAGAGCGGCAACTGGGGTGCTGTGTTACATAGGGCAGCCTCACACGCTTTCGATGCGGAGCTCCTACAGTTCCTGGTTGATGAAGCAATATCAAGAGGCGTCATAATAGACGCGCCCGACGAAAGGGGTCGGACCCCTTTATTTTACGCCGCCCAGAGAGGGCCTACCGACTTCGCCCGAAGCCTGCTGGCTCAATCTTCTGTCGACCCTTTGAAAAAGGACCACCATGGCTGTAATATCATTTCTTCGGCCTGCAAATCTGAATGTGGGCAAACCGCCACCCTAGAGTTGTTACTGGACATTGAGGGGATCCAGGCAGACCATGTGGACGAAAGGGGGCTTACACCCTTGATGTACGCAGTAGATGGTGACTTTCGAGAAGCTGCGGAACTACTCCTGTCTCGGAACGACGTTGACCCTTTTAGGAGACACGCCTTGGGAGAGCTAGCACCATCACGAGCTGCTGACTGGTGCCATGGGCAAGGCGGCCACGTATTCTTTCGACTGCACGAGCTAGATCTTCAGCTGCCCGACGCCGACGGCAGGACCTTGTTCTCACGTATGATCGGGCTGCCAATAGACCTCGCAGAGGGGATTCAGTTCAGGTCGCCAAACGTGATTGACCCGGATCGACCTGACAAGCGCGGTCGGACACCTCTCAGTTGGGCTGCTGAGTCTCCCGAGCACCACAATGTATGGGGAGATGATGATTACCTCCAGGACCGGCGGGATTTCAGGATACTGCTTGAGTGGCGTGGGGTGAACAAAGACGCAGCGGACGAAAGTGGAAGGACTCCGCTCTCATATGCCGCGGAACGAGGGCATCTGGCAAACGTAAATGCCCTGCTCGAATGTTCCGAGGTAGATCCAATGAGAACAGACAGACAGGGCCGCACTCCGTTGGATTGGGCTGAGATTGCATTGAAGCGTCCTTCAGTCAAGCCCCTTTGGAATGAGGCTACAGAGCAAGATCTCAAGCTGAGATATAAGGTAGAGTCTGGACATGACCTGCCGTACATCGGCTATGACAATGTAGCAGAAAGAGAAGGATTGGTCCATTTCTTTGAGATCGAGCACCGTAGAAGACTGAAGGTGATAGAGATGCTCAGGTCGGCGGTTGCAAAGCGTATGAGAGAGGTTGCCGAAGAAGACTCCAGCGGAAGTGATTAACTAGCAAGGATTTGGTTTGGTCAGGACAGTATTAGATTTCCCTAGAAGGAGTGTTAAAACTACTGCTAAATCAGGTGTCCCTCATCAGGCACACAGCATTCCAGTGTTGGCATATCCGACGGATCTATGAGAGATGAGAGTTGAGAGGCACACGCATGAGATTTCATCCCGGCCCCACTATTTTCGCCAGAAGCAACAAAACGGCCAGCCACAATTTGGAGCTGCCCCCGCGACCGACCTCGAACTTCCCTCGTCCCCACCTCCAACACCAACACCACCGCCACCAACCACCACGGGATCATCTAGAGACGATTTCAACAAGTACATCGTCAGGCCATCTACACCCCCCAAGATGCCTCTCGCACCCCCCGCCGAAGGCATCTTCCCAACCTGGGCAGAATGCGAGGAGGCAGTGCAGTCGCACGCGGCGCGCGAAGGGTACGCCACGGTAGCGCACCCTAAGACCAAGTCCAAGCGAACGGGGCAGTACTCACGGTACGTGATCAAGTGCGACAAGTCAGGAACCTTCCAATCCAAGGCGCAGATCGGGGCCAAGCGCATATCCTCGAAGAAGACCGGCTGCCCCTTCAGCTGCACGGCCAACATCCGCGAGGACGGCTGCTACTTCAAGGTCACGGTGCCCGAGCACAACCACACGCCGTCGGCCAGTCCCGCCGAGCACGTGCGCCACCGCCGCATGAACGTCGAGCAGCGCAGTTTGGTGGAGGCGGGCGCTATTGCGAGGAAGCCTGTTAAGGTGATTTATGAGGATCTGGTCGCGAGTTACCCGGATACGTTTGTTAAGTTTGAGGATGTGAGCAACTATGTGCAGGCGTGGAAACGGCGCGCTAAGGATAATGCGACGGGCGTGCAGGCGCTGTTGTACAGATGTGAGTTGCACTCCATTAGGTTTGATGTTTCAATGGTTGCCCCAAGTCCAAAACTCGACTGGGAGGCTTTTTAGCCATCGTGATTTGGAAAACCAGTTGGCAGGACTGGGCTGACCTGAGCCACAGTACAAGAACGCGAGGACATCTGGAGCTTCCCCCTCGAGCGAGCCAGCACAGTCCCGCACGCGCAGCACGCCGAGGGCGGGGGCAATGGCACGCTGGAGGGCATATTCTGGGTTCCCAAATGGACGACGGACCTCTGGCAGCGCACGCCCGACATCTTAATAATAGAAACATCGCACATCCTCACGCGCCAGCAGCAGAACCAGCAGGACTCGATCCTGCCGATCCTCGAGATGAACAGCGTCATCGCGGCCTCCGGCGCCGGGGGCAACGCCGCCGGCTACGCCATCCTGCCCGACCGCAGCGACGCCACGCTGCTGTGGCTGATGGGCGCCGTCGACCGCCTGCGCCTGCGGCTCAAGGGCCCCAAGCACGCTTATATCACTGTGACGGACTTCCAGACGGCGGAGAAGAATGTCCTGGCCGAGGTGAACAAGCCGCCGCCGCTGCACCAGCAGCGGCATGTTGTGTTTGGGCGGATTTTGTCTGACGCGGGCGCGGCGCCGGCGATGATGGCGATTTCGACGACAACGCCGATGCAGGCGCACGTATCAGCACAGGCACCGGTGGCGGGTATGACAGACGCGTCTTACACCCCCACGAATCAGACGGGTGGTTCTGTTTCAGGGAGTCAGATGAACGGCAACTTTGACTACACCATGGGAATGTCATGAAGAAAAATGAAAAGAAAAAAAGTGAAAATGTCCTCCTCCTCGATGATTACTTACAACAGGGGTCTCTGCAGGGTCAGGCGTGGCATACCTAGGTCGTGAGGATGGTGGATCATGCAGCAGCCCTTGCCCTCGGCGCTGGAGATGCCCTCGATTGTTGCCTGCTCGGACATACACCAACCAGACTTGGAATGGGATGCGCCAGGCCTCGACACCGGTGTCCTGCCTGCCACCAGGTCTACCTATATGCGGTCTGCTGTCTGAGCCGGCGCCGATTCATCTCATGATTATAAAGTCACGAGGCATCCGACACCTTGAGACGGCATGACTCGGTCTTGGAGTATGATACCCGCGGGGAGGCTGCGACTGGAAGAACGCCGCGTGTCCATTACGGCAACGCGTTCGGGAATTGTATGCTATAGGTGCTTCGACATCTTTAATTGCTTCAGCTAGGTGTTCACGGGATCGAGAAGTCGGAAAGAATTCACTGCCACTGGCGGTCAGCTTGTGAGCAGAGCGCAAGGCGTTATGATTGGGTCCTTTATAATTCAGATTCATTCAGTCCTCTGCTCTGTACATTGCTATGTAATCCGACAGCAGCATAGGATTCCATACAATGGCCTTGGAAGCGGACTGCGGTCGAGTAATGAGAATGTGCATTCTCATGTATGTGCGATTAGCGTAAAGGCGACTTCATGCTCGCCGTATGCACCTGCAACCACTCTGTTTGACTGCAACCTGTTCCGTTCATTCATTCATGTCTACAAACATCATGCTTTTCCCTGTCCCAACCCGAGATTTGCCGTCTGTGTTTTCTAGATCGAAGGCTCCGAGATCTCCTTGTCCTTCCAGCTTTCCAAACCTTCGCCGTTCTGCATACCACGGTTAGAGTTCTGTTGTCTGTCGAATAAAGGGGACTACTAGACTTACGTAGCTGGTCAGGGGAGAGACCTCCAGGCCCTCCTTATCCCCGTTCTTCACCGTAGCACCGGCCTGCTCAGCCCAGCGCTTGCCCTGGCCCTTGATTTCCTGCCGACTAGTCGTCGCGCAGTCCTCGGCGCCAGGCGCATCGGCGTTCTTCAGCGGCGAGAACTCCTCCTCGCGCTTGACCTCGAAGCAGGCAAACTCGTTGAGCTCCAACCACTTGAAGTTGTCAAAGACGAACTGCTCGAGCTTGATGCCGTTGGGGGTGGTGACCTTGTGGACGTCCTCGCCCTTTGCGATGTCGAAGTACGGGATCTTCTTCTTGGCAATGTGGGGAGGCAGCTGGTTGACCGAGTCGCCCATGCCGTTCAAGTACTCGAACGAGTAGTAGTGGTTGACGATGTTGGCGGCGCGGAACTTGAGGATGCCGGGTTGCTTCGGGTCCTCGGCCTCGGCGGTTGCGCTGTCGATCTCGGAGTACTCAACGACGTCGGGCTTGCCGTTCTTTTGCAGGATCAGACCGACTGACTCGGTGGCATTGCGCTTTCGCACGACCTTGGTGGCAATCTTGACTTGCTTCTCGGCGGAGAAACCGATAAAGACCGGGTCGGCAACCTTGGCCAGGCAGTTGTCCACGCAGTACGCGTGGACATGCTTGATTCCACGCTTTTGCATGTCCTCCAGGATGCCCTCGTCCTGTAGAGCCTTGTAGATACCACCGTTGCCATCAGGGGCCACAGCGACTTGGCTCTTGCTTGCGAGCATGAACTTGCCGTTGAAGTCGAAGCAAGGAAGCACACCCTGCTCGAAGATCTTGACGTTCTTCTCGTCGAGTCCGAAGCAGGGCTTCCCCTTGGATCGAATATCGTTTTCCTCGTCGATCAATTCGTCTAGCTTTTCCTTCCTGAAGAACTTCTCGGTTGGGCCGCGTGTCGGACCGCTAGTCATGACGTACCAGGGCACAATGGCCTTGGCTCCATCCTTGGCCTTTTGTGCTGCCAACTCTTGTACCTTCAAGATGCGCTCACCCTGGATCTGGAACAGGGACTTCTTGGAGGGGAGCTGGATATTGAAGCATCCCTTGGGAGCTTTGCTTCCCAATCTAGTGCCCTGACCGCCAGCCATAAGGATAACGGCAACCTCGCCCTTCCCAATCAGATCCAGACCAAGGTTGTACCATCTCTGAATGTCTTCGGCCTTCGAATCGAGGATACTGGCGGTGGTGGACTCGGGGAGGGGCTCGACGACGGTCTCTTTGGGCTGTGGGGGAGGGTCCTTGGCGAGTTTCCACAGGCCATTTACTCTCGCGGGGTCGATCTTCTGGAGCTGGTTGAAGAGAGCTTCCTTGTCAGAGTCATTGAGGGAATCGTAGTAGGTGAAAACGTGACCCTGCCTGGCGGACTCGAAAGCGGCCTTCTGGGCTGCCACGTTGGCGGGGGTGAACTCGGTGGGAGGTGCCATGGTGGGCTGTAGCGAGACGCAGTAGTATATAAACAACAGCTCAAAACAGCGGTATATGGGCAGACAAGACCAATTGGGATCGCAAAGGAGAGCAGAGAAGCTATATTTAAGTGTTGACGCTTCCAAAGGATTAGCAGAAGAGAGGGAAAAATCTGGACAGACGGTAGGACAGGAGACAGGAAACAAGAACCAGAAATAGACCTGACAAGTCAACAAGGAGCTGTTGGAGGGGATCCTGGCCGACGATCCATCGAAGTGGGACAAAGACTTAGTAAAGAGCCTCTAGCAGCTTCAGCTTTGCCCTGCCCCGCCTGCCCCGCCAGTCGTTGCGCCCTGGTTGCGCCACCATCTCACCTAAAGTGCCCTGTAAGGTACCTTAACGTCGTCACAGTGTTATACAGTAGGTACACCTGATTCCGCACGTCCTATATAGCGCATATATTAAGTTACCGCATATATTTCTCGCGCTCGAATTTTTTAATAAGGAAAATCCTTAAAAAACGTATAAACGTATAACGTATACTTTTTTTTTAATATATTAAGGTAATATGAACCGCTTTACCCGTTGTAATAGCTAGGCTTCAAATTAAGCATTAGTTATAGGCTTATCAAGCTTTTAATATGTTTTAATACAAGCTATTTAAACTGCTTTATTAACTTAAATATCGCATATATTAAAGATATAACATATATTTTATAACTAATTATGTATTAAACGAAAGGTACTTATTACAATAAGCCGTATAGATACGGTTAATTTCTTAATTGATTTTCAAAAACTGTGTGAGATTCTAGAAGGGTCACAAGCCTTTGGTGTGTGAGCGGTCGCTGCAAATATTGTTGTCATTCTCAAGTATGCTTGACAGGGCTAATCTACAGCTAAATACCATACTGCACCATGCTAGGGTGGATCCACTGTTCCTTTGACAGCCCTCTAGTGGGTACTGCACCTAAGGGCACCATATCTAGGATCCAATATCTGACAAACTGTAATAATTCCCTTTTACTTTTTAAAAGCCGCGTATAATAAAAGAAAGAAATATACACAAAATATTTACAGCTTAATTCTATTGAGGAGCGTAGATTAATAAAAGGTGTTTAAAAAACAGCTTAATGTTATGATGCCTGCGGCTGTGTGTTGCAATCTGGTATTGATTACAAAAATAACAAGGTGAGAAAGGAAAAAGAAGCCAGCAAGGTGGTGTGCGCAGCACACATTTTAAGCGGTGGTCCCGTTCCTTCCTCATCTAATCTACACGTGACCTGGTGGGTCACCTAACCAGGGACCAGGTGAGTGGACCGTCACATTTAATCTTATTACGTGGCAAATTATCTGCGTATAAACCGCACATATACGGGAGATATCTAGCTCGTTAGTATTACACGTTTAAATAAAGCAAGGGAATTGTTCTAGCTTATTAGAACTAAGTTATGACGGTAAGGTAGTTAACAACCAAGCTGCTAGCGCTTTCAGCGGCCCGCTTTGCCTGTCTTTTAGATCTCGTATCTCGCATCTCACCGCTCAGCTTGGCTTGGGTATTAATCGCCATGCGGTAAAGGGGCAGCCACTTCCTATTCGTTAGTTGCTGAGGTCAGATTGATGCGTTCTCTTGTCCTTAGTTACCGGCAGTCTGGTTAGAACGCACAAGGCGAAGGAGGTAACTCGTGTTGAAGCCGTAGTGAACCTCCCTAATGTATCGATCCGTTGATGCATCTTCGACTCCGAGTCATGTCGGGTGCCCTTTTCGTCTCGCAGCATCGGCTCGATCAATACGGCACTGCGTCCACGAGGTTGAGTAGCACTGGAATATTTCCGAGTGGCAAAGAAAGATAGAACACTCCCGGCTGCTGCCGCTGTCGGTTCCCGTAAAAGCCCCTGCCGATCCGGCACCCGATACGAGAATTGGAGGACCCTCATCTTAGCGTTAGGCGTATATCTTAGGGAAAACACTCTGACACTTTAGACACCCAGAGAATACACAGACACACTTCACTCTGACGATTGGCTCAAATCTGACCACTTGGAAGCTAAACAAGAAGCAAAGTGTACGTCAATGGCAACCTTATCAGCGGGTGTCCTTAGCCACCTGGCTATTTCTGGCACCCACCAGAAACCTACACTATGCATCTGGCCCATGGACACGTGAAGATGACCAAGGGCATGGTGATGCTTGAGTTACCTTATCTGTAGTTCAACATTGAGGCTGCTATGGACCTGACTCCCGGTATAATGTATCATTTCCATGTACCGTGCTCGTTACTAGCCGTCTCTCAAGTCGCGTCGCAGGTCGAGAGCGTTTGGCGATGGGTGCCTCCACGCTCAACTCGTCGGCGGACGTATCAGGATCGGAAGAGGCATAGGGTGCATTGGAAGCATGATCCAGTGCTATAATAGTGTTTTGGCTGCTAGGGTCCGTTGTCGTATTTACTGAGAGGTCGGCCTCAAAGCTCAGCGCCACCTCGTCAACCAGCAGAGACATGTCCGCCACGCCAGCCCGTGTCACCCTCGCATTAGCCCGTTTGATGGCCTCGTCTCGTTGCAGTTTGACCCAGTCCCTTGCATTCCGATACGCCGAGGCACCGGTACAAAACGAAGCGGAGTTGCCAGTCAAACCCCATGTATCCATTTGCGTCATGACATACTCAGGCGCTGCGCTGGTCGTTGGCTCGACGGGATGAATGGTGTAGATCTTGAGCTGTCCGTCCTGATACGTTGATATGATAGTAGAGGCCGTATTGTCATATATAAGGGCGCTTGCTTTGTAAGACTGGAGAATAAGCATGGCTCTCGCCTCCAAAGCACCGTCATAATTTGATTGGCGCTTGGCCACGGCAGGTGAACCATCCGGGCCTTTGGCGGCAAGGAAGAAGTTGGGGGCGACGGGGAGGTCGTGCTGGGTCGATGGGGTTATCGAGCCGTGAAGTTCGGCGCGGACCTGTCGGTCTAGCTGCTCGGGGCGGGCGCCGTAGTACCGATCTGGATTGCCCGGGACGAGAGAGCCGTCGGTCAGATGGTCGAGGTTCGTGAATGGTACCTGTCCTGAGACACACTTGGTGTCGCGGACGTCGCCCTCTAGAATGGGAATCACTGTCGAAGTAACCTGCCACTCCTTAGTAGCATGCGCGTCGGCCCGTTTAAACCTCCCGAATTCCTCATCTGAGAATAGAGATGGCGATAAAGAGGGCCTTAGGCGAGCAAGAGCTTGTAAGATTTCATCCATGTTGGTAGGCTGTGGTGGGGCACCTCGGTCGTCTGGGTACTCGTAACCGTCAGGATAGATGCCATAATCAATTAGATGCTGTTGGAAAGCACGATCGTACGGACTGGTACTCTTAGTAGTCGTCGTGTTGAGTGTGCTGGCACTGTTCTTTGAGCGCGACGCCGAGCCTCGCTTGCGCCGACCGAGGCTGGACTGGCTGGAGCTCATTACTTGACCTTCGGATGAAACACTCGGCTCGCCGCGAAACTGTCACTAGTTTGTCAGGCCAGAAGACCGAGTAGTAGGTGATCAGTAATGAGCAGGGACATACTGACCCCTTGTAGGTTTGACAGATTGGGCCTGCCCTCTCGCGAAAAGCGCTTGATCTGCTTCAGTCGCGATGGCATAGACTGACCGAGATACTCGACTGCAGGCTGGGGCGTCAACTTGGCAGCTGAGCGTCGAGGGGCTGGGCAGCTAGCTGGCGTATGTGACAAATTCGTAGTGTTCCTTCGATTCAGTTCTTTTACCGCGCGCCCAGTCAGGGGGATCTCGGAGAGGTTGTCCCAGAAGGCCGGCGGTGGTCGATGTGGGTGACGGTACTTTTGCTTCTTGCGCGGGGGTCGTTGTAAAGTGTGACGATCTATTGTTTCTTGACTGGGAACTGATGCTCGTCGCCGCTTGCACGAGCCGTTGAAACTCGGTTCTGTCATCTGTGGGAGGCGTGAGGCCAGGAGAGGTCAGTGTTGAGTCCGTCGCATATCTCTAAATACCAGAGGGTTGACTGGTGGTAAGCGCCTGGTCGGATCGGACCAAGACCTGATCATATACCATTGGTCGCCGACTTGTAGCAGACCCGATCAATCACATCCAACCATCAACCGCCACACATGATATTCGTGAAACCTCTATGCTTCACGTTTAGGTTCCACTTGGCACGAGAGGACACAAATAGGAGCAGCGAGGGTGGGATGATATTGCGAGCTGGAAGGGCTGGCCGAGGAGTAACTCTATTCTCCACCCGGATTTCCCTATTCTCTCACCCGCTAAACCCCATTCGGACAGCCTTCCAGATTACAGCGCTTAGCCCACTGTAATTACAGCGCTCAGTCCACTATAGCCACAACGCGCCGTCGGCCAGAGCCTCAACACCCCTTAAGGGACCAGGGGGGGTTTTCGTCAGGCTGTTAGCTAGCCTGTCAGTACCTGGTCAGGCTATCAGGGCCTAGACAGTCAATTCTAGTTATATCACCATTACCACCAGACTTACTAAGCTATCAAGACGAAAAAAGAAACCATCCTTATCATTCTAGTCAGCGCGACCAGGTCACTTAAACAATCCGATCTTAACACCTATCAAGCCAGCCAGTCTGTCAAGCCTAATCACTTTGTCAGGCCTGTCAGGTCTGTTATATCTAGACTCGCCACCTAAATAGAGTTGCAACGCATATAAAAACCTATTAACCAACTCGTATTATAAATAATCTCCTAATTTGTAAGTTTTTGTAGCTCGTAGCTAGTTTAACATGCACTACTTAACCACTTATAATATATAAATATATTGTGAACCGTTTAAATTCAAATTTAATCAAGTGATAAGCAACGCGTTTAAATTTTTCGTATGTTTGTTCGATTAATTTTTAACTTTTTAACTATTAGTAAGCTAGTTAATAAGCTATTAATTAGCTTTTTAACTAAGTTAATAACTAGCTAGTCATATTAATAGCTGATAATTAAACTTAAGATTTTAATCAGCTTATTTATACTAATTATTTTATATTTATAATATTGAGTCGAAGACAGCAACAACACCTACAATGGGGCTGCTTGTATAGTGGATATAAGAAGGAGGAGTGAGAGCCATGGCAAAGCCACGCTGTGAATTTGAAGGGTGTGTCACATAGAGATAATACAATGTGTGTCTGAACTAATCACTCAATTATATATATTATAAGAGAGGAATAGCTGTACAAAAAACAAAAAAAAGTAACAAAAATGAACGGTGATCTTTATATGCCATAAACCTGGCTGTACATTACATCAACCCTGTCTTAAAACAGTATCTTTAATTAGCTTTAAGTTTTATATATATTTAAACGACTAACTATTAATTACGGCATTGTAAAGGTATGATAATTTTTTAATAAGTTATGAAATAATCTATAAACTAGTTGGTAACATATTAAACTCTTTTTGAATTATTAAAGTTATAACGTAGTATTAACCATTATTATTCTTCTTATTCTTTTTATTACTATTACTATTATTATTTCGGCGTATATAAAGATATATTTATAAATAAAAGGCTTGTACCGCTTTTTAAACTTCCGGCTAACCTTAACTACTAACTTTAACCTTACGTTTGACCGTTGTTACGAAGTATTATCTTATTTTAACTAGCGGATCGTATTATAAAAAGTATATTTTAGTTAATAAAAACGTAAACGAAAAAAAAAGGTTTAAAGTATAATATTTAAATACGCCGTTATAGGCATAAAAAGGCTGTTCAAATAGAGTTAAACGAGTAAAAAAATAAGAAAATTAAAGTAAGAGGATAAAGTTACTCTTAGCCGAGGCAGCGAGCCTAGCGTTAAATAAGGTGGCTACGTTTAAAGATTTACTAAAAATTTATTAAAAAATTTAAATTTTAAAAGGGTAATATAATTAAAACGCCTGTTATCAACCCATAAAAAAGCTTAAATATAACGCTTTTAATTTTTAAAATACCTTATAATCTTTATACTATATATTAAAATATTATTGTTTTGGGGTAGGGTTGATATAATGTACAGCCAGGTCTATAACATATAAAGGTCACCGTTTATTTTTTGTTACTTTTTTTTGTTTTTTGTACAGCTATTCCTCTCTTATAACATATATAATTGAGTGATTAGTTCAGATATACATTGTATTATCTCTATGTGACACACCCTTCAAATTCACAGCGTGGCTTTGCCAATGGCTCTTACTCCTCCTTCTTATATACACTATACAAGCAGCCCAATTGTAGGTGTTGTTGCTGTCTTCGACTCATTATTACCAGCGTTACACTATTATTATAGATACGTCATAACTTATTGAATACGTTATATTAAAGTATTAAAAAATCAGGTATATATTAAATATATCAATGAATATTATTATTGTAAGATATTGAATATAGCTATTAAAAGGTAAAGTAGTAAATAAATATAACTATACATATTTTCAAGCTTATATTAATAAATTTTCTTTCAACTAATTATTGAATACTTAATAAATATATAGCTAGGTTTTATTACGCGAAATATTAATACAATTGTAAGCAGTCGGGTGGCTCACAGGTGTGCTGTAGCACGCTTCTAGGGGTGACAAGGCTGACAAGGCTGACAGCAGCACTGAAAGGAAGGAACAGCCTAGAAGCGGGCTTTGAGCTTTAGTGTATCTGGGACAAGGGATCTTTACCCTCCGGATCAAAGGCTGGGCATTGCTTTGAAGTTGGTATGTGTATTTAGTACCTGAACAGGTTCCAAGACCCAAGGGTAGATCTGCACCCAGAATGTAAGCAACATGATGACCTGAACCACTGAACCGATCTTTTCCATAACAATTAATTTAACGTTTAAAGTTAAAATAATAAAACTACTTTTAAACAAGTGCATTTTAAGTATAGTTATAAGTATTACTGTCGCCTGGCTTTAATTCCTGCTCTATATTATAGTTAGTTTTACCATTATACATCTAGCCTAATTGGGCTTAAGCCTTAAAGCCCTGACCACTTGCGACCCTTTTAAAAATTCAAGTGGTTAGTTGATCTGCATTCACTTTGAGAGGGCGCCCGGCGGGCAACAGTCGCCCCACCATTAACACTGTTAAGTTTTAACAGGTAGCCGACCCTTTAACGTCTTCTAAGTTAGCGGCCAATAGCAGCCAAGGTGGCAACCACCTAAGGTTACAGACTCTGAGTTGAAGCTCACTGCACATCCATGGATCCCGTTGACTGCAATCACGGCAACTACTCCAAGAACGTTCCTGCCCATTCGAGCCTTTGCACGTAAAGACTTACCTAGCCCGGAATTATTCCGCATCATTAGGTACCTAGCCTTCTGATACCCTTGCTGATTCTACAAACCTCTGAAGAGCAATGGCAAATGACACACACCAGGAAGCTCAAGCAAGGGCAACGGACCCCCTAAAGGAACCTAGCTTTCAAGGCCGTCTGCAACTGAAAGACTACATGTTCACTTCCTCAAGCAAGACCTTAACATCTCCCACCATGCGGCGCAGTCCAAGGCTGCTGGCGCATCACAACGCATCCGCGGCCTCAACAACAACATCATCATCATCATCCGCCTCAGCATCACCATCCATGCCCGCACCCAAGGAAGCAACACCAAAAAAGCGGAAAGCAGCTCCCCAGGAAACAACATCATCCCCCTCATCCCCCTCCCCCAAAAAGAAGAAGCGCACCCGCAAATCCACCGGCTACGCCCCTCCCTCCACCTACGCGCACCTCCCGCACCTCCCCGACGCCATCGGCCCCAACCTGCTCATCCTATTCATCGGGCTCAACCCAGGCGTGCAGACGGCGCGCACGGGGCACGCCTACGCTCACCCGTCGAACCTGTTCTGGAAGCTGCTACACTCCTCGGGCATCACGCCCGACGGGATCTGCCGCGCGCAGGACGACCGGCTGATGCCGGCGCGCTTCGCGCTGGGCAACACGAACATCGTGGCGCGGCCGAGCCGCAGCGGCGCCGAGCTGAGCAAGGCCGAGATGGACGAGGGCGTCGCGGCGCTCGAGGACAAGTGCCGCCGCTACAGGCCCGAGTGCGTCTGTGTGGTCGGCAAGGGCATCTGGGAGAGCGTGTGGAGGGTCTGGAAGGGGAGGAGTTTAACCAAAAACGAGTTTCGGTATGGCTGGCAGGAGGAGCGGATGGGGGCTGTGCCGCCGCGGCCTGGGTCGATGGTTAAGGCTGGGGCTTGGAAAGGGGGTGGTCGTGGTCGTGGTGAGAAGGTGAAGGTGGAGGGTGGAGACGGAGACGCCTCCGGAGTGAAGAGGCAAGTGTATGAAGATACAGACACAGACGATAGCCCCTGGGAGGGTGCTAAGATCTTCGTCGCGACGAGCACAAGCGGTCTTGCGGCCACGCTGAGACCGGAGGAGAAGGAGCGGATATGGAAGATCCTGGGCGACTGGTGTGTGCAGCGGCGGAAGGAGAGAGAGGATGAAGCCGTCAAAGAGAAGGCCGATCCTTGAGCGCCGAACAGGTCACCTACGACTACGAATGGCTTGTCCATGTAAAGGAGTTATGGTCTTATTACGGATTCGATGGCAGGAAATGCGTCACTTATAAGTCCGATTCCCTCGACTCGAGCTGCAGTGGCGCCGGGAGGAAGCGGTCTGTCTTGCTCGATCTCATGACCAACGCAACGAAACTGCCCCCAGCTGCCATGCACATAACTATATACTCCTCGACCGTTCCAGTTCGAGACTCTCTACTCATTCGCAGAGGGCAAAGACACCCTTCGTAGGGGCCCAGACACCCAAGGAGAAAGCGGAGGCAACCTGCACAATTAGACCAGACGGATCTTACACAGACAGAGGCATAGATATCCAGATGTACACCTCGTTTCCGTGAAATATATCCCTTAACTTGACCTATACTTACACTCCCCATTCCGCCAACTCAGCTAGAGCAAACATAGTTGACCCATCCATGCCAGCTTCTCAACAGCTGTGATATGTATGAATGTGTTTGCTTGGTTACCTTAGTTGTTGGGTGTTGGTACAACGAGGGGAATAATGCTTGTGACAGAATAACAGCTGCGAATACGTTTGCATGGGGAATGCTTGTGACAGAGCATTACAGACACCACTCCTCCGGGGTAAGCGAAAGATGTCCACGTCTATCGGTCTGGAATGCAAGCAAGCACCAACAACAAGGTCGCCGGCTTCCTATTTCCACTTATGCCAGCATTATGGAGGTGATCAGACCTTACCTGGACGCATGAACAGTATATTATGTGATTACATACTCGTGTGTAGCACCAATTGCTGTACAGTATGTTGAGGCGACCCACTCCTGCCCCATGAGCAGCACGATGCGTCGTAATCAAGCATGGCTAGCACCAAAGACATGACGCATCCCTTTCGATTGTGGGATTTAAAAACTGATGGATGGATAGCACTTAAAAGCCGCAAGACTCCCGGGTCGGCACAAAGCATATATGCGAAAATGGTATTTTATTCCTTGTTGGGAAGTATCCAGCATGGCCATCGACAACACTTCCAGGACTCAACTTGTAATTGAAACAGCCCAACGCGAAACTGGTTCCATACAACTTCCACCAGGTATGAGGGTATGGTTTCTCCCCTCTCGACTCCCCACGTCCGGGACGGCGCGGAAAGTGCAACATCCAGAACCGAACGCCAGGGGATATATGGACCGACGAACCCCAACCATATTCATGAGTTCGTGAAGCGAGGGTGATATACAGAAGAAGTGCAGGGGTGGAAAGCAAACTGAACCCCGATGAAAAGCAAAAGGTGCGAGACCCGATCGTCCATTCGACCTGTATCGTCTACGAGAGGAAAGCAAGAGCGAACGCAGTCGTGACCACAGGCCACCAACCAACAGCTTGCGCGAGAGCCTGCAGGCCGCCCGCCGCGCTCGAGCCGTTCGGATCCTCGGTGCCGCCGGCCGCCGTCGTGCCGTTGGGCAAGTCTCCGAGGATATAGATGGTGGAGGCATTGTGGTCGGTCGCGTTATCAGCGACGGTGACGAGCGAATGGTTCAAGTTGGCGTAGCTGCCGTCGCGGATGACGGAGTTGAAGTAAGTCTGGTTGCCATTGTCATCGCAGCCGCAGGTCGAATACTGCCCGCACAGGCAGTTGACCGGCTTCGTCTCGTTCTTGTTGGTCGTCGCGTTGTGGTAGTAGTAAGGGTGTGTGTAAGGATAGCTGTAGGCTCCATACAACAAGGCGGCGCCGGAGAAAACGACAGCACCCAGCACGGCACCTCCTATAAGGGCCGGCGCGATGCCACTTGGAGTCCTCGATCCTGCCTTGTACGGCTGCGTCGCGCCTCCGCCATAGTATGAGCCGAATTGTGGTCGCGCTCCGCTACCTGTGGTGGTGCGTCCGCCGGCGTTCGATGACGACGAGCCTAGAGAGCTGCTGCCGCCTGTGCCACTACCACTATTGATTTAGTTAGCATGCGCGAAGTTGGATACGACGGTCTGGTTGACCGCTGGGGATGTAGAAAGCATGGGCGTTGGGGAGTTGAGTTGGGAGCAATCAAAGTTGGGAAGCCTTACCTTCGACCGCCAGAGGAACCAGAGGAACCAGAGGAACCCGACGAGCCAGACGAGCCGCTGCTGCCTCCGCGACCACCGCCGCCACCGCCGCCTTTACGCTTCCACAGATCTTCGCTCGCCGTCCGCTCGGTCAACTGTTGCAACTCTGTTTCCGATCGTGTATCTAATGCGACGATGTCCGGGTTGGAGACGGCAACGGCGTTGATACCGTGTGTGAATGCGGCGAGGCCGGCGAGAATAGTAGAGGGCTTCATGGTGATTCAAAGCGATGCGGTACTGTGATAGTATGCAGTCGAATGATAGGAAACCTGGATTAGGCAGGGACGTAAACGATCCTTGACGAACTGAAAGAGGAATTGGTGATGTAGGCTGCCGTGGTGGAAAGGTGGGCAGGTTATTATAGAAGTGTCAGCAAGACAGTTGGGTTGATTTGTGTAATAGGTGAGGTCAGGTTATGAGGTACCTGGGCAGCTGGGCCGAGAGGTGGGACAGTGACGGTGACAGTGCATCATTGAGATCAATTGCTTGGCGGTTTGCCCAGGGAATGCCAAGGGGCCACCCTGCCAGCTGCCACCCTGACTGCCCTGGTCGGGTGATTGCTACCTCTCCGTCCTACCTAGGTACCCTCGGGTATCCCAGCCTGCCATGGCAATGACAAAATGAAAACACGGCCATAATGCCAAGCGTTCCATCTATGGAAAGTCAATGTGCCGTTCACACCGCCGTCATTGGGGAGTACGTAGTGGCGTTTTCGGATGGGTGGGTGGTAGCCAGCTCTTGCATCGTGACGACATTCATCGCGTTGGTGTTCTCATTGGGGATTCTGCGAACGATGCCCTGCCCAGTTTGCAGCGTGATCTTGGCGTCCCTTTATGTCTTGAATGTATGTCGGGGGCCAAAACAGAAACTTGAACCACGAGACGTCACCGCAGAGACTGATGGGAATCTGACCATCCAGGATCTTGCTGTGCCGCTGCGACACATGGTAGCAAGGATCTAGGACTTCCTGACATTCCATCCGGGAGAGTACGAGCTTACCTTAGAATACCAACGGCACTCTCGGCTCCTCACATATACCTACAACATCCGCAGGTAGCAAAGTTGACCACAATGTTGGTCCTCATGACAAATAAGGCAGAAGTGAAACCTCCAAGGTGGTGATGACCGTTTGCGGAAGCATTGGGAATGCCAAGTTGGGCTGTGAGTGACGGAATGACACTCCAGACCAGGTGGGGTTAGTGCAATCGATACTTCGCTGGCTTTAGCCCAATGTGAACTAGCTTCCCGAGGCTGTGTCACTAATCTGGACACCTGCGGGGTTCCAGATCTTGTCCATGGATGATCTGATAGGTGATACCCACAAATCTATGTAGGACATCGGTATAGCAGCCTATCAGATTCTCTACGCCACACCTGCTCAGCCTCCGCTGCTTCAGTACGGATGATCACATTCACCTCACCGCAGCACTGCCTTGAAGTACCTATTTGATTCACCCCATTCGAGCTATAGCTCCCGCCACCAAGGCTATCTCGTCAAGTTCCGTCTAGCCTCGTCAAGCCACACTCCGTTCATTCCTCCTTGATCTGCAAGGCTCATCATGGCCGCTGTCCCAGGATCAGACAAGACTTTACTGGAGCGCCTGAACGCTCTCAAGCCCAGCACAGTCAGCCTTGGTCCGTCCTCGAAGTAAGCTACCCTCACTTGGATGCTGCCGCGCTACTTTCGTTCAGGGGCATACTCCTTCTGGAACTATTCTAAGTCTAGGTAAATTTTACTAAGACTGTCACCAGATCTGTTCCTACGTCAACTATAGAGCCAGCCAAGCCACTCTGCAGAGAAGATGCCCTCACCGAAAGGTTAAAGAGCCTCCGAATCCAGGCGTCAGATACTCAAGTTCCTACCACATCTGCCTCGGGGGTACATCGGGGTCATGGCGACGCTACCCCCTCGCCGCCTGTATCTCAGTCTGCACGGCCTCAGCCCAGGGGCAAAGATGCAGACACAGACCTAGGCGCAACATCGATCACTTCCACACACCAGGCCGATGATGAAGTGGATCCGCTATACACAGATGACCAGACCCTCGAGAAGCTGCTTGCAGATCTTGAATCTGACCAGTCATGGCTGGACGAAGTGGCTGCCGAGGAAGATGAGCACCAGAGAGTCACAGCTCTTCTAGTAGAGCTGGGGAAGGCCTCGAATGGTCCGGACCACGACCAGCAGGACCAGAGCACCAGCAAAGTCAAACCGGACGATTCAGATGAGAGCAGTGACGATGACTCTGAAGGCGACACAATGACGCGGGAAGCCGACGATGTCCTCGCCCAGGCGACCGATGAGACTGAATATGAGAAGGCCAACGAGCCTCCCTCACCAAAGCCTACATCGTCACCCCCTATTGGCGAAACAAAACCAAGACCCAGGAGTGTCTTACCAAACAAGCCCAGAGCAGCAAAGGACACCAGCAGCAACGACCCCTTCAACCTGCCCACCGTGCCCTCGGACCTGCAAGACCAGCCCGATTTACCAGGCTCGTCCCAAGAGGACTCCGACTTCGCCGCCTCCATCGCCTCGCGCATGGCAGCCCTGAAGGTCTCCACGCCGCCCAGCCCAAACCTCCCCTCAGCACCGTCCTCCGAGGTCGACACCCTCGGCCTGCCCGGCGTGCCCACATTCGCGCCGGCCGACCGCCCCGCACCGGGCCTGGTCAAGCGCCATGGCTACACGGACGAGGACCAGAAGACGTGGTGCGTGGTGTGTCTGGAGGACGGCGCTGTACGCTGCCACGGCTGCGATGGAGACGTCTACTGTGCCCGGTGCTGGAAGGAGATGCATGTTGGTCCTAGCGCGGGTTATGAGGAGAGGGGGCATCGATGGGAGACGTTTGTTAGGGGGCGGTGATGTACCGGTTCTCTTTGTTGGTGGCGCCTTGATTGGACTTGAGTGTGGATAGATACCCCTGGGCAGTGATCAAGGTCTGGTGTGAGACCCATGTCTTGTTTCGTTTGTGATGTTATGCTTCTACAGTATAGATCTAGCCGCTAATAACATGACGATGCCTTCAAACCAGCAGTCGTCAAATAGTACCTTAGACCCGGCAACGAAAATATAAGAAAGTGTCACAATTTGGGGTCTAATATAGGGTCAAGATTAGGGTGAATTGATTGCGTGATCGTCTATCGGGCCTAAGGACCAAATCTAGTACTAATATACACTGGAGCACAAAGATTGGCCCATCCAATTATTGATCTGACAATCAATGGAGCCTTGTCTGTCACCCCTGAATGTCACCACTTCTAGTGCTTTGACCCCTTTCACTCCTTTGACCACTAATTCTGGCCAGATCCAGCCGCCTGACAGCTCTCACTACACCTGTACGACACCTGTACGACACCTGTATCCCACACAAGGTATATTATTCCAGGGATTGACCTGTAGGAGTGTGCGTACAATCGACCTTGTACGAGTGAATTCTTGGATGGAGGAAAAGGGTAGATTTGGTCCTTGGAGGTATGTAGCATGTATGGCGCTCAAAATCACCAGTAATCTTCTGCACCTCGATCTTGCAGTAGGGATCCCAGTATAAAGTGATTGGGCACCGGTAGTCAGACGCTGGTTTTTGCCATGCAGCGAATCCTCCGCCCTTGCTAACTTTGTCGCCTTTATCAAGGAGTGCGGCTTCCTCGCTATCATAGTTGACTTCCTCGCTATCATAGTTGACTTCCTTAGCTTTGACTGCCTGGCAGGGTTCGGTGTCCTGGCCAAAAAAATGTGTACCAGCATCTGAATCCAAACAGTCACTTTTCTTGTAAAGCGCAAATCTCCATAGGTAGTCCGAATTATAATTATAGTGCTTGTTCTTTGGAGCTGCTGTGAAAGCTGAGTCGAGGACAGCCATGATTGACAGAATGAGTGCTGAGGTGACGCGCATTGTGAAGTGTGGTTGCTTGTCGTTGCTAATGAAGTTGAATTGTATAGTGATGGAAGATCGATCAATAGTGTATGTTGGTACTGGGCGTGGATAGATAGTATCGTGATGGGATATCAACTGATAGTGTCTGTTTGCACTGGTTGTGGACAGATAGTATGGTGATAAAATATCGATTAATGGTGTCTATTGGTACTGGTTGTGGATAGAATTGTGATGGATATAAATAATTAAGGAGATGGAGGACTATCTAGGCCTTTTATAATCTTGGTCTAGGTAGATGGCCTAACACATGTCCCTTAACTGTCAGGTAACCGTGTGATCTACTAAAGGTTCCGAGGCCACGTTACAAAGACACCAAAAGTTCCGAGGCCACGGTACGGGGACACCGAATGATGCCAACGGCAACAAACATTAGTCCCTTTAAGGCAATCTGCTTGTGGATCATGCTTCGATATGATGTCAAGAAAATATAGACCCTTGATGATTTATATGTTTGGGTGCCTCCTAGAACCACAATACCCCAGGGGCATGGCGAGGAACAGAAAATATAGAACAGTCTCCAACCTAAGTGCGCTTGCAATCTCACAATAGCATCCTTGAATTGCGTCACCATCGCATCCTACCTAAGCTAGGTGGCCACTACCTGGATAAAAAGTTCCAATCCCCAATCCAGCAAACATGCAACAGCCCTTGAGTCTTTGGTATACACTGGGAGGAAGGATTCCATAGGAAGGAAGCCAGCTGCGCCAGCTATCTGCACGTAGCGTAAAAGGAAGCTCCGACGAAGCTAGTTACTACCTACCTAATAAGATAATCCTAGAAATAAAAATAAAGACCCTTAGGCTTCTACGCCGAGGGTCTAGTGAAAATAAGCAATTCTTAAAATAAAAAGAAATGTTTTTTTAATTTTAAGGTGTGAAAAAAGTATTGTAAAGTTTACACAATATTGAAGTAGTATAATTTTAAAGTAAGTATGGTATCAAATAAATATAATATTAAAAGAATTAAGGTAAAGAATGGTCCACTTTTTATTATTTAATGCGTGGCAAGAGGGGGACCCCACACGGATGCCCTGGTTGATGACATAAGCTAGCTAGATAAGATAAGGGACGGCTGTCACACCTTAAATGTGTGCAGCTCGCTCGCGCTTATTAGGAAATCAACCCGCAATACACACACAAATGACCCCCCATACTAATCGTATTATTATTCTTAAAATTTAAAATTTAAAAGTAAAGAAAACGTTATATAAGCAGCTAATAACCTACAAAAGAGGTTAATAATCGATTAAATATTAATTTACCTATTTAAAAGAAATCACCAATTTTTTACATAAAGGTTTTTTTTTATTTTTTTAAAAGTTATACTAAGTTTTTTTTCCTTATAGTTGAAAATTTTATTTATATAAACCTTGTTTTATTTTTTATTTTTTACGCTTAAATTATTACGTGATACGATAAATGTTTTAATTATTTACTTAATCAAGCGTGTTTAAAACTCTACTTTTATTTTAGTAGAGATTTAAATACGAAGGCTTTAAGTCTTTTTATCAATATTAAATAACGAGTAATTTACCATTATACAACTATGAATATTAAATTTTAATAAAAGTCAAATGTATATTCCCTACACTTAGATTTAGACGTATTGATAATTAAAAAACTATAAATGTTGTATTTATTTTTTAGATGTTAAATATTGAAGCTTGTTATTAACAAGCTTTAAAACTACAGAAATTTTATAAAAATATATGTTGATTGTCTTACTATATATAAGTAGCGTTAATATATATAACGTAAATGACAAGCGAGCGGCAATTACAAGCGAACGGCAACCTTTTACTAACCTTCAACCAACATGTCAAATAACTCGACCACAACGCATTTAATTCAATCTAATCAATCAGATTCTTCTTCTTCTGACGTTTCTATCTCTATTGTACAAGTTCGCGCATTATGGCCAGTGTTGCTGTAAATGCCACAATGTCGCTCATGCGCTGCCGCCCTCTTCGGACAACGACTACCTTCACTTATTTCCTGTCTTGCCAGCTCATCACTATCCTTTACAGCCTGGAAACTTACTGTATTTTTAACAGAAAGTATTCCTTCTTTTATTAGACGTTTTTTCTTCTTCTTCAGCGTTTATTTAGTAAGTGATTGGCCTCCTCTAGCTCGCGGACCCGGGAATCAACCAAAGTGACCTTATGTATAAGACCGTATGTAGCCTTTGAAAATGAGCTCAATGCATCAATTATTGATGTAGGTGAGCTTTCCTGGTGGTTTCTGACTTAATTTCAGATATAAACCGACTGGTTTACCGCTTCATTGATGGTGGTAGGCGTCTTCAAAGTCCAAGTAGTGGATGGCAGATTGGGGTCTGACGACGGTGTTCGTATGACAGCGACAGCATCCAGCTTCAAAATGACACTTTCTGGGTCAAAAGGAACAAGCCCAGTGGCACTGAAACCTGCTTAAACGTTTCCTGGCGTCATAGCAGTGTTGTGTGCTTCACAAAACGTTGCAAGGAAGTCCTCCTTCAAAACATGGGTTATTTAACGCCGGATGAGATTCTCAACTATGCGACCATACGCTCGTTTGAGCAGGCTAAAACAACTGACATCTAAAGGCTGAAGCCTGTGTGACAAGTGGGCAGGCATACAAAGGGTAATAATGCTATTATTCTAGCAATAATCCTCAAAGATCTGGGAATGGTGGCTTTTGTGACCATCTAGGATAAGGAGGCATTTACCGGCAGTCATACGCGGTCTGGTATACTTGTCGAAATGCCGAATCCATTCCAACCCAATCTCGTTTGTAGTCCACCCGTTATCGGACATGGCCACCTTCCAATCGCATGGTAATGTCGTGTTGCGATACCATAACGCGAGGTGGGTTTTGCCCTGTAGAATGATGAATGGTGGGACCACCCAACCATCAGCATTGACAGCAGAAATTGCTGTAGACCATTCCCTGTTGCCTTGCTGAGCTTGTCTAGATATACCATGTCTTTTGGCACTTGTAACGACTATGTCAGACCCAATAATGCCCATCATAAACACAGTCTCGTTGAAGTTATAAATATCCGCGTCTTGGATACCATATTTTGCAATTGCCGCCTCAAGTTGGCAAAACCACGCGCGATACGCGTCTGGATCTTTGTTCAAGACCCTCTAGTAGTCCATCCTCCAATGAAAACGCGGCCGGAGGCCTGGTGTGCGTTTAATGAAGTTCCGCTTCCAGTTCTTTCTAACGCGTCCATCCCCATGCGCTGCCAACAATTGATTCGTCATATCTTCAACATAACTGTGCCGGGGTGGAAATGCTCACGCATCCAGGTCAAGAATTAAGGAAAGAATGGCATTCTCTTCAGAAACTGTAAGTTTCAAAGTATTGGTCATGTTATCGCGTCGTGATGGTTGGCCGGCAATTCTAGCCTTCAAGGTATTATATGGGTCATAAAAAGTCTTAGAAAGCTTGCCAATGGTAATATGAGGGCCGTGTTGCTGAGCTTGGACAGCAAGCTGTAAGTCTGATTCGCTATAACGCAATGCCATTTTTGTTGGTTGATCAATTAGGAATCTTGATTGAACGGTTAGGTGGCTGGTAAAAAGTTGCCGTTTGCTTGTAATTGCCACTCGCTTGTCATCCATGTTATAGCCTTTAAATTTTAAATTAGTATAAGGAATACTTCAAACCTAATTATTAAAATTTTAAATTCACAAATGTAGTATTAAAAAATAATAGTATATTCGTTACAATTAAAATAGCCTACAAATTTAATATCGACCTACCTTTTTTTAACTCGTTATAACTACCTTATAACCCGGGTAATTAACGTGGTTAATTTTATACTTTACACGCCTTTTTAATTTGTTAACTGCTGGATCCATGTGATTCCATAGTCAAACCATCTATACAGAACCCACATGTATGATTAGATAAGAGATTAGATACCAGATTGTGAGGTCACTTAGCCAGACCTGCAGGTCCAGCTAGACTTCACAATCCAACCATCAGCAACATCATGACCTTGACACCATACTCGAGTATTATGATTGATCGTTCAAGCCTGTTCCCACATTAACTATATATCCTTTAGAAAGCTTTCAAGGCTTTAAACGCTTGAATTCATAGTAAATTTAATTAAAGATTGTTATTACATTTTAAGATAAGTAAGCGATGTACGGTTTCTTTAAATAACTATAAATACCTTTAATAGTTATTCACGCTTTTCCCACGTGTTTTTAACTATATATTTTTAATTAATTAAACAAGGGTTTTAAAACATATTAAATCTTTCTAAATCTTTTTAATGACTTCGATAACTTAAATATAACTTTCATTTTATTATACGCCTAGTTTTTAACGATAAGAAATTTTACCGCTTAAAGTCATATTTATAAAATAACCTTAGTTATCATATATAAAGGATTTTTTTTAAACGTACACTTTCTTATTTATTTTTCGCAATGTAAATTTCATCTTCTTTATTTACTTGTTGCACCTTTAAACTTTTATAATAAAGTTTTTAGAAATTGGTGTTTGAATTAAATGATTATTAATAAAATCTGTTTTTTATCTTCGCTTTTTTCAATAAGTTTCTTAATAAGTTAAAAAAAAACTTCGTAATTTTTTACACGTTCTTTAAAAATATAACAACATTTATATTATAATATATGAACTATCAGTATTCAGCAACGTGATTTAACGCTAACGTTATATTATTATTTTAGGTTAAGGATAGTGATTTATTTAAAACCCTTATCTATTAATTTGTATATTTTACTCATTACGTTTCTTATAACTGTATAACTATTTTAACTTTTTAAAAAACTTAATATTGTTTTTCTTAGCTATAGAACAATAGTAAGAATATAATTTTTATATTTTTTAAAATCAAACATTATATCTTTATTTGTTGTAAACTTTATATTGGATGGATATATATATATATATTCATAATGCCGTTTTATATCTTTTATCTAAAATTTAAAGTGGTTTCTTTTATTATTTAAAATCTAAAAATTAATTAATTTTAATACGTGCTAACCTGTTTAATACTTAGTTCTAATAAAACGTCCGTCGTACTAAGTAAATAACCTATCTTGATAACTATAGTTAATCTTTTTTTATTAATTATTGTTTTCGTCAAACGTTTAAAAACTAGCGTTGAGCTTAATAAAAGCCCTTTTTTTTTATGAAAGATTTCAATTATATTACTGCAGAGGTTTTAAAAGGCCCTTAGTATGTATTTCAACTGAAAATCTTATACTTAGAACGGTAAAAACTTTTTAATAATTGATGTATTTAGCCATTAGAAAAATCGCGCTTAACTGGGCTTAATGATAATTTAATTTCTATAATAAAATAAACCGGTAAATTTTAAAACGGAACCTTTTAAATCTGGTTTTTCTATATACAAAACGGTTTATAACTAGCTTAAAACTTACATCAAATATACTTGTTTTTATCTTTAGTTAATTAATCAATATCGTATATTTTAAGGCCTTATGTTATTAAGTTAAAGAAAAAGAAAAAAAGAAAAAGATTTACTTTTAAATAGATTTAAATTATAAAATTAAATTTACTTGTTTAAAGGTTCTTGATTTTAATTTTTAATTGTTTAAAGTATTTTTAATTTCTTAAAGTTATTATATAATAAAAGGATCTTTTTATTATAAAAGTAAGTAATTTGTTAATTATAAGTATATGTTTAATCCTTATAAACGAGTATAAACCTTAAAATGCTCATTCAGTATATATTATAATTATTAGTTAAATAAAAGGAATAAATATTACGAACCAACCAACAGTGCGGCCTGATAACAGGCCCAGAGGAGACGATTGGAAACAGGTTGACCAGTGAGTGGGGTGCCGACCAGTGGAGGAATCGGAGCAACGGTACACAGATCACGTGGCCAGCAGAACCTGGGTCACGTGACTAAGAATTTGGATCACTGGATCACCATGGTGAGCCAGTGAGCAGGATCACCTTGGATCACCGATGGCGACTTTGCCAGATACCACGAACGCTTTGGGCATACAGACTTGCATGATCACTGCAGCTGTGGTGAGAAGAAAACACCACAACACATTTTCTTTTGTAAGAGGCTGGGGAAAATCGGCTGCTGCCCAGGTACTCGCCTAGGACAGCTTGTTTACAATACTTAGGGGAGAGGAGCACAGAATGGGCAAAATTCGTGGAGAAGAGCAAATTCTTTTCATCAATCTGCCCTCGATAGATAGCTGTTCTTGAAGGACCAGATGGATGACCCAAGGTCATACCGCCGCAACAACGGGGATGGGCTCGTGAGCGGGACTGACTGTACTTATTATCTTGATACCTCCACAACCCTGCGATGCAGAGGCTCTGGGAGGCGTGGTTTGCACTACTGAGGAGCAATCCCCCACGTTAAATACAAAACAAACAAAACAAACCTTGGATCACCGGTGATCCAGGGTGAGCCACCTAATCAGTGAGGGAGAGATTGGATATATAAGGATGGATATTTCTTAGCTAGACAGATAGACAGTCTCTATCTCAGTGATCAATCTAAGCACCTTAGCCAACCTTCAGGTGGGAGAAATCTCCTGACGACTCGACTATGCAGTGATCCCCCGGATCAGACCAAGCCCCAGCATCTGAGTGTCTTCTAGTTGACAGAAGCCTCTATCGTCCTTTGTGTTGACATACCTCAGAACATAAACCCTATAGAACCCTTTAGCCTTATAGGTTAGACGGCTCGTCACAGTCTATTAAAACTTAATAAAAACTAATATAAATATATATTATATATAAATTTAAATTAAAAACACTATAAAATAAGAAAATGCTTTATAAAATGCTTTAACTTCATTATTCTAAATAGAAAAAAATTCTAAAGTTTTCCTTAATTTTAAAGCGGGTGTTAAGGCTTTAAAATTATATTTATATATATCTTAAAAAAGGTTTCTAGCTGAACTTAACTAGTTTTGAAATATTTAACTAAGCTTTCTTAATATTTTAAGCTTAACTAAATTAAGTTATACGGAACGTAGCCGATAAGGCTTACCTTGTAAGAGGTGTAAACTATAAAAAAAAGCCCCTTGATGACATTCTAGGCCTAACACTCGTCCTATCATCTCATGCCTGCGGAATAATCAAACGACTTCACGTTACCTTTAGCATCTGAGGTTTAAAAGTGACTATTCAACCGAGCAACTTCTACACGCAGCCCAAGACAGACATAAATAACCAGTTTACAATGCCTGCGCAACTCTCAATCATAGTAGTTCTGCACCTTCAGCCCCTTGAACTCAAACGCGGTTCCTTCACGCTTGTCTATCACCGTCTTATAGTGGACATCCTTGACGCGAGCGCGAACATACTCAGACCCCGTCACCGTTGGCTTGTTGGGGTCCTTGTCCTCTTCGGGTATCAGGCCGAGGCGTTCTAGAAGAGGCGATGGGACTGTCTTCATGGGTGTGTTTTCACCGGGCCGGCTGAAGTACAGTAGGCCGAGACGGGGCGTGGCCATCTGGTCTTTGGGTGGCGTGACCACCCGATGAACTGTGGATTTAATGAAGCCTGTAAATACAAAATCAGTTTGATACCGAGTAAAGCAAAGGGAGATTTACATACCGTTGGTAAGGAAAGTCAGCGTATCAGCAGCATTACACGTAATCCCCCCATCCACCGGCTGCACATACTTCCACTCGCCCGCAGGCGTCCGGATCTGCAGGCCGGCCACATGCTGCGAGAACAGCAGCGTCAGGCTGCCGAAGTCGGTGTGGCCGCCCTTGGAGTACGCCTGCGCGCGGTCCCACTCGTCCTGCGTGCGCACATTATAAATCATGTAGCGCAGGTGGTCGTCGGACGCGCCGTCGTAGGCGTGCGCGTCGGCCAAGAACGATTCCGGCAGCTCCAGGATGATGGCGATCAGCACGAACAGCTTGTGCACGACCTTGTCGTAGACGTCGCGGTGGAACTGCGCGATCTCGGCCCAGTTGTCCTGCACCACCTGGTGCTGCCCCACGCTGGCGTACTCGGGGATGGGCTTGGGGATGTTGAGCTGGGTGCAGTCAGAGGGTAAGTCGTGGGTCGACTAGGTAGTACCGGTGGGATAGGACGTAAGTTATAGACTTACCATCTCGATGTTCTCCTTGACGCCCGTGTCGCCGACCCAGCGCGAGTTCTCGCGGTAGCCGAAGTACTCACCCTCGGCAAAATTGCAAGGGAATTTTCGCTTCTCCTCCAGCGGCTCCTTGAAGAAGGTGTTGCCGATACTGAACTGGCGGAGCACACGCTCATCGTCGAGGCCCGTGTTGACGACAGACCAGAACCCGACCTTGGTCACTGCGTCGTAGAGGTCCCTGGCCAGCTCCTGCTTGCCGCCTGTCTCGTCGAACCGCGACAGGTCGATCTTGGGCAACACTGCCCAGTCAAGCTGCTCTTTGGTCTTCTGGGGACGGCTCCATGGCTTAACAAGGATCTTCTTGTCGCTTAACGGCTGGGATTCGACTTGATCGAGTGCAATTGGTGTCATGATTTCAAGATATGAAGAAGTTGAGTTGGTCAAAAAGCTGATACTGTTGTAAAAGAAACATGAAATACCTACTTGAAGATGAACAGCCCGGCTTCTTCACGTATAAGTATCGCATATCTACCGATACGTCAACGCGGGGCTACCCTTGGCCGTCCACCAGTGGGTATAGCTTATCTCGAAGTTGTAGCCCTGACTCGTGATGTGGTTGGCGGATCGAGGAGCTCTACGTCAAGTGTAGCGTCGTAGTGATATTGCGTGCTTCACCCAGCTCAATGCGTGCTCCCACGCAACTCGTTGATCTAACTCCAACTAAAACCCCCACTTATACACATGGACATACAACCGTATTGGTCTCGTTTGTGGCTCAGTAAGGCTATTAATATGAGGTTAATAGCGATACGTTTACTGTTCCTGGAGTATTCCCGAATTCGTCAGTGATATCTAAGAGGATATCGAACATTTCGAGTACTGCCCGTAGTCAGCACTTTTCTATTAACCCATGCACGTGTATCTATAGTTCTTGACGATGTCTGATATCTCTGGCACACCCACTTATACTGTAGATGGGGTCGTTCGTGATCATTTCCGCTCTGTCGCCATCTTGAACCATATGGCGTGACGAAAATCTGGAAGTCTTTGGACCAATGCCATGCGTACTGCATATTATCCAAAAGCCCCAATGGGGGCCAATACGCCATTGCTCTGCTTGAGTATATGTAGGATGGGCCAGCTTTTCTCGAGCAGCAGCTCACCTTGGTGCCTCGGTAGGAGTCTACCAGCCGATCCTTATTCACCTCATATACTCTGAACCAGTGCGACTCAAGCATGACTTCCATCAAAGGCGAGCTTGCGGCAACCGCACATGATTTGCCAGTACCGACATCCAGAGATGGGGAAACGTCCCTCTCCGATGAGGAACTAGGCGGCTCTCATAGAGCCCTCGAGAAACAAGTCGTGCGAAAGGTAGACCTCTGGCTCGTGGGCTTCTACTCCTTGGTGTACATATTCCGGGTCATCGACTCAGCCAATTACTCTAACGCCGCCATCATCAACATCGAGAACGGCACCGGCATCAAGAAGCAGCTCAACCTCAACCCAGCCCAGTGGGCATGGACGTTGTCCATATTCTCATATAGCTATCTGTTCTTCGAGCCTACGAATACGGTCCTGCTGAAGGGTCTCAAACCGTCGCGATGGATGTTCATTTTGATCTTGTTCTGGGTAAGTTGCAGAATGCAAAGCCTCGGCTATATGGCAACGAGTTTATCCCCTGACTCCCTCCCACTGTTCCTTTATACAACTGAGCAACCAGGCCTCCTCAAGGGAAAAGTGCTAACCTAGACATCAAAGGGTGTATCCGCCAGCTCGTCATCAGCAGTCCAGGATTTCAAAGGGATAATGTGTGCCCGCTTCGCCATTGGGCTGGCCGAAGCTGGGTTCTTCCCAGCAGTGCTCTACCACATGGCGTTCTGGTACAAACCAAGCGAGCTACCACAGCGTATCGCCATTTTCTACTCTGTTGGCCAGCTATCGAATGCGCTGTCGGGGCTTTTGGCTTATGCTATTGGGTTCATGGTAAGTACCTGTTGTAAATTTATCTCATCATCAGCTAACTGAGTTGGCGAGAGGTCATCCAATGCACACCACGGCACCGAACTTCAGGCTGACAAGGATTGGTAACAGGATGGTCTGGGCCATCTCGCGGGCTGGCGTTGGCTTTTCCTGCTAGAAGGCCTTCCGGCAATCTTCCTGGCCTTTTTTGCTCTGTTCGGGCTGCCCGACTACCCCGAGACATGCCGTATGCTCAGTGACGAAGAACGCGACGTGCTCATCGGCCGACTTGGTACATCAGCGCCCACGGGGAAGAGCGGCAACTGGGACTTCAAGTATGTTAAGAAGCTCTTCAAAGACCCGTCGTTCTACTCCTTTACCATTTATTGGATCTGCCATGGGATCGGCGGTTTTGGCGTCGGATATGCCCTGCCCACGGTCATTTACCAGCTGGGATTCACGACAACGTCAAATTCCCAGTTGATGAATATTGTAAGTAGATTATGGCTCGTAGTTCTTTTGAAGCTGATTTTGGTTCAGCCTCCGTACGTTACGAGTTTCCTGTTCCTGAACACCGTGGGATACTTCCTACACAAACGCGTCATCCGGCCATGGACGACAGCCGTTGCAAGTGAGCTAGACCAGCCCCCTCTCCTCTCCTCACTCCCATAATTCTAACAACTTACAAGTCGAATCCACTATCATAATATGCTACATCATCCTCTTCACTGTCTCCAACGCCGTGGTCAAGTACATCTGCCTGATCGTGGCCGTAGCCTGTGCCGGCTCCGCGTACCCGGTCATCTGGCCCGAAAGGATCCGCGCATTGGAGGGCACCGTGGCCTCTGGGATCGGCATCGGCTGGACGAATGCGATGGCTCAGTTTGGCGGTATCGTTGGGCCTCACGTTTATAACACCGTGTTCGGGCCCTCATATCGGGTGTCGTATGGGGTTTGTCTCGCTTTCCTCGTGGTTGGGATCACTGCAATCCTCTGTTCCTGGGGATTGGTGAGGAGGAAAGACAGGAGAGGAACAGAGGATATCGTTCAACATGATTGAGTCACTGCCACAAGGACAGGCGACGCAGTGTAATAATGATTGTTCATATAGCTGAATAAGAAACCCCTATACCCTTGGATATCCCCTTTTCCCACCCTACTCCAAAGGCCCAGCCCGTGGAAGCGAACCCAAGAAACCAAACTCCGGTCCGAGCCTGCATACGACCTTTTTAACCCCACGTCTTGAGTACCCTTTCCGAACCCTTCTCGGCAGCCACCATGACACCGAACTGAGGATTCACCGTCAGAGGCGAAACAATCGACGCGTCAATGACGTGGATGTTCATGGTGCCGATGACCTTCGTGTCTGCATCAACACACTTTCCTATCCTACACGAGCTGGACCAATGCTGAACAGAGCCCACCGCATACTTAGACCACGTGGTGATATAAGTGTAGATCTCTTCAACCGTAGAGTTCTGCGCGATATTCAATGGGGTCAGACCCGCAACCGCGGGCGAGTCGGGCGTCGAAGCTGGTAGGGCTTGGAAGATGGTGTGGATGAACTTGGCGATGCTCATGCCGTCTTGCGGGTCGTTGTAGTACACGTCGGAGCTGGGGCCGGGGATGAATTTCCCTTCACTTGACAGGATGACCCGACCGGATGATTTGAGGCCGGAGGTGCCGTAGATGTTGAGCGTGATGGTCTTGTTGTCTGTAAAGTCTGCGTATCCAGACGAGTCGATCGTGCCCTGGACGCCGGTTCTTGAGCCGTCGTCGTTGTCGACGTAGCCCCAGAAAGCCGAGGTCTGAGAAGCAAAGGCGTATGGGCCGCTGCGCGAAGATAGGTACAAGTCCTTGTCAGCCGTAATAGGGTCGTCGTAGCTGTGGGCGTACGACTCGATGGTTGAGCCTGTCAGTTCAATGTACGTGTTGGGGTTGTCGAAGAGCCCTTCGCCGACGGCCGGATTGGCAACCCAGGCCGAGGAGTTGGAATTGCTGATAAATCCGGCTGCAGACAGCTTGGCGAGGGTCTCAGATGGGCCAATGCCGGAATGAATCAGAAGTCCCGGCGAAGCAATTGCGCCCGCACTCACGATGACGCGACCCGCGCGAGAAAGGGGCACAGTTATGATGGATCCGTCGACTTTGGCAGTGATGCTAGAGGCAACCCCGCCAACGTGGTTGATGCGTTGGACCTGAACACCAGTCTGGAGGCGAAAATTGCTCCGCTTCAAAGCGCTCTGGAGATACGTCCTCGTTGGGCCACCTCTCTGCCCGTCGATGTAGTTGTAGACTGGTCGGCCAAATACCCTGTCTTTGTTGTTCGGTTCTTCGTTGAACGACACGTGAGAGAAGCCGGCGCCCTTGACGAGCCACTCTTCTGCTGCATCGTAGCCGCTCTGCAGGTAGTACTTCCCGTCCACGGAGTAGCTGGTCACTGAAGGCTGCTTGGCTAGCAGTCTCTGCGTCGCTTCCTCGACGTCGGCACTCTTCCATCCAGCGGGAAAGTAGTTGTCCCAATCGGATGCTGGAGGCTGGAAGTACAAGCCCGCATTGATGGCGCTGTTGCCACCAATGGTGCATGCTTGGAAGGCGCTGACAACATCCGCAGGGCATAGCAATTCCGAGTCTGGGGTGCTGAAGATGCTCTTATCTATTCGAACTGTCAGTTACATGTGCCTGCAGGCAAGATATATATACACTCACACAGTCCGGGAACGTCAACTCTGCTCAAACCGGTCCCGTCCAGCCAACTTGGTCTCTCTGTCCCTCCAACGATACCGTATGAGGGACCGCCCAGCTCAAGCAGCATTGTCTTCTTTCCGGCTTCGCTCAACCGATCCGCCACGATGATTCCAGCCGTCCCAGCTCCGACGACAATGACGTCCCATTCCTGAGCGGTCCAGTCGGTGGAATTCTGCCGTCGGGCAAGAGGAGGCGCGGCCAGTGACGTTTGGGTGAGGAAGGCCGTGATCGCCGTGAGGCCTAGAAGCGACTTCATCTTGGCGCGTACCTCTCAAGTGGGAGAGGACCAGAAAAGCGAGGAGATTCGAACTGTTATAAAGAGGGCGGTCGATGATTACGGCTGCAGTAACTTAAGGGCTAACCGTAGTCCCATGGCTAGGAAGGAAAACCCATCACGTCGGATCGAACGTCATCTACTCAGCAGGCCTAAAATCGCCTTTTTCAGGACCAAAAGCCGATTTCAGGCCTGGCGAGTAGGTAAACATCCCCTACCCGTGCCGTACGTCTGCAGTCAGATCATCCAACCTTCATCGCGCCCCGGGGGCGTGGGCTGACAGACTGGCAGACCGCCAAGTTGAGGGACTCTATTATTAAACGTTCTCGTTGTTGTGCTGCAGTCTAAGACACCGTATTCACCCTCACTAGCTTGCATACGGAATTTGGGTGACGTAATGCGAGTACAGCATGGCCGCCCCCCTGACTCGAGCGACCTTAGCTGCCGGCACTAAGGAACTGGCACTACGGGTGCTACACTGCCGACGTTATGTGCGACTGCACATGCAGTATTCGGATACCTACAATGACTAGCTACCACCTACTGCTGCCTGAAGGCTGGCAGTCCGATTTCGTACTACATGGCTACATGATGTACCTAGTCATCATCTTCAACGATGAGCAAACGGGAGCTTGTAAGAAAACCCGAACCATGCAATGCACCCTGCCGAACTAAGAAGATTACTAGAGTTTTTAGAAATTAATAGTCGGTGTTGGCACCGCATAGTAAATATAAAGAAACGAGGGCGGTGTGATTAATTCAGCCCCTGCGCCAAGCACGGGTGGTCTTGCCTCAATGTCATTGTGGCTGGAAACGCGGTAAGGAACTAGAATTAGTTGCGCAATTGCCAATACGTTGTACCATATATTCTTCTGCAAGTTCTTCCTTTAGCACAACCATCTGTACACCCATATGTATGGCTACATAAAAGCAGGGGTGGCTGATGAGACCGCTACTGTAGTCGCGGTCTGCAAGGGAAGTTGCGGGTTGCGAGTTGGCATGTGTGTGTGTCTGGGTTGGAAGTTGCGATGCTGCGAGCGTTTTTAGGATGTGCAACTTTCCGTTTCAGAGAATTAGGGATTTGTTTCGTTACAGAGGTAAACGAAGTACCTAGGTATATGCAGAGAAGTTGACATGATCATTGTTGGTAGTGTCCGGCCAGGAAAAGCGCCTTTGTGACTCGTAATCATGAGCACCCCTGCCTGCTTTTCGCCGACTATACCACCACGTCCCATGACCTGATATGGTCTTTTTTGCCTCAAGGTCTTGCGACAGTCAGGTGAGAGTTGGCACAAAATCAATATGGACATGAGTTTCTCCGTCTCCAGCCCACAGCCCGCTTCACGATGCATTATTTATGATTTTATGGCACCTCTCCCACCTGTGGGAATGACCACTGGCAAGCCTGGGAACCTACAATTCGTCCAAACCTCACCAGAATGGAGACTCAACGGCGATGGCATATAATTTTCTGCCTCATTTTTTCCTGCTCCCAGGCACTCGCTTGATTAGGGTGTGCCACCGAAAAACTCAACCTGCTGGGGAATAGCTTCAGACGAGACATCAAGCCTCCCCTGGTCTCTTCCCTCCCCATATCGGCCGAGTTTACATGGATTCCACAAATTTCATCACCTCAGCATCATCTCAAATTTCATGAGACAAGACCGTGGACGCGCCCAAGCAATCGATCTGACCTATGATGGCTGAGAGTTTGTCAGAGAGTCGCCGACCGACTCGCGGCAGCGTCGAAAGTCGGCCGGCAGAGAAGTTGAAGCACAATCTCGACCTCCAGGCTATTCCTTGCAGCGACCGGCTTTCACCTCTGTTACCGGATTACATACCATCCTTCGAGACCTTAGAGTCACTGCTTGCCAATTCCGCCTTCGTAGCCATGGACACCGAGTCTGTCCCGCACTGCTACAAGGCCACAGACGTTGGACTTGCGCTTCTACCTGGACTTGAAAAACTTGCACGCGGACCTGAGCAGCTCAAATGTCACCAGCCTCCCCAGTCCCTTGCAGCTTTCGTTCGGACCTGTCATATCCAAGTTTCATCGGTACGGGTCAATGGCCGGTATGATGATGCTGACGACAAGGTGAGATCGACTACTTCTCTCACTGGATCGATCTTTCTACAATGTTCATGGCTATCTTAAAGACGCCGCCGACCATGTATGTCGGTCTGGGAACGGCATTGAATATGTTCGGATATCGCGCTCGGGACAATGGATTTGGCGTAAGGCACCGAGCTGCGAATGATGCTGTTCGGACCCTTGCTGCACTCCACGGCTTGACATACCAGCGCAACATTACGGAGTTGGTGTTGAAGCAGTACGACCTCGGGGAAATCCAGGTATTCGCATCTGTACAATCCCTCAAATCGAAATTACACCGCGCCTTCGTTCATGTAGGAGGTCATGAACTACCTTCGGAGCTAGACACGACCCAGAAACTGGCCATTTTTGCCCATAAGTACAATCCTATCGCAGTCGCTGCTGACACCAGTAACCATCCCCGCCGTCCGTATGGCGGAGGCATTCATACCCCAGGCATGACTTTTGGATGCGTCTGCTTCAAGGATAAGGCAGCCCTCCTTAAGTTCGTACACGCGACGAATCATTTACAATTCGGTCATGTACGGCTGCGCGTCGAGCGAGCACCAATGCCGGCCGGCATCCGCCATGCGAAGATAGACAAGGGCACTCCTATCAGACGAATGCGACAACGCCGACGGAAGTCGGAAAAGAAGCAGGAATTCGATTGCTGGAAGGACAGCTTTGGTAAGCTGTTCGCTCTGCCCGATAACGAAGCGGGCGTCCCTCGGAGACCAGAATATGTAGGCGAACATAAGACCAGCCATCAGGATGTCGCCGCGAAAGGCGATATAATCGAACACAAGGACGCCATCGACATCGAGGAAGAGAATCATGAGGAAGACAATCACGAGGAAGTTGGTCACGGGGAAGGTGGTTACGAGGAAGGTGACCACGAGGAAGATAATCACGAGGCAGCCAACCAGGAGGAAGATGGCCAAGAGGAAGATCACGAGGAAGACGACCAGAAGGAAGATGACCACGAGGAGAGCATGTCCAGCCTCACGATCCAACCCGAGGTCAAGAAGAGAAAAGCGCGGACAGCCTTCTCAAAGCTGGCAGTCAAGATGCGGCTTGGACGCACGGCAGTGCTTGGCCGCTGAATATAGGATGTTGGAAATGACTATCATTTGGCGCTGAATATCAGCGCAGGAACAGAAGAGGCTGGCATCGGATTCAGAGCCGGCTTGTCGTGCTGATGAAATATCATTGCTGGGGGATGTTGGAGGGCAGCAGTGAGCCACAGTGAGTTTAGGGGGTGGCTGTGCGCCTAGCCAGGGCCACTAGGGCATCCCGTCCATGTCACCACATGCAGTTCGGGCGCTTCTCATTCATCTACAACAGCAATGTGTTTCATCGCCAACCTCTCTGCCTCTCCGAGTTCAATGGAATCATCAAGATCAATTTATCATCACCCTGTTTGACATGAAGTGGCCAATTACTATGGCTCAAGTATCTACTTTCTTCTGCGCCTGAAGTCACCGCGCGTCCATCCTACTGTGTCGCGAAAGCGCCGATCGACTCTCCGGCCACGGCTGCCAGGCCCATGAACGTCAGCGTTGGGGTCAGGAGCTTCTGGAAGGGGAAATCCAAGGCAAACTCACTGAAAGGCCATGTGCGCATCTCGGCGCCAATCATGCTATCCAGCCCGTAACTCGCAATTGAGCGACCGTCCAATTCGAAATCCTCCAATGGGATCATCAAAATGCTCGATACGCGTTTAGCAATGTGCGTAGCGACGGCCTCGAGGGCGGCTGTTGGCCCCTCCGCCTGGGCCGCTTTCAATACCTCGGCGAAGCTGTCGTCACCATGACTGCCTTCAACTGTACCTCCTGCGCCAGCCCCGTGCTGCACGGCCGCGCGGGTGTGGCAGAAGCGCGCGTCACGGTACCAGTACACATCCGCGTTGTCAACGCCACCAGCCTTTGCGACGGCCTTGCCCAGCTCGGTGGCATCTATGCCCGTGATGAGCTGCGACTGCGGTACTTCTGTCTCGGGGGTGTGCGGTGCAAGCATCGCCACCTCAAATCCGCGAAGCATCTCTTCTTCATCGATGCCGTACATGCCTTTTCGAAGGAGTGACGTCTCCAGGGCGTCTGAGTCGTCTTCGGCCACCACGCCGACGCCGAGAACCATGGGAAGCACCAGGGAACTGGCCGCCAGCCCATCCACGTTGCGGTGCAGCGCGAGTGCGTCGAGACAGTTGTTAGCGGCGCTGTAGTTGCTCTGACCGGTATTTCCGAGCACGGCCGAAATGGAACTGGTCATGACGAATAAATCCAGATCGACGTCTCGAAGCGCGTATGCAGCGCCAAGGCTCCTCTGGCTTTGGGTGCGCCGGCCGCATTGAAGGCTTCGGCGTCCATTGTGTCGAAGATGCCGTCGCGCAACACCATGGCGGCGTGCACCACTCCGCGGATTGGTCTCGCCGTGCGTAGCGATAGTACCACCTTGCGTACCGCGGCCTCGTCGGACGCGTCTACGCGGAAAACGTCGGCGGAGCAGCCGTCTCGGACTCGGATCGCTTCCACCACGCGTGCAGCTTCGGCCTTGTCAGCTCCGGAGCGCGAGAGGAAGGCGAAGTGCTTCGCCCCGCACTCCATCATGAAGCGCGTCAAGCTGCGTCCCAGACCACCGAGACACCCGACCAAGAGGTAGGAGGCATCGCCAGATAGGCGCAAGGACCCCGCATCTGACAGGCCCTCACCTTTCGTCGTGGATGTAGACGCGGGGATTACGGCACCATCTGTGATCTTAACCCTTTCAGACAGTTCCGCAGACAAAGACGCCACCTGATGCCCGTCTGAGGCGGTATTGTCCCAATCCCACTGTTGGTTCAGACCGAGGTTGGGACCAATTCGTTGTATGTAAACGGTGCCCCGATGCAGCCAGAACTCAGTGTCATTGCCTGAGTCCTTAGTGCACGCCGAGGTCAGGCATTCCAGCAACACATTGGCGACGTCAGAGGCCCATTCATCCTCGTCGACGTCGAGCAGAATCGCTCTGGCCGCGGCTTGCTCGGAGCGGATCACGCGGAGAAACCCCTCGGCCATACCCCCGGTGGGGTTGCGATCCTGTCTGACGCCGCGTGTCATCCAAACGATCGGAAGACCGGACGCGATGACGTTCTTTAGCGCTGTGAAGTTGGGCTCGTCTATGCTGGAGAGTAGAAGGTGTCCCGCGGTGTCTATTGCGAACTCTTGGTCGATTCTCAAAGCAGGGACAGATACGGAGCCGTTCATTTGGCTGGCGTCAGCGGTTGTCACTGCCGTTGGAGATGATCCTATCACCCAGCCATCAACATTCACCAGGGACAGCAAGTCATGGATAGAAGGAGTGTCAGAGCAGACGTCTACCAAGATCAAATCCTGGACATTGCCGATGATGTCTGGCTCTGCCACAAGGCCCGAAGGCGACGGCAGTTGCAGAGCTGTCGTCACTCGAGCCTTGGTATCCTCAGACAGATGTAAGTGTGTCATTTCGATGGGAGAGCATAGGGCGAGGGTGACAGAACAGTGACTTGGCAAAACCTTCAAGATGGCGCTCAACTCCAAGTCCTTCACGTCGGTTTTCGCGCCGTAGAGCAGGAGCACGCGGTCCAAGGACTGTTGGTGAGATATCAGCTCAGCGAGTTTGGCAAGACGCCCGTGCCGGCTGCCAGCACCAATGGCGAGTAGCTGCGGCCAGTTCTGCCTCATACGTGGTGCATTCTAGGTTCTTGATATGAACGAGCAGCTTGCCGCTTTTTCCCGTCAGCGTAGTGTGCGTATTGAAACGTCGACCGGAAGGCTCGAAACCGTCGATCCACGCGACTGCGTGACCGGCGGACCCAACATCGTCGTAGTCAGCGCCAACGGCCGGGAAGATGGTGGCTTCCTCTACACGCGTCGGCACCACGCCCCATGGCATCTTCTTGTGGCGTCCGGCGTGGATCGAAATGATGATCAACTGCAGACAGGCGTCCACCGTGGACGGGTGTATCAGGCTGCGAGATTCACTCTCCGCACATATGTCAAGTACGGATACATCGCCGGCCGCGTGTTGCAGCCCTCGGTCGGTTTGTGCATGTCGCAGCTGCTGGAGCGTTGGCCCGAGTTGAATCCTACGCGCCGGAAAGCCTCGTACCAGGTCTTGCCGATGGCACGCTTGCTCAGGGCAGATACGTCGACAGGCGAAAGTGGAGATGCGGCAGGCTGTTGAGCTGCCGACACGTTGCCCGTACAATGCAGCTTCCATTCCCCAGTCCCTGGAGCGAGCGATTCGACGGAGAAGCCGTGCCATCCTGTTGTTGCGTCTGCGGTTGCAGCCAGGTTTGCACTCAGCTGGAGGGTCACGACGATCTCAACTCCCTTGTCGTTATCTGGTACCGCAAGTGCCTTGTCAATGACAACGTCACGCAGTCCAGCGCCATCGAACGCGATTCCTGCTTCCTCATGTACTTGTTTCAGGGCCTCGATGTCAACGGCAAGGTGGCCAGCCGCAGGGAAGATCGCAGTGCCGCCCAGACTGTGGTGTTTCAGCCACGGGACATCGCGGTGGCGGAGCAAGTTCCGCCAGACTCGGGTTCGTCCGGAGAGCCCAGAGACTCGACTGCCCAGGAGGTCGTGGCGTCGGAACAGGCGCGCGCGCTGCTCGACGCTGGCTCGCGGCTCGGTCCAATACTCTTTCTCGTAGTTCCACTGGTATGGAGGCAGGTCCACGAGCAAGTATTGCGTCTTCGGCTTGCGTGACTTAGGGCCCTTGCCGCTCGCGACGTCTTTCATGTTGAACGACTCAGGGCGGGAAGGTGGATGATGACCATAACCTTCGGCATTGACGGCCTCCAGATCCACGGCGTATCCCGCCACGAACAGCTGTCCTGCCACGGAGAGAACCTGATTCGCATCGTCTTTATTCCGCACCGGACTTGGGACGTAGGTGAAACGGTCGAACTTGTTCACTGCACATATTTGCTTGAACGGCCCTGACAGGGCCATGTGCGGCCCTATCTCTATCATTTGGCCCACCTGACCGAAAGTCTCCGTATCCGCACCTACTCGCTCGACTGCCGTGTTGAAGCGGACGGCGTTACGCAAGTTGGCGCTGAAGTACCCCGTTGGCAGGGTCCCAGTGTCGATAAGCTGGCCCGTCACTGAAGACACCATGTACGAACGAGGGCGACGCCACTCAAAATCGCTTTCAGTAAACGCAGCCGCAGCATTGGCTAGGAGTTCGTCGTAGTAGTCGCCAACGGCACTCATATGAGGCGAGTGGTAGGCGCGTCCTGTTTTCAGCTCCCGCGCGAAGGTACCTTCGGAGCTGATGAGCTTCTGGACGCGAACGATTTCGTCCACCTCCCCACTCAGCGTGACGCTGTTCGGCGAGTTTTCGCATGCAACGCAGATCTTCCAGGAGCTCGCCGGATGATCGCCGGTGTGCAGGAACCTCTGAACCTCCCCAAAACCGAGCCCGACTGCCAGCATAGAGCCGGAGCTGGACTTGGACTTGACTGCGCGCCCGCGGCAGAAGGCGGCCACGATAGCTTCCGGTGCGCTGATCAGGCCGGCCGCATATGCTGCCGCGATCTCGGCTGACGAGTGCCCAACGGACACCCGTGGCGTCACGTTCCAGAGTCCGAAAAGATCGACGAGGGCGATCTGAATTGCAGTACATAAGGGCTGGGAGACGTGCGGCTCGTTGATCGAAGCCGCCGCTTCTGCTGTTGAACCCATGAGCAATGCCGCCAGGGAGAATTCGGGCGCTGGGTCGAGCCGGCTTAGAACTAGGTCGAGTCTCCAGATGGTGTCTGAGAAGGCGAGGAAATGCCGATAGACCTCCTTGGCCATGCCGGCCCATTGAGCCTATGGTTTGAGCGTGGTCAGCTTCATGCGATGATATATCCTTACATGAAAGATCGCACGGAGATACGAACAGAATGAATGGGGAAACGCATTCGACAAATCAGAGCTTAGGGTAAACAATCAAACTCACCCCTTGGCCTGTAAACAAGAACCCGATCTCCTTCGTCTTCTGGGATGCTGTACCAGTCACAAGGGACTCTTTCTCGAAAGCACCGGCAATGTGCTCTTCTCGAGCTACTGCGAAAGCTCTGCACTTGAACTTGGTCCGGTGCAAGTTCGAAGTGTGCGCCAGGTCAGCTAGATAGTAGTTGGAAGCAACATTTGCTATGGCAGCCACGTTCTTGAGAAGTGTAGTCTTTTCGTGGGCCGAGTGAACCAAAAGAAGTGGTCGATGGCAAGAGTGGTCGTAAGGGGCTTTATCCTTAGGTTGGCCGTGTTGGTACCACGGATACATCGAATCGACCTATTCAACGACGACATGGCCGTTAGTCCCACCAGAGCCAAATGACGATACACTTGCTCTCCGGATAACAGAGTCATCAGGCCAGGGTGCCGTATCCCTGCGAACCTTGACGTTCCATTCCTCTTCCAGGATCGCAGGGTTCAGGTTCTCCAAAAGAGCCACGCCGGGAATCATGGCTGCCTCGGTCATCAAAGCCGCTTTCGTAACAGCGAATATGCCACTCGCAGCTTCGCTGTGGCCAATGATGGGTTTCAGGGCCCCGATCAGCAGCGGCTGACTCTTGGGGCGAGTGCCATTCATGGCACGGGAAACGGCTCGAACCTCGATGGGATCGCCGACAGGGGTCCCGGTGCCATGGAGTTCTGCGTAGGCGGTCAGGTTCTGGTTCAGTCCAGCCTTCTCGTACGCCATCCGCAGCACACGTTCCTGGCCCTCGACGCTGGGGTGGGTAATTCCCATGTCGCCTACCTTGCCATTCGTGTTCACCACGCCCCAGATCGGGTCACCATCGCGGATGGCATCCGAGAGCCGTTTCACGTACAACGCGCCGGCCGCCTCGCCTCGGCCGTAGCCGTCGGCTGCGGCGTCAAAGGTATGGCAAGTAGACGTGGGGGATAAAACCCTGAGCTTCGCCGTGTTCATGTGTTGGTCGACCGTCAAAATCAAGTTGACGCCGCCGACTATCGCGGCATCACAGTGCCGAGCACGCAATGCGTGACAGGCGTTGTGTAAGGCGTAGACGGAAGACGAGCAAGCTGTGTTGATGGTGAAGCTGGGTGGGGACAAGTGTCAGGACGTTGCTGATACTTCACGGTTTGGCCCTGAGTAAAACACTGGCCATGAGATAGACAGTTGAGCTTACCTTGGCCCTCTCAAGTTGAATGTGTGTCCGATCCTGTTGCTGATTATACCAGTATCGACACCGGTTGCAGCATAGTTGTGACGAAAATCTGGCTCTCGCGTGGACATTTGCTCTGAGATGTTCTTTGTCAGCCGTAAGTCTCCAAATTGACCCGTTTCGTGGTTGGAGGGGCTGAAGTAGCGAGTGGGTGACAGCAATGTAGACAGTAGGGAAGATCCGGTCTCACGATAATCCGAGGCAAACGAGCCCACGAACACCGCCGTATTGGACCCAGCAGCCGCGTCTAGGGTAACGCCGGCCGATACCATGCACTCGTAGCTGACTTCCACTGCAGAAGTATGAGTAAGCAGGGGTCATGTTACGGGAGGTTTCGAAGGAGACCGCCTCCTCGGTATCATGCGAAGAGGGGGGCGAGCCAGTCAGCGCAATACGTACGCATCCTACGCTGTTGGAGGTCTAGCCATTGCGCCTCAACAGGCGTGATATTGAAAAAGCTTGGATCGAAGTCTTGGGGTCGGCCATCGAGAAAGTAGCCACCTGGGACGTTGAACGATCCCGGTCTGTCTAGGTCCTTGTGGTAGTGGGCGTCGATGTTGAAGCGACTTGCGGGCACCTTGGGTGTCTGGCCAGTGCGTTTGTCTCCCAGCATTTGCCAGAAGGATGAGTCGGAGTCGACACCACCAGGTAGACGACATGCTGAAAAGAGGCCGTTCTCGGTCAGCATCACACGATACACTGGAAGGCTTGTTGCGGCTGGAGGTATTACTCACACATTCCACAAATAGCAATGGGTTCGAGACTCGAGTTGCCCTCGTGGACGGTCTGGTCAGTTGTTCTCGAAGGCATGGTGAAATGGAGGGGGCTGTGCCGTAGAGGAAGTGCTGAGATGAGATCTAGAGAGCCCCCAACCTGGGCAGTGCTTGCCTTTCAACCCTTTTAACCACGTCCAGAATGCCCTCAGTGTATTTAGGTCCTGCTCACACTGTTACATCTACCATCAGAACAGATCGCATCTTCTCACACTTACAGGTCAAGAAATCCTGATATATGCACCAGACCCACGTTTCGACAGGGGCGCCGTCAAGTACCGGTATAAAAGGCTCAACGCTCCCCGAGTCGTAAAAGTACTTCCAATTCTTCGATTTCCCCTCAATACATGCAGTCTCAAGCTTTTCAAACAAGTAACCAATGGTTTCTGCCGGTACATATTTCTTTGCCTGCCGGTAACCTGTGCTAGGAACTTTATTTCAGGGGTTGAGCTGCACAGGCATTCACCTCCCCACTGCTACATGACATCACCGTGAACATGGGTGTCGATGGAAGTTCTTCGCTAGTCAGGGAAAAGCTATCGTCATCGTCCTATTAGCTGTTGCCCCTGTCTCAAAAATCGTGCCGTACTTTCACATAAAGAGGTTATAACCTAGACAGTCATCGTTTACAATTTTGGTCAGAATATGTGAATAGGGTACGAATTTACGAAGACGGCAGGGTCTTACTCATTACTATCACTGATATTACATGAGCTCATTAGAATGTATAAGTAATCTATATACACCATCAGGTGTACACTTCAGGAAGTGTCCATCTCACGCACGCCGCCAAACATACTACGGCAGCTTTAATACGACCACACGATACTTCTTTATCCTTTTAAAATAATAAAGATTTCTAAAATAGCTTATAACGACGTCATCGTAACCCTTTATTTATAATAACCGACTGCCTTATATAATGAGCCGTTTAACTTATAACGTAGCTGAGAAGCGAGTTGCCATTACAAGCGAGTTGGCACTCATCATGAACTTTCCAACCAACACGATTCAAACCATTATATCTCTACCAACAACAATGGCACCGCGTTATAATGAATCAGACTTACAGCTAGCTGTCTAAGCTAAACAACGTGACCCTCATATTTTTATATTTCAGCTTGCGAAACTCTTTAATATCCTTTGTTCCACTTTTAGCAATAGAATCAAAGGAATGTTATCACGACGCGACAGCATGCCCAATACTTTGAAACTTACGGTTTCTGAAAAGAATGTCATTCTTTCCTTCATTCTTGACCTGGATGCGTGAGCATTTCCACACTGGCACAGTTATGTTGAAGATATGACAAATCAATTGTTGGCGGCACGTGGGGCTGGACGCTTGAGAAAGAACTGGATGCGGAACTTCAGTAAACGCACAATAGGCCTCCGGACGCATTTTTATCAGAGGATGGACTACCAGAGGATCTTGAACAAAGATCCAGACACGCATCGCGCGTGGTTTTGCCAAGTTGAAGCGGCAGTCACGACACATGGTATCCAAGATACAAATTCCGTCGCCAGACCCCAATCTGCCACCCACTACTTGGACTTCAAAGACGCCTACCACCATTAATGAAGCGGTAAACCAATCGGTTTATATCCAAAATCGAGTCAGAAACCACCAGGAAAGCTCACCTACATCAATAATTGATGCGTTGAGCTTGTTTTCAAAGGCTACATATGGTCTTATGCACAAAGTTGCTTTGGTTGATTCCCGGATCCGCGAGCTAGAGAAGGCCAATCACTTACTAAGTAAACACCAGAGAACAAAAAACAAACGTCTGGTAAGAAGAGGAGTATTTTCTATTAAAGATACAGTAGGTCTTTAGGTTACAAAGGATAATACTGAGCTAGTAAGACAGGAAATGGGTGAAGGTAGTCGTCATCCAAGGAGGACAGCAGCGCATGAGCGGCGTTGTGGTGTTTGCGGCAACACTGGCCATAATGCGCGAACTTGTACAATAGAGATAGAAACCTCTGAAAAAGAGGAATCCGATTGATTGAACTGAATGTGTTATGGTGAAGTTATTTCACATGGCAGTTGGAGAGTTCATGATGAGTGCCAACTCGCATGTAATGCCAACTCGCTTGTCAGCTACGTTAAGGTTAAAAGGTCTTATAAGGTTTATATTTTAGAATAAATTAATATAAAACGACAGAAGCTTTTATTAATTAAAGAACACAGAAATACTAAGGCTTAGTTTAAATTAAGGTTTATTAAATAGTCAAATCGTTAAGAAGATTTCTTCCACTTTAAAGTTAGTTAAAATGCTTAACTTAATTATTAAGGTAAAAACTATATATTTATTTAACTAAAGAATATATATCTTCATATGTTTAATATCTTCTTTCTTAATAAGGTAAATACATGAAACAGCTTCGCTATGCTAGCTATTTTAAATCTAATAAGTAGTATCGGTATCTAAGCTATTTAAGGTATTTATCATGTAATGTCTTGATTATATAACTTAGGTTTTTTTTTTTTTTTTTTCTATATATTCCTATCCTTTTATTTTTAATTGAGCCTATTAACTGGTTTTATCCTTTATTACGTTTATTAATTCGTAATATTTTCCCCTTTCTTTTCAATCTTCGCTCTCGAAGATAAATAGCGTAAGCTCCTTTTATTATTCGATATTTGAACCTTTTTCCCTTTTTATCGCCATATTAAATCAAGTTTAAAAGTCGTCGCTTAAGCCTCGCACTTTTAAAACGGAATAAAAGATCTCTTTTATTTGCTATTTTTAAAAATTTCGTCGATATGATTTTTTATTTGTTTTATAAAAATAGCGGTATTACGTTTTATTGAGTATTTCAGTATGATATTTCTCGTTATATGGAATATATTCCTTTTAATCAGTCGTAATATAATATACTAAGCCCGAGTTTTAAAGACTTTTAATCGATTACTTTGGAATATTAAAAGCTCGAATTTAACTTAAAGTCGGTATAAAAAAAAGGCATTATCTGGTCAGTATAAAAGTTAAACATATTTGATAAAAAAAAAACCCGTAATTTAAAAATATAATACGCGCCGTATGTCCTAATATTAACAATGTAAAAAAGATAAAGCGTATTAAACACGAAGAAGTAAAACGGAAAATCGTCGTTATATTTTTAATCGTCTTTTTTCCGCAGGTAGCACTTATTACCTGCTAATTATTAGTTAAATTAAGATACGATATATCGTAATATAAAAAAATACATTCTGGGTGCGGATCTACCCTTGGGTCTTGGGACCTGTTCAGGTACTAAATACACATACCAACTTCAAAGCAATGCCCAGCCTTTGATCCGGAGGGTAAAGATCCCTTGTCCCAGATACACTAAGGCTCAAAGCCCGCTTCCAGGCTGTTCCTTCCTTTCAGTGCTGCTGTCAGCCTTGTCAGCCTTGCCACCCCTAGAAGCGTGCTACAGCACACCTGTGAGCCACCCGACTGCTTACATTACTTTATAAAAAAATGTCTAAAAGTGAAACTTAGATAATTTATATTTAATAAATATAAAGTCGTTTGAAATTTTGTATTTATTAATAATTATTTTAATAAACGTATAAATTAACTTTTTTACCGTACTTAATTCTTTATATAAAGTAAAATCACTGTGTAAGGGTTAAGGTAGCTGAATGCTAAATCAAGGTCATAGCGGTGATTTAGAGAAGTAGGTGTATTAGGATACTTCAATCTAGCCTGGTATGTTTGTGAGAATTAGGCGTTTTAAGGGGATGTCGTAGTGGATCCTTAGGGCTCCGATCGGTGACGAGTCGGCCTGACATGCCGGTGCAATACCCTTACAACTGTATTCTGTAAATTTATTCATAACTACTTATATATTATCATAGTTTATATTATTTATTTAATTTTAAAATTTTAATAGCTTAAATTTAAAATCGAAAGCAATTCGTTTTTTATTTTATTAAAATCTCTATAAATTAAAACCATTTATATAATTTATATCGTAGTATTTTAACCTTATTACAAATATTATATTTTGTAATAACTTTTTTTACCAGTTTAATAAATTTTAACAAACCGTATTATCGTTTTAAGCGTCCGTTTGTTTCAAAAATACTTTAATATTTATAAGTTGAATACTTATAGAAATATCGTTTAAATTATCTTTTATATCACTTTAAGATTTCGACCTTTTTATTTATAATTGTTAGGTTTTTAATTTTGATTATTTAATCGTTTTAAGTCTTAACATAATATATCGTATTAATCCTAAAAATTTTATATTCATTTACTTTTAATAATACTTATACTTTTAAGATACCTTTTGTTTGTAGTAGTTTCGTTTATTAAAAATATCCGCATTTGCCTTTTTTTAACGTGAATAATGTAAGAGTTAAACTTTAATAGAAACTCTACTTATTATATCTATCTTTTATTTAATTCTTTCGTCATTATAAAATATATTAAGCTTCTATAGTTTAAATAAACTTTTTTTAGTCAATCTATTCTGTGAAAATATAATGTTTATTCCTTAAATAGTTTGATAATCATTATGAATTCTTTATTTTTAACTTAGTAGTTTAATTTTAATTTATAGAGGGTTCTTCTTTAATACTATCATATATAGGTTGCTATTTCCGTCGCTTTAACGAAACTTTCTTTTAAATACGCAATTAAATGCGCTTCTTTCGACTTTAAATTTTTTGGGAAAGTCTAGTAATTTATGAACTAAATTATAAACATGTTCTTATAAATAATATTAAAAGCCTGTTGATTTTTATCTATTTTTGTCAATTTTCGTTTGTGTTTCATTAAGTCCGTTAAAGGTTTAAATTTCTTTCTTCAAATTCGTAATGAAAAGTTGAACATAATATGTAAATTTTATAAATATTCGTAAGTTTATACTACTATTTAATACTATCTAGTTTTTAACTATTATAATTTTACATTTTGTAATCTGTACTTTTCTTAGCAATATCGTAAACCTAAAAAACTAACTTTTTACATATAAAAGTTACTTTTTAAAAGGTTAAAAATTAACTTAGCTTTTTGAAAGGTTATTAACACTTATTTAACGTATTTTATGTAATTTTTAATGTTTTTTAATATATCAAAATATCGTTTCAATATATTATTACGAAATTATTAATAAACTTTTATAATCCGTATATAATAATAGTTTAAAAGCTTATTAATAGATTGTTTAACTTAGAATGTATAACTCGGTATTCGTAATATTCGTAACATAATTTAAATGCTATGTTTTATTTTATTTTTTCTGCGATTTAGATAAAATATAAAAATTGGGGAAATTTAATACCGTAAACCATTTAACTTTTTATACTTGATTTCGTAATTCTTGTATTAGAAATAAAAACTATCGGTTTTTCGTCATAATAATATTAAGTTATCGGTAATTAATATATAGTTATGATTTCTTTTTTTAAGGAATGAATAATATTAAATGATTGAGTATAACTTCTTATTAAATTCCTATTAAAATACTTTCGTAAGTTCTTCCATTATATTTCGTTAAATGAATATATTTAAAAAATTCGAAAATATTTTTGTCACGGTGCTTGCGGCGTTGTGGTGGAATCTAGTGTTATATTCACAAAATAACAAGGTGAGAAAGGAAAGAAATCCAGGTGTGCGTGCACACAAATGGCTGCAGCACATATGGTGGTGTCCTTCTTTATCTAATATACACGTGACTTGATGACTCAGCATCCAACTAGGTGGATACAGGTGCTGGTCCGTCATCATTATCTTCTTTATATCGATATATTATAATTATGTTTATTATACTTTAATTAACTTATTTTAATATCTTGTTTTTTTTTTAAATAAAAGGCCGTAATATTAATACTCTTTTAATATTTTAGCCTTGTATATCAGCTTAAACTTTTTGATTATTATAAAGGTTTTGACTATTTTTTAAACTTTTTTATAAATTATTTTGAACGTTATATAGAAGTTAAATCTCTTTTTAATATATTTCTAATAAATTTTGAAGCTGCTCATCTGCAATTAACTTATTTTTTTTGGAATAATCTTGTGCCTTAAAATATTCGCAATATCTAACGTACATTTTTTGACGTTTACTCAAACTTCGAATAAAAATATTGCAATTTTTCTCCCAACATAGTCTTACTCCTACATTATTAAACTTTTATTTACTGTTTTAGACCGATAGAAAGCGTTTTTTATTTCTGTAATATCTAAAACTTATCAACAATTTGTAATGAAACATAATTCCTTTGTATTCTTATATTAATTATCGCCTGGATTTTACATCCGTCACATATAGTTTTAATAATAATATACTCGTATAGTTTTTAAATTAATAATATATTGTCGGATGGTGTAGCTCAGGGTGTGTGTTAGAGCTGGTCTGTGCGCCGGGGATCAGGGGTGGTCTGTGCGCTATAGGAACGGTCAACTGGTGACCGTTGCCCCACTGCTCAGCCGGTACGGCAACTGGACCCGTTAGTAATGTATTTGCATACAAATACGTCCACCTCAGGTAGTAGTGAAACACTTAGTTAATCCACGAACGAATGAACAGTATTTCACAACCTGAAGTTTGACACATATTAAGATTTATCTTTTAAATTTGATAATTATTTCTTTATTTTTAGCCTTTTTTATTTTTCAAATCAAGTCGTACACGTTTTTCAAAAGTGTCGAAATTAATTGGTATATCACTCATTATTTATTATTATTGGGCTTTAATTGTTAATATTAATCACTTAATCTTGTTTTAAAGTTTCTTTTTATTAAAATTAAAACCTTGGTTTACTTTTTTTAAATAAGCTTATTTAATTTCCTTTTATACTATGTAAACGAAAAACTCGTTTCTAAAGTATTAATTTTAATTTTAATCTTACAAGTACTCTGTAAAATGTACTGTGTCAGGTTATAAAATCCCCTAAGTTCTCTTATATATAATACCGGTTTTTTAAGTCCCGTATTTTAATTATAATCTAGTAATAAAATACTATTTAATCCTCATGAAAACTATAAATATCATAGTTTTTTTGAAGTATAATTCACATTCATGAAAATATAAATAATTTCAAATAGCTTCTTATATTTTAATCTTTCTAATATTAAACAAATAACGTCTTTTTATATGTTAACTTTTAATAACTTATTTATATAAGTTCAAATAAAATCCATTACTTTTTCGTCCCTTTTTATTTTTCGTCTTAAAATTACGATCCATCCGTCGGTTCAAAGTTTTCTTTTCTTTTAAAGTTTTTTATTTTTCTCTTATAGTATTACATATTTATTTAGACAGTTTAAATTTTAACTCTGAAAAATACTATAAGTCGAATTTTTATATAATAATAATATCAGTATTGGTAATAGTAACGTAAACCTTCAATCGTAATCTGCCTTATATTCTAATTTCAATATCGTCTTTAAATTACCTGTAACTATTTAAAATAGAATGTTTTAAGGTATTTTAATCTGTTATAATCGTGGTACGTTATAACGTCTTTATTTAAGGATTCATCTTTATTATATACTTACTTATAAAAATATAATTCGCATATAAAATTAATACAATAAAAATGTCCTTTGTAAATTAATTCTTATAATTTAATTAAGTTTAAGTATACCAAACATGCTGTTTCTTTTTAATTATAATAATACTCGCATTTTTGTTTTAAAATTCGAGGTCTTTAATAAGTACTAGTTTTAATTATTATGTTAACTGCTTACTTATCATTACATCTCGAACGTATTATTTAAAAGTTTTACTATTAACATTTTAATATTTTTCATTACTAATTTTCTTGATAAAAAACAGCGCTTCCTTTTATAATATTCGTTTTTTAATAATTATAACATTTAACGTCTTTCTTATTGTATTTAATAACGTTAGGATTTATAAGTTTTAAATAATATCTTATTACGGTATTAAATATTTTAAAGGTATAGTTTTGATTATTATAACGTTGTTTTTTTGTATTTAATTTAAAAAAATCTTCGTTTTTATCCCTTATTTCTATACTGGTTACTTATAAAGCTTATTATCCGTTTTAACTATTTATATAACGTAATTATTTAATTAGTTAAATTGCTCAATTTTAAACATTTCGTCTTTAATATTGTCTTTAAGTCTAAAACTATAGTATAAAAATATTTTCGTCGGTTTAATCGGTTTGTGATACGATCTATTTAATTTTTTCTATATATATAAGTATTAATCCTCGCTATTATAAGTTTATAAATCGTCGTTTTCTAAATTTAAGTTCATTAAAAAAATTAATATTGCATTAAACTTTCTTTCGAAATAATGATAGCTTCGAAAAACATTGTTAATTTCTTTTTATTTTTTGGTTTTATCTTTATCGAAATACTTCCCTATAATTAATTCGAACTACGCGAAAATTTCGCTTTTAAACAGTATTGCTATATAGAATACCTTACTTAATTCTTTATTAGTTTAACGTGCATAAAACTTAAAATAAGCTTTAACCTAAGTAAAGAAATAATTATTGCCGTTTTTATTATTGTAAAAACGGGAAAAAAAATTATATCTATTATTTTTAATTATTAAGGTTAGTAAAACTTATACCTTAAATTACCGATTATCAACTTCGAGTTTTTAAGTCTTAATTAAAAGTTTTAATATCATTTGGACTATATTTTAAAGGCTTTATAATTGACTCGTTTGCTGTATTTCTTGTAAAGGTTTAAAATGCTCTTATCGAGTCCATATCATCTAATAATCGTCGTAAATATAAGCTAAATAAGAATAATTAAAATATAACAAGCCGTTTAACTGATAAAGTTTTAAGAAAATTCAAGTTTTTTAAAGTGAATTTAGATAAACCTGATCAAAACTTCTATTAATCAAAAAAACATTCGAATATCAAATTTTAATTTAAATTAAGGTTTATTAAATAATTAAATTCTTAAATCCTTCCCCTACTTTAAGGTTAGTTAAAATACTTAAATTAATCACTAAAATACGAAAGGTTTATCTATTCAGCTAAGAAAAATTTATCCTTATATATTTAATCTTTTTTTATTGATAAGGTAAATATATTAAATAGTATTACTATTTTAATTACTTGAAATAAAATAAATAACCTTATTATCTGAGCTATTTATTCTATTTATTACGTCATATTTTAATTACGTAATTTAAATCATTTTATAAGTTTGTACGTTTTTATATGTTCCCGTCTTTTTATTCTTAATTAGGCGTGCTAACGGGTCTTATCCCTTGTTACGTTTGTTAGTTCGGAACCCTTTATATTAGTTAATGTTACCCAACCAAGGCTGATGTTAACACCCAACCCGCTCGTCATTATTGGCCTTTTACACCGTTACAATTTACTATCGACCAGTGAGGCTCATACAAAGAATGGTACCAAAGTATACTTACCGGATGAGACGGGAAGACGCTGCATTGAGGGGATAGGTCAATCGGCTAAGCATAAGGGGTTAAGTAAGCAGACCGTAGACCAGCGAGGCTATGTAGCAATGAAATCTTGTATAAGATAATTCTAGCCAAAGGCAAAAGGCTGATATCGGCACATCAAGTTTCAATCAGTCACTAAGCAGCACCTCGAGACAGCATTAACTACACTTCTCCAGTTATGACGTCTCCAACGAAGCCTCACCCGCCAGTCGCGGTTACCAAGAAAGCCTTGTATTTTCTTGACAACAGCCCTTTCGGACCGGCCATCACATCAATCAAGTTGAATGATGATGGCACTCTTTCCAATCCCAAGCGAACACTGACGAATGGTGTTGGGCTCCTTGGCAGACCGGCTAACCGCCATACGATCATGGGTGAGTACCGAGCGCGTTCTGAATCTCAAGCTCTGCCTGTCCAACCAGCAGAGGTTTCATATATACTGGCAACACAATACAGACCCTCTCTTCTCGCAGAATTCCGTGGTCGTTGACGGCAACTCGCTGTTCACCATCTCGCCCGGCTCTGCTACGGTGCACATGTACACTATATCTCCCGATGATCCCAGCGTCTTGACGCCCGTGGGCGAGCCCGTACCGAGCGGGGGAACCTTCCCCAACAGCGTGGCTTACTCCCGCAAGCTGGGACTCCTCTGCGTGCTCCATTTAGGCCACATCGGCGGCGTGTCGTGCTTCCGTGTCAATGACACCAGCAGCGAACATCCGGGCCTCGAGCGCCTGGGCGACTTGTTCCGTCTTGCTATTTTCCAGACCGAGACGCCGACTATTGGGCGTACCAACACCGCTGGCGACATTGTCTTCAACCCTAGCCAGACTGCAGTGTGAGTCAAGGCTGCTCTTTCAAACCTTTTCGTAGATATGATTGATCTGTGGGCGCTAGGTTCGTTCTTCTCAAATTCGACGGGGTCGCCACGTTCCCGGGACACATCTTCGCATTTTCCGTGGACACCAAAGCGCGAAAGCTGGTGCCGGCGCCCGTTCAGTCGCGCCTGCCAGGGCTGCTTGCGCCTTATTCCATCACGTTCCAGGGTAGTGATGACACAAAAGCGGTGCTAAGTGACGCGCCCTTTGTGCGCAGTTCATTGACATCAGCTACCGAGTCTGGAGGTCACCTTGGCCAAATCACTCACCATCTCGGCGACTTCTGCCCCGTATTGGACGGCGTACTCGGAGAAGTTGAATATCATGTTTCTCTTGGGCGGATTCGACCCGTCGCCAGTCGCGGTGGACCTCGAGAAGCAAGAGATCAGCTACACGATCACGGCGCCTCCTGAGACGCTGGGCGCATTCGACAGCGTCGTCTATGGCGACTACTAGTATGTCCTGCAGGGTTCAGCGGGTATCTCTGTATTAAAGATTGACGCCAAAGGTGGTTCGTTGGCCCAGAACCTGATTCTCCCAGGTAACAGGGAGGGTCGGGTAGGCTTGGCCATGTACGGCAAGTAGAGAAAAGGGATATGCGATAGATCAGGAGGAAACACTGTTTGGGTATTTTTGTATCTCTGATCCTTTTTAGCTCAGAGATTCCACCACGGGTCTCCCTAATTAGAAGAGAAGGTGGCATTTGGCTAATTTAGAGATCTTCGGGGATAGGGGTAGCCAAGCCTTGGGGGAATATCGACCGTCCTGTAGCACACTGCACTGCGTAGATTTGTATGCCTGATGACCGGTCTCGAGGTTCACGGATGTCTTGGTACCGAGTGGAAGATGCGCAGGAAGAATACATCAGAAGTCTCATGCCATCTCCTGGGAGGAAGAAACCCCCCCACCCCCCCCGGACACCGGCACAGGTTCCTGGATGGTACCCAGGCGGGGCTCAACCAATGAAGACGCTACTCACAAGGAAAGTGCAATGCCAAACCTGACGGGCCATTGCGCATCTTTGACTGTCTTTCCGCTGAGGCTTTGGTAGTATAAGTGGTCGCCAATTGCTCCGAGAAAGCCAAGAAGCCCAAGAAGAACCATGACAGACGGCATGAAGAATCGAGACTTCAAGCCCGCCCACTTGGCCTTCCATGGCGTTTGAGGTGTGCCAGGAACCAAGTACGACGGCTCAGAAGTTAGCGAGGGCTCTTCTCTGTTGGAAACAGATTCGATCTCGTTGTTCCTCGAACCCTGGCTGGCAGATGGCGAATTGGGAGCATGGTTATCTTCTACCGGTGGAAGTTGGCTTTCGTTGCCTACAGCCTGTTTGGACGCAGGCTGGGTAGAGGACATGGTGAGAAGAAACTCGGAAATACGCAAGCTTGCAAGACGAGGGCAGTTGGGTAGTTTCCGTGAGTGCGATGTGTGTGATCGGAGGGTCTCGTTATATGTCGTGCGTGTCCAAACCCCCTCCTTTCCCACACGTACATTCAGGCAAGGTTTGGCAGCGAAACATGCTGCCAGAGGGCTGCGTTTCAGCTCATGCTATTCTAAATGAGACAGGCGGTGATCTTCACTACATTCTTGACAAATATAGCCCCCCAGAAAGAAGGCTCTAACTCGCGACACCTAGAAGTTTACTTGATGTGCTGTGGAACACTTCCCAATGATACATAAACGATCCTTCTTGCCTGCCGTACCCTGTACTCTGGCACCCGGTCACCCAAAGCACCCCCTGCAAGTTAAAATGCCGTGCCATCAACACCGCGTTCCCCCCTGGTTCTTTCCCAGCCTTGCCAGGCAGCCGACAATTCATTCGGAGGATGGGAATTATTTTTAACTTTTCACACTTGAACTGCCAGTCTTGGATGCTACGAGTTGCCTTCTCGATTGAGATGGCTCAAAACTCGGTCGAGCGCGCTATTGGAGACTTAATATTTGACATATTATCGTCCCGCCGGGGACGTTAAATATACGTTGATACGATTGAATTTTTATTGCTATTTATTAATATAATCTTATGGCATACGGACTACGGTTTAGTTTAATTTATCTTTCCGCTACGGTTTTTTATAAGTCGCGCCTTTCTAGCTTTTAAACTTTTACTATCTATCAGTTCTTTCTTTTTAGGTTATTTTTTACGGCGTAGCAGATAAATATCAATCGTTATATACGCGTACGGTTTACGTCGACGAGATTTTTTACATTATTGCGGCTGTTTTTACATAACTTTTTTATAATATATTTAAATAAAGCTTTAGTTTTAAATCGGTATATAAATAAGTAAGCTTCAAAAGTCGAGTTAAAGTAGCTATATTTTCTTGTGAAAAGTAGTCTGTATAACGATAGTGTTGCTTACGTAGTTTTTAACTACCGCTAGATTTTATTAGAAATATTTTTCGAGGTTCTTATAATGTTAAAACGTTATATTGATACTGTCGTTAAAGTTTTTATTTACTTCCGGTAGACTGGTAATTAGCGGATAACGTTGTTATATATGATAAGAGCTATCTAATTTATATAATTATATGTAGTACGTGGGGAAATATTCGCGAGATTTCCGTGCGAAAATCCGTTCTTTTATAAGGCTTTCGTAATTTATCGGATAAGGTATATATAAACGAAGGTTTTACTAATAGCGTGAAGGTTAAAAGAGAAACAAATAGCATTTAGTTATAAGCTATAAGCTATTGAAAAGAAATATTATTGTTTTACTCAAGGTTGTAGCAGAGCCTGAGTTAATTCTATAATATTGATATTATCTTAATCTGCTAGGTTAGGAACACGAAATCTGACATATTATGTGGTTTATATTCCCGTTGCTCCTCGCTATATTCAAGCGCTAATCTAAATTTACTACAGTTAAATTACACTGTTACTAAGTCCGGTGTATTGCCGCATAATCTTTAAATAGTAGGGACGGGTTGCTCAGCGTGGGCTATGTTACATTCTGGGCCCTGGCCTCCCTCATCGCAACCGCACAAGTCTGACGATTAGTGACACGACATTATTATCGGCCCACGGTTCTATCTGCAGCCAAGAACTTTCGAGGATTCTGACGCAGCAAGTGGTGAAATATTCCATTCGCCATGTTCGGCTACGTGTAGCACAACAGTCTTGGCACATGACACGGGAAAGAGGTTGGTCCACATCCAAGAGGCGAGAGGCTCGGTGGGAGATATATCCCACGTCCTAGCAACTTAAGGCAGTACGTGTGATAAGCGGGCAGAGGAAGACGGTTAGTTCATTCGCTTCGGCTCTCGCTTCGACCTACTCCAACAATTGATGCGCCGCTAGTCCACGCCACGTGTCCACGATCACCATCACGAATCAAGATAGGACATGAGGCGGGAACACTTCAGTATATAAGCAGAAGTTACATTATCGTGCACGGCTTCTTGCTATTTGCGGGCTCCTGTGACTATCGCCACGAGTTCGTAATTGCAGCATTTATCGGTGTCGATCTAGAACCGAAGAAGCACCATCCAATAAACCAGGCTCAGGAGGTACACCCAGCCCTACCTACTTACAACAGCAGCTCAAGCGGCACAGTACCCACCTCCGTCGCCGTCAAGTAGGCTCCCGTATCCCAGGTATGAATTTCGTCGTGTTCGTGGTCGAACCCGCTCGCGCACCAGCCTGCAACCAGCTCCACCTTCACCTTCTGTAGATTCGAGAAAAGCGTTTTAGGAGCTTCCTCTCTGGCGGCACGAAGGAGACCCTACAGAACCCAGAGATCCTGAACCTTGTAGTAGTCCTTGGGCTCACGCCACAAGCCTACCTGGTTAGAGATGTCCTCGCTGTCATGGTGTCCCTCATCAGCGGCGTCTCCCTCGTGCCACTCGTTACCGGAGCCATCCGCGTTATCCTCGTCTCCTTCGTTGCCGGTGTATCCATCACTTTCGATATCACCCGTGTCATGGCTAGCTCCCTCATCATCGCTGTCTCCAGGGACTCCACAGGCATCGACATGGCAGATGTCGATTTTGAGAATCTGCGCGTTACCGAAGGCGTTGCTGAGCGATTTCCACAGACTGGCCCAGTCTGCAATGTCGTAAAAATTGCGATCATGCATGAGCAGTATGACATGCTTGACCTTCTCGAGAAAGTCTGGGGATAGTTCGGTGGGCTTATTCCACAGGCTCGTAAGTTCCCGGGTGTTTGGGGTCATGTAGACACCGTCACGGGACATCAAATCGGCCATGTTGAACTCCTCTTGCACGTGGAGGCATGGATAGTATCCGTAACCAAACATGGGCGATTTGGAACCCTGGCAGTCGAGTTGCTCGGCGTGTATGACGATTCGATCGAGTCGCGGGTTGAATGGAATGGTCGTGCATCCAAATTCGCCGTAGTACTGGATTGCTACCGTACGGAATGCGCGACAGATATGAAAGACGCTCATATCAGCCCATCTACGAGGTTTGTAGAAGATAAGCTGTGTGGACTCGTTCGTGGGTTGTCCTCGATGCTTCAGTTGCATCGCGTGCGCGTGCAGTTCCGGTGCTTCGGCTGCATGCTCGAAGATCATGGTGAAAACATCTGTCGGCGGGTCGAGGATAGGGCAGGGGCCATCATTGGGAGCCTTGACTGGCTCGTCGCCTACCAATTCACCGCGAATCTCCCACCATTCTCTGGGCCGCGACTGTAGAGAGTCGACTCCCTACACCAAGAAAGTAAAGTTAGAATGCCATGGCCTATCTTCATCACGATCAAAATAGACGGTGTGGCTTACCTCTGATCGCATGAGCTCTCTCCACTCATCATGGACTCTCGTGTGATTGGTCTGAGAACATCTACTGAATTGTCTGGTGCTGAGATAGATGGAAGGGTAGTCGGTGTTCTCCCACCTTCGGTGACACTCGTTGCTGCACTTGACGAATTTCAGGATTTCCGAGACAATTGCCTCCCAATGGTTCGACCGCTGGAATAGGGTGATATCGGTCCAGACGCGCGACCCGCCGGGTAGGGTCTGAACGCTTTGCTCCTTTGGGCCCTCAGGCTGAGTTGGCACGAGGTTAATTGTCATGAATCTTCCGTCGAGAGTCGTCCAGAGGATTCGGGGAGGAATGTATCCAGGACGATAGATGTCGTATAGATCATCCGGGATGAACGGGGGTGTCGCGAGTTGGTCATCCATCATGCGCCCATTCACGTGCACTCCGAGATGGAAGTCATTGATTTCGACAAGCTTTAAAGTTTGAGCTTTTCCCCATTTCAATTGGTGACATCTTAAGGTTGCGACATAGTGTCAGATGTCATAACAGTGGCGTATTTAGCCTTGTTGTGATTGCTGTGAGCAGCATGTGTCATCCTATGGAATCACATGTAATAGCTGTCAGAGTATCTTTTTTACCTAGGTATCTTTCCTACCTATTTAAGTGGGACGGTATCCCCATTAGCTATCCTTATTCCTCTTCCAACACAGACCATTCCTAATATTCACACATAGTCGACCAAAAAAATGGGAGAAAGGGTCGGACATAACCTTACCATTGTCTCCTCGCCAGAATTTAGTCCTCCACCGATGCTTAAACCTTCAAAACCCTCTAATCATCCACAGAGCGAAGAACCGTGACTCTCTAAGTGCTGCTCGTGACTTTCAACACAATACCACCTATAACTATGTCATGGGAAGTCAGTAAGCTAGCTATAGCTGCACCATCTTCGTCGTCCGCCTCTATAGACATGCCACTGGACAAAAGACTTGAGCGGGGCATTTTACAGAGACAGCCTCTTATCAGTAGACCGATGCCTCGGGGTGATGTTGCTAGCAAGGTGCAAACGTGTTGGAATCTAGGGGTTCTGTTCACCCTGAGGTCTCAACGTCACCAATCCTACCAAAACCCCATATCTGTCCTTTGTGCTAGGATTGCTAGAAAAGGATACACTGTCCTTTTCGCTAGGATTGCTGGAAAAGAACACAATGTCCTTTTCACATACATTCTTTCTGTATTCCTTATATATATAAGGGCCTTCTGCCCTTCAGGAAATACTCCTGGTTTCTCTCCTTCAATAGAACACTTTGAAATCTCACAAAACGTGGTATTTGCCATGAAAGTAGAAGCCACAAATAACATGGGCGAAGACCAAATGACTGCTTGACACAGGGGACAGCCCAAGCGAGCACATTCTTGCCCAACAAGCAAGCCTCCCCGAGTCCCCCGATGGATACACAACAACATTGTGGACCAAGGTACACTGGACGCTCATAAGTCTCCGTACACCACCCGTCTTAGCAGTAACGGTAAATTTATCAAATCGGAATAAGCACTATGGAATAAGTATTACGAGTTGCCTATCAAATCAAAGCTGCTTATTCCTATATTTTTATTCCAATATTTCGATTTTCCCACGGGTAATTTGGAGTCTTACCAACGTGATGCGTACGGAGACTTATGAGAGCTCAGTGTAGCTATGCTGCAAAAAGATACTTCAGCATCTTCTTCTCGAGGGCACAAGTATGGGTTGCCTGTCATGTAGGTCATGTTTGCTGAGGTGACATTTGACATGGTGGTCATGACTTCGAAACCTCCCGCTGCAAGCTGCAGTGTCGTTTGATTCTTCTACTTGTCTACTTGAAGGTTTTCAGAGACTTAGTGAAGATACTTCGCCATAGAGTGCTTCGATCAATGTATAACAGCTCAAAGATCATGAAGACGACGAGCACCTGAATACGGATGTCTGGTGCCCACCCTAGAGTATCTGGCGCTCCGTCATTTATAATGAACTGTACTTCAATGAGATAGAGGATAAAGCCACAGTCACGAGCTTGCTTTTTTGGCTAGGTAAAGACTTGCGACCATAAAGATGGCATATAACCTACGTGGCCACGCAAAGGGCGACTGTGAGTGTTGTCGTCGGGATCTAGGCAAAGGCTAGAGTGCTTTAGATTTTCCCCTATTCCTGGTTGCGGACTGGGTACAAGAACTTTAAGTGTGTAGAAACGGTAGATATCAACATATAAAAGAGCCATGCTATCATCATGCGTGCCATGCCTATAGTCATGCAGAGCAGAAAGTTACTCGCGTACTCGCTACGGGTATGCGCAAGGGGGCTTTCAGTGAAAAGGGGGGGGTGGCCCGGTGCCCCACCATCAGCCACGCTGCCCCACAGCCACACCTCACGTAATCCGCAGGAATCCTTACCTCACCGACCAACCTCACTGGACATCCTCGGCCCATCAATAGAGGCCCCAAAGCGGGTCTCTCCCATCACATCCCCGAGCAAATAAAGCAAACAACATGTCCAATGAGAACACGCCACTAGTCTCCTCATCATCAACAACCGCATCTACAACCCTCAACCGCAGGCGCAACATGTTCTGGACGCTCGGCTGCATCTACGGCGCGACAGCCGTCTGCTTCGGCGCGTTCGGCGCCCACGGGCTGAAGAAGAAGATCACGGACCCAGCGCGGATCGCGAACTTCAGTACCGCGGCTCATTATCAGGTAACTTACAACCGCACTTCCCCTTCCACGGAGCGGATCTACCCTGCCCGGGCGTTTCTCCAATTGAAATGCTCAAGCATCCTCCGCTCGGTAGGTATGCCTTGCTAATGTGGTTCGGACAGCTCATCCACTCTGTCGCCCTCCTAATAGCCTCGCAGGCAGCGCCGGAGAACACGCTGGCCGGCGGCCTGCTCACGGCCGGTATGACCATGTTCAGCGGCAGCATCTACGCGCTGGTGCTGGACCCGGCGCGCTTCCGGTTCCTGGGGCCCGTCACGCCGCTGGGCGGCTTGTGCTTGATTGGTGGATGGGCTGCGCTGGCTTTCAAGTGATGGCGCCTGTGTCTGTAGTTATGGATAGGCGATCGAGAGCATCGGAGAGTGAAGGGATGGAGGGGATGGGTGTATGATATACTTATGACCTACCAATGCAAGGTAGGCAGGCAGGTTCGAGCCGCAGCCTGGTGCTCGCGGGCGTGATGAGGGTAGATGAATATGATGATCGCGTTATTCAGGAGAAAGACGCGACACAACAGAGACCGCTAGATCAGGACACTCCTAAGTTGACAAATGTATGTCCCACCACTCACGACTGACCTGATAGTCACCTCGTCCGACGTGGCTCTCTCAGCAAGCGCTGTTGAAACTACAACGTAAGGAGTAACTGCTGCCAAATGAAGTCAAGTAAGTTCTGTTTCTCACCAAGAAGCTGTAACTTCCGGCCCGTTGACTGTGCAGGTCAGTAGCCTATGACGTCCGGTGCTGAGTAGAGAATACTGATACCTCTTCCTCCTCACCATGAGCCCGACAAGGCCAGATGCACAAGATGATCTCATTGCCTTTTCAATGCGGTGATTCACTCACTACTCCCGTAGTCACCCAAGCCCTGATGAATGTTTGCTTGACGACTTGAACAGTGACGCATCGTTACTCGGCCTCGACGAACTTGGACAATGAGAAGTCGAGGTTGGAATCATTCGTAAACATGTTTGCCCGATACAGCTCACCGACAATGTCATGAATACATTGTTCATCGAGCTTACAGGCCGATGTTTACCTCCAGTAGATTGGTCAATGAACCCGTGACGCATCTTCAATCAGTACTTATGTCTCCCAGCTGGGAACAAAGACTGCAACCAACGAACCAACTAACCAACACATGCGATCTTGTCATTCATGAACAACTTTTGCCCATCATCATTCATCAGGCAATATGTGATTCTACCCTCCCTCGAAACTATAAATAAGACCCAGAGTCTGACTCGTATCCTCCCCTTTCTCTTAGAACCCCAGAAACCAACAACCCCAAAATCTACCACTAACAACAGCATCTTGCGATAACCCAACGCGTTCCGATACTTCAACGGACCCCAGCACTCCCAAGACCACCACCGCCACCACCACAAATACCAAACCACAAAACCACAAAACCCCATCCACAACACCAAAAGCCACCAACATCGCCATGTCTTCCAGCAAGCAGTCCTCCAGCTCCGGCGGCCAGAAGAGTTCGTCCAGCAGAGACAAGGACACCTCGGGCCGAGATTCCTCCAGCAAGCTATACGACCCGTATTAGCGCGACAGACAATCCGCCGCCGCCCCGGAACCGCATCAGTGCGGCCAGTGCAACAGTTGGATGTCGGAGAGAGAATCAGCCACCCACCGGTGCGGATCGCATGACAAGGGGGATGTTGGCCCCGCGTAGGCGGGATCCGGACGACCGCAGCCTTTTATGGCGGCAGGCTGGACAACAATCTGCTGGGTTGTGGATGACTGAGGCGGTATAGGGGGAGGATGAGGTATGGAGAAGGTGTGAGGGGAGGAGTGGAGAGGATAGGAGAGGAGAGAGTGGTAGGGCATAACTACCAGACATGTGCCTAACGCGTCGGGAAAAGGAAAATAAATAAAAACAGTATTTCTTGGGACATTTCGAGTCGCACACACGACGTGGCATCGCTATGATACGGTGCCATTTTCGGACGGGCTTACCTTAGCCTATCTTAATGATCTCTTTCGACTTTCCTCAATCAATGAGCTAGACTGCGCGCCTGTCGGACAGGAGTAACAACGTAGAGCCTCTATCACTGCTCTCAGAGAAGGGATTCTCTTGGTCCCTAAGCTCAAGGTATCCTCTGTTGCTGGCATGGGTGGTTGCCCGAGGCACCATATAAGGGTTTAGCTTACCTTCAGTGCCACAGCCTCCACGCACGCAAGGTATGCACGGCATAGCAGTATTCGCCTGCAACAGTCTCTTCTAAGAACAATCAAGGCCAAACAGCCGTATTAATCCCGAACAAACAACGCTACAATACCCAATATAAACACGAAACTCTCTTCATGTATAAAACGGTGAGACTTCACTCAAGACCGAGCCCAGAGAGTGGCAAGCATTGCTACGCCCGACCATCCAAGACCGCGCAAGAAGCAATGCCACCCAACACGAGATATCGAAGGTGTGACAATCAAGGTAGCGGCGTCTCGAGGCATGCAAAGAAGTAAATGCTGCCGAAGCAGACATAGATGCGGATACAACTGGAACGCAGATGAATGAGCTGAGTGCGTATAAGCCATATGCTTCATTGTCAGCACATCTGCAGTCGCCTCCACCGCCATCAAACTATCAGTACAACAAACAGCCATCCATCCACATAGCACAGAGGTCAGACCGAAAGCGAGGGACCATATCAAACACGACACGAACATAAAACTCAGAGCTCATGATGAGTATAGTATTGTTATGTTATGGCCCGGACCTAATGCCGTCAGGGCCATCGGTGAAGTGGTATCTCTTGCGAATATACAAGCCTCCATGCCGCGCCTAACCCACGGAAAGTATAGCAGACCTTCATCCATGAAGTGGATAGCTCGACACAATGCTTACGATGTGTAGCCTCCAGCTAATATAGAAAGTCGCCCTGGCTTACCTCAAGTGCGAGTGTTGACTAATTTGATCGGTAACTGCCGTCAAACTCGCACTGGAAGACGCGCGCGCAGTCATTCGCTGAGTTCTTCAATCCGCGACACCTCATCAAACCGCCCCTATGGTTTTATTTCGGCTATTTCGGCCCAGGGCTTATGGCGCTCCTCGGCGGAACGTCGTTGACCCAGCGCTTGGAAGCCAGTTAGTATCTCCTTGTCGACGTTGACAGCCCAGTTCTCCTGAAACGCACGCTCGCCGCCAACACTCTGCACCAGACTGTTCAGTCTCTCTTTTACAAAGAGAAGTGATTGAACGGTCTTGACCGGATCTGATGCCCATACAGCGCGATCCCTCACGTCTTTGGGTGTGTCCCACTCGCTAGTTTCTACCGGCTGGTTGACCAGCATGTCATTGCCGGGATCGTCATCGTCGTTCAGGATCTGAACCAGAGCGCCCGTCCACATCGAGAAAAAGTCTTGTAGTTTTGACAGAACAAGATGTTGCAGTGGTGGGGGCAGCTCGAGAAGGCGTGTGAGGGCGAGTAGGTTCAGCTTTTGCCGGTTCAAATCACATAGGCTGTCGAAGCTCGCGAACCACTCCGCGCTGAGCCAATTCCAGACGGCTTCTATTGGACCCAATGATGCAAGCACCTCGACAAAGGCTGAAGGGTCAAGGATCGCAATGCGAGAAAGGATTGCGAAATAGTCTGTCAAGCTGAGTGGACCCACAAGACTGTGCTTCTTCTTAGGTCCTGTCGTCTGATGAGCCTCGTAAGCATCATGTATGCCCTCGAAGATCCTAGTCAGAAAGCCGGTTTCCATCATGTCCCGAACTACCAGGTGCAGACCAGGCATGCCACCAAGGTCGTGCGACAAGCGAATGAATACCTCGATGTATTTCGTTGCCACGCCAACATGGTCGCGATTCCGAGAGCTCATGGTCGCAGCGAGAGCAGTGATAATGGGGCGTCTCAGTCGATCTTCGAGAACCGCACCGGGTGCCAAAGTTATGTAGGAGCCCACGATGGACATGTACGCGAAGGCATGTTCGTTTTGTTCGGAGAGCTCCGTAATGGCGGTCTCGGCAAGGGTAAGCAACTCTAGAGACAACGGGGGAGGGCACTGCATTAGGATGTTCGTCCATAAGTCCAGTGCTTCCTCTACGAGGTATAGGTACAGTTCGGTGTCCTTCTGAGTTGCCTCATTGATCAGAGGTAGCATCACGTTGTGATACCGTTGAGAATCCTCTTTCATCGACATGACCAATGTCTGCATGATTGTCAGGACCGCTTGTTTCATCATGACGCCCAATTCGCCCGCCGACTCCCAAATGGCAGGCAAAGCGCTCATTACCAAGTCACCAAATTGAGACACATGGGTTTCCATGCGTTGGATGAGACTTCTCGTAGTCTCTAGAATCGCCAACTTGGTCTCGTCAACTTCTACCATCTTCAATAAACTGATGAGCTCCGTCAGTATGTCGGGGGCGAACGGGAGAAATTGTTCCCCATCGAAGCCGAATTCATCAACGACAGCTTTCAACTGTCTCGCAGCAGTAATTCTGACGACAATGTCATTGGATGGATCGTTGGGGTTGAGGAAGTGTCGGAAGATCTCATAAGTCATCTGACGGAATTCCACCGTCGACTTGACGGTCGCCCACTCGCTAAGCAGAATAGCGATGCGTCTTCTGAGGACCTGACACAAAGTAACGGTCTGCTGCGCATCGGAGACAATTGTTGACTCAAGGACAGCCTCGAAATCGAATTCTTGTTCCACGATGGGCGCGGCCAAGCCCATGGCGGTATATACTGCCTCCTTAGTAACCACGTCTGCTTGGGGGTTCTGAGCCGTTGCGAAGTAGGACAGGAGAGGTTGCAGAAGGAGGTCCTTATGGTATGTAAGGAGGTCGAGGAAGAGCTTCTGGGCGCACGGTCGAACCTCCCACTCGTAGGCGTTGCCCTGGCTCTCTTCTTGCTGCTCCCATTCTTGCGGGTCCTCTTCCCAAGCATCCAAGTCGGCCTTCCGGAAGTTGAAAAGATGCGTAATAATGACGCGTGCCATCTGAATTACGAGCTCGTCCGTGAAGAGATCTGTCTTGACCAGGCTAATAGCCTGATGCTTCTCTTGATTGTCTACTTTGGAACGATACCTGATTGACTGTCTTGGGCGGTATGCCATCTTTAGGCAAGTTCTTATCAATAGCAAGCCTTTCAAGGCAAGTCTCTCCTGGACTGGACCCTCGACCTTGGGCTTTGTTTCACCACTTGATCCTTGCCGGATACCGCCCGACTTGTCATATATCTCGGCGAAATTTGCGACCAAGTCCCAGTATGCACGGGCGAGATCGAGTGAGTTAGGAAGAGCGGCAAAACTCGCAGGATGCGTGTCAGCCATGTCGATGTGCAACTTGGTGAACTGTAGGAGATGCTTCCCTACAATATCGAGGTAGGATGCTGAAATAGAGGAATCCTGACTTATGAAACCAAGGAACTGCGCAAAGTGTGTCTGTGAGAAGGTCCAGACTTGTTGGACCGTCTTGTCTCTGTGAGGACACTCGAATCCTACCAGTAGGAGCCGGCGAAGAATCTTGAGGGCTACGAGGCTGTTATCCATGGCCAGGTTGGCATCGTCTGCTTCCCCTTGATGGTTGGTCAAAAATGATATCCAGGCAGTCGTTTTGGCATCGTAGATTTCAGCGAGGATGTAGACGAGTTCGGGTGTGACAGTCTGTAATGCAGTTTGCGACTTGCGCAGACGTGCAGTGCCGAGTTCCTTGACTATGCGCAGAAGAATCAGGAGTCCGCCGGCTAGGTGCTGCTGGTCGCCGTCCTTAGTTGTTCTGAGCAGGCCGATGACATCCGATAGCGAACTAGACCACTCCTGCGGGAAGTCGATACGGACGATCTTCGCTACGACCAGGGCATTGTGCAGTGCCAGTTGTTTGTCCTTCTCTCCGACGGTGCCTTGGAACAGGTTCGACCGTATAATGTGCTTCTCGGCGGGCTGGATCGCATTCTTGAGGGTGTGGTGTCGCCAGAAGCGGTCGATGCCATTCTTCAGCTGGATTATGGCGAGAAGGCGTATTTCTCTCGGCAATGTATTGTCCAGAAAGATGGTCTATGGCGGCGGATACCAGACATGTCAGAAGGAGTGGTAGCGGCAGTAGCAGTAGCAGTGGCAGTAGCAGTGGTAGTGGCATACCTGTAGGGCTGGGTAATAGTCGGGGTCTGCTTCCCACGACGAGAGCTGCTGGCCGGCCGCCTGACGCTTGCTATTGTCATGCGAGGAGGCGGACTGCAGGGCGCGACACAGCTCGACGCGACTGAGAGGGCTGGCAGCGCCGGGAGCCTCGATGGCGAAGTTCATACTGGCAATGCTCGTGGCGCGTCACGAGGACGCGATATGGATGTTGGACGTGTTTCTGGTTCTCAGGTACGGCGACAGACAACCTTGATGTAATAAGTGGGATGGAAGCTGGAGGGTCAGTGACAGTCTGAGTTTAGGTGCCGCGGGGCAGATGCCAGAAACCCAGTGCCGCGGGGCTTTTGGCTTGGAGCTGCCCAGCGGCCCCAGCCTGCCCAGCGCCCCACTCCAACTATAAAGTGCAGGTGCCTAGTGATTGCATTTCAGGCAAGACGGGAAGGGAAGCATCAAAGGACATGTAAAAAGTCGGGCACCTGCTACCTTAGAAAGCTGCATGTCAGTTAGTAGTTAGCAGCAGTAGACAAGCGGTGCAGTTGCTATCCATATCTAAAACAATGAGATTTTGTTGTCACTGATACAAAAAAAAGAGTGCCGGGCAGTCGATCTATGTCTGTTCAGCGCATGGCAACTATCAGGACTCCCAGCTTAGCTGCCTTGACATCCACTGGGGTTGGGGCCGAAAGATGGTGATTCAACATAATTGCTGCCATAGAGATCTTATTGTATTTCAGATGGTCTTGCAGATTATAATGTCCCTAACCATCAACCTCAATCATCATGTGGTCTTGATGCCACCAACCTTTACCTCGGTCAGGGAACACCAAGCCAAACAACTCCCAAAGCCCCTTTTCATATATACATAACTCAACCAAAACACCCACCACTCTAGACAGGATAGACATCGGCAAGATTAGGCCAAGTATCATTGGCATTCCATCCCTGTAGCAGGTTGAGATCTCGATAGAGGTCAAACTCCGCCTCGGGCGCCAGTGGAAGCGAACCCTCGTGCAGCACGTTGCTTGCCACAGGCACCCACGGCTCGGGACCCGAACTTCCAGCTCGCCGGTTCTGCGTAGAAGTTCGCGGTGGTGTCAGATACTCTTTCGCCACCGTCCTGATCTCGTCTGCGACCTTCTTCGCCAGAGGCCATATCTCCCCATTCGCGGTGAGAATCTGTACAAGCATGTTGATCTTCTCTCGAAGGGTCGGTGAATCCAGTCCCAAGAAGACACAGGCGTCCAAGTACGTGAGTGCCACTCTGAGTGTCCCTAAGATAATCACCGGCCGGAGTTTCTGGGCAGGGAATGGGTACCGGAACAGGTCGCAGAAGCTGTTGGCAGCCTGGATGTCGATCGAGTGAGGCTTCCACCCGTAGCGTTTGACAGCTTGACCCTTTCGATCAGGACCTTGTGCGGGTCCTAGTGGGAAGTACTCGCGGAGATTCAGGCCGTGTCGGTCAGCAGGCTGTCTAAGCCATAATCGGTATCTGTAAAAGCATGTGAGCCGGCAGTGGGTACATCGTGATTCCGCATTATCACTTACATGTGTGCGAAGGCGACAGCATGGAAGAGCACTACGTCGACGTCCCCGTCTGGATCCACCAGGTCCATCTTCCACCTAGGCACACGGCGCAGCCATGACGAGATTCGAGAATCGCCTTGCTCGAGCATTTCCTTACAGCCTTCATCCGGACCTTCGTTGCAAGGTAGCACCAGTTCGGCCCGTATCCTGCTCAATTCGATTGACAATGCCATAGATGAAAAGCCATCTTGCCCAAGGTTGATCTGTGTCTGGTATTCAGATTGGGACGTCGGCTGTGGAATGATCTAACGTACGCGTCAGTCTCAGCCAGTAACCCATACATTTTTCCAGCCGTGCGAGTCCCAGATTGTCGAGCGTCTCCTGGTGTGGGACTCATCTGGAGTCGAACGAGCGCTCTGGGGAGGTATCAAACAGCTTACCCCTGACTCATATTCCCACTCCTCGCAAGGCAAGTCCACGTCACATTCTACATCCAATATAGATAGAGCAGGTGTTGCATCGTTTACTAGTCGCAACGGGTGCTGGAAGGTGAAACACGACCACCACGTTCTTCGATAGCTCTCCGCAAGAAGGGGATCGGGCGTTCGATCGGCAAATGATTTGCGGTGCATCCCAATATCTATCGCCATCGTAGCTGCTCTGTTGGTAAATCCGCCGTGGTGCTCGAAGCTGAGCTCTCCAAAAGCAGCATTGCTAAGTAAGAGTAAACCTTGTACAGATTGCGCAGTAAAGGGCAGAGGTCCACAAGCGGCAGAATATGCCTTCTCTCGCAACTCATCAGATGAGAATTGACTTCTGTACATGGAGCCGCAAAAGTTGATTACCGATAGCAGAAAGTGGTATGAGTCTGGATCTGACTCAACGTGGCTGAGAAAGAATCGCTTCGGTGGAAGACAAGGATGGCTCGGATGAAACTTGTTGTAGAACGCGTCGAGTAGCGGTTCATCGTCTTTTACCGACGAAGCGGCTCTTGTCGAGTTGGACTCAAGGCTCCAACCATTTGGTAGGACATGATGACACTGGGTCGGAGCGTTCGCAAATGGAATAGTCGATGTAGGCGGGAAAAGGCGAGGTGGTGTCACTGGTGGTTTATCTGGTATTACTAACATCTGGTGTCAGAATCACTTGGCTACCAAACTCCCAGAGAGATGTAAGCCCATCCCACGATGAAAGAAGCACGTCTCTCGAAAGAAAGAAAAATGGTATAGCGAAGCAAGAGATAACACAAAGACAAAATCTATGAGCTACTCACAACTCCGGCGCTTTGGATCGCGAATGCCTCGTCTTGACTTGGCATAAAAGCAGGGTTTTCCTTCGAGCCGGCAGCGATTGCAAGCCGGCAAAGTGGCATCACACTTGACACTGCGTGGCGTTTCTCAGCAAGTATTCGTGTCAACGAATAGAATCTCGTAATCATAGTCTCTGGAGGTTGGCGTGCTTCCGCAGATGCTTTAGAGATAAGGGACCTCATTCGGAATACAGTCTGAGTAGGAGAGCATGCGTGAAGAGAGTAGAGACGTACTGCTTGCTGCGACACTGTACACAGGCAACTGATACTCGGATGTTTGCCTTCGACCGACTGCTGGCTTTTGAGTCGGATACTTCTGGCGACGAGTCGCCTGAGGTCGGATGGCCGAGACTGCCCGTGTTGTTCATTTTTTCCTCCTCCATGAGCTCAAATACGTCGCTATGAGACGTCACTGCCACTGGCCTGACGTAGATGTACTTTGACGACCGCGACGCACGCTGACTGTGTGCAAAGCCTTGGTTGAGAGCTCTTGCGACAAGTGAGAGGGCATCGTCCAGCGATCGGTCAGCTGAAAGGCAGGGCTGCGGCGGGATGCTTCATATTTGAGCTGAGAGCAAGCCTCGCTTTTAGTTCTGACGGCTCTCATCAAAAGATAAGGGTCATACCCATGTGCCATGAACAGAGCGATTCACTTCTGGGTGCTCACAAGGCATGAAGGTCCTTGCATTCGTCAAGGCACCAAGTAATAACGACTGCAGAAACGCCAGGGGATGAAGTGCGGCACAATACCGCTCGCCAGTAAGCTTTCCAGTGGGGGGATGACTCGATGAGAACATACGTAAAATGCCCGATGGTGACATACAAGCATGCTGTCCAATCACAACGAGAGGAAGCCAGGAGTCTCGACCTGGGGTTGGTACGGTATGCGAGATGGGACAGGGGGCAGTGATTGGACGTGGCATGTGTGACCGCCATCCACGGGTCTGCTTGTCCATTCACGGCCTCAAGAGGTCGCATGGAGGGGGCTTGGGAGCGGTCTGCAGTTCTTCGCGATGGCAGCAGGGACAATGCATAGCCACACGCTTCGCTGATATCTTTCCACTGTGTTCGATCGCTACCGTGCGCAAAGCAATGCAGAAGATGCTGGCTTGGGGTGATTGGTTATTTCGCGGAGCCCTCCCAAGGAACTCATCGTAGGACTGCTTTTCAGACCATAAGCTCTGTCCCGTAAGACAACTAACTAGTCCTAGGTAGTCTAGAAGCTCATGCGTGAACGCTTCCCTCGGTAGTGGTTGTATATCGTGGCGTAGCCTTGGAAAGCTTGGCCTCATCCCGCCGCAACGGTTGGGGGCGTGCTCGCAGTGTGATGAGGGTCAGTCTCTGGAGTCTGCTGCCCCTGATAGAGGCGGAAATGATCGGCCATAGAAGGGCATCTCTGAAGATCACGTTGGCATACCTACCTCTCTAACAGTGCTGGCGCCTATTCGGTCCTTTAGCCTCGAGGGCTTAGTCAGTTGCTCGAACTCCAGGCCACCAATTGTCAGGTAGCGAGGAAGCCACACCGGCGTCGACGTCGGTGTGCAATAAACGAAGATGCCTGCAATGCTACCTTGCCGACAGGTGGAGGAAATCATCCGTCTGCACTTCAAGTTCTTGGTGTCAGGTGCAGACTTGGATAGACTGGATATTGCGATAACGCACTAGCCCGTATCAATACACGAGCCACCGAATGTGGATTAGCTAAGTAAGCTCCATACAAATTAAAAACGGCTTTATTCTATTCCATTATTTCAAGTGACTTATCTCTTCCATGATGGATGTCCGCTGCTTTCGCGAAGGAAAGCTCGTCCATTGTCTCCTTCCAGAGCTGTCTCGAGATAGCCGCGCCCTCGTCTGTGTATATTATAGGAGCCATGCTGCCGTGGAGCCGAGTTAGTATCGTGTTGCAAGTTGCCACTGGCCACAGGCCACAGGCCATAGACCAGAGAGCGGAAGCAACCCACGGCACCATTTTCTGGAAAGACAGGAACTGTCCATGGGTCAGCATCCTGACGATCGGACCCGCAGGCGTCCTGTCGGTATCGCGTTGGAAACTGCGAGTCGCAAATCGTGCCAGGCGAGGCAGCGTTGATGACGGCCACCGATGCAGGCACTCGTTTGGCGAGCGCGGCGACGAAGTACTGGCCCAGAAGCTTGGATACAAACATGCGGTCCTCCCTGTTGTCGGCAAGCTTTCCCGGGGCGTCGAGCGCTGCCAGAATCGGCACGTCCTTGCCGACCGGGAAGCGCGGCCACGCGGCCACTTCGGATAGGGTCCAGGTGATGCGAGTCGGGCGAAGGAGACAACAGAGTCGTAATCGGAGAGATCGATTTTCCAGACTTCTATGGTGCCTGGCGCCATCCCCTCCCGGCCAGCGGAGAGGTCGGTGGCGGCGGCCCTGCCTTTCTCTTCGTTGCGCACGGCCAAGATCAGCTTGCTGATACCCAGGTCGAGCAGCTGGCGGCTCGTCTCGAGCTCAACTCCGCAATTGGATCCAGTCACGAGGGCTGTCTTGCCGCGGAGGTCGACATCGCTCACGACTTCGGGCTTGGTCGTGAGCTGGTGGTACATGTAGCGAGGGAAGCTCGCTTGCTTCTCTGGGGTTACATCAAACGGGGCGGGCGACATGGTCAAAGCGGCTCCAGCGCGCGATATCGAGAGGGACGAATTAATTACGGACTAACTAACAGCGGGTATAGGAAATGTTTGAAGGGAAATCAAGAAGAGATGAGAAGGGGAAACGGTTTGACCCAGCGCATAATGGCGGTACTGCATCGGTATGCAACAGCAGCCAACAGCAGCATATGCATGGTGGTATATGCATGTTGGCCGAATCTGGCGAGCCCTGAGGCAGGCTTCGCATCGTACCCCCAATCGTCTGGAACCGCTAACCGTTATTCTCCTGGACATCTGTGAACTTCCGGCATGGCCGACTCCGTATCCAGAAAATTTCCTACCAACTTCCTGTCTCTTGATTGGAATGGCCAATAGTGGGACGCCGTCTCTCGAAGGGGCACAAACCTCTATATATAGAGGCCTGTGCCTCTTCCTATATGGTCTCTCGAAGGTTTGTGCCTCTTCCTACATGGCCTCTCGAAGGTCCGCGCCTCTTCTTATATGGACCTTCAAAGGTTTGTGCCTCTTCCTATGTGGATTCTCGAACAGACCGACGAGGCGGCAACCCCTTGTACATGGAAGACTTCAAGTGCTCTTACATGAAATTTTCGGTGAACCCCCTAGTACAACATGGTTGATGCGGCGTACAAGATGGAGAACTGGATCACAAACCCTCCCTGGGGTGCTAAAAATGTGTTCAACCAGCTGGTCCGCCAATACTAATAATAGTATAGACTGACGTATCGCTTTCGGTCGAGGATGAAAAACTCGTGCTGCCCGATGCTATGGCTCGCCACTCTAAGGTTTGCAATCTATATAAATGCCCTCCTAATGTCAGTAGTTAGAGGTCAAGAAACATTATTCAACATCGTCTTCTTCCATCAGCGATATCAAGCCATAGCCTTCTTCCATTAGCAATACCGAACCATCGTGTTCTTCCATCAGCAATACCGAACCATCGTCTACCTTCTATGCCCTACTTTTCGGTTTCGTCAACTCGACCAACCGTCTCATCCCCGTGCGCACCGCTTGCTACGACAGCCGGAACAAGTACGCAGACAGCAAATATGCAGGTTTCGCGAAACCTTTTGCTTCAATTCGGACTCGTTGTTACGTTACTGTTCGGTCCGGCCTTTGCGACCTTTGGTATTCGCATGGAATACCTCGACGAAGACAAAAAGCTAATCAGCTCCGTAACCATCGAAGGGGGTTATCACGTCACGGAGATGGACCCTCCGCACGGCACAAAGAATATCCGGGTCGAAATGATGAATCCTGTGACGAGCCGTCTAACCTATAAGGCTAAAGGGTTCTATAGGGTTTATGTTCTGAGGTAAGTCAACACAAAAGACGACAGAGGCTTCTGTCAACTAGAAGACACTCAGATGCTGGGGCTTGGTCTGAACTGGGTTCACTGTGTAGTCGAGTCGTCAGGAGATTTCTCCCACCTTAGGGTTGGCTAAGATGCTTAGATTGATCACTGAGGTAGAGACTGTCTATCTATCTAATTGGGAAATGTCTGTCCTTATATATCCAATCTCTCCCTCACTGATGGAGTAGGATCACCTTGTCCCAGAGTGCTGCTCACTGGCTGACTCCCTGATCCAGTGAGCCATCACGTGACCTTTGTTATGTAATCCGTAATACCCATTGTTCCGTTCCTGGCTTCTGATTCCATTGGTTCTTGGTGTACTCCCCTTGGCCCTCCAACAGGCCATGGTATTTGTTGGTTCGTAACAAATCCGCAGGCCGATGAACACGGCCAGAGATATTCCTACTACTTGCTTATGTGGGAGGACAAAGCCGAGGCACAAGGGTACTGTTACATGACCCTAACCCACCCCGACAAGTGGAGTTCCCCAACCCATAACAGATTTACTCGAGAGGAGAACACGGTGTTGGACTTTACGGGGAAGGGAAAGCTCGGATTAAGCGACAAGTACAATTATGTCGTTGCAGTTCCGTATTCGTCGTACTTATGTATGGGCGAGTATGGAGGACGCTACAAAGTGTCTCGAGCAGGCTCTGGATCTATGGGCAAGGCTTTGGGGCGCATGCCGTTCGGCGTGTAACGTATCGGCCTGAGCCTGTAAATGCCATGGTCAAGGTCTTAGTAGATTGGTATGATTTACGGCGTTTTACTTTGTTAGACTTGGCGTACAGTACGGGGGCTCTGCTTCTCGTTATATCTTAGGGCATTTAGGTTTAGCTCTTCCCTTGCGGTCGAAGGGCTTCATAAAAAAATCAAAAAAATCGCGTGGGTAACGGGTTCTTAGCCGAGTCTTAAGAAATCCCTACCTTGCAATATGGGTTATAGATGGACTGCCGGTGTCTCCGGCAATATAGAGGGGCCAAAGCTAGGCCAGGGCGTAACGGGGAGTGCTAAAACTTGTAGTTATAGGAAAGAAGGTAAACACCGAGGGGATGGAAGCAGGCTTGCATATAATAGTGTAACCCTGAAGAAAGGTGCAGCGCACGAGCGAGAAGCCACTGGCTAGGCGCAATACAGGTACCAGATGTTAGCGATTACATGACCGTGTCAGGGACCAGATACTGACATCGATTGTGAGGGTTAGGTACCGTCTACCGATCTATCAAGAGTTGGTCTCATCGACAATATCCGGTCAGCCTACACATTCGCTGCCTGCCTACCTGCCTGCTTATCTTGAGGCTACCATCTGCACCACCGGTTAATGGCACCCATACAACCGTACAATTAGCCCACAGAGCCCTCCCTACCTCTCAGCGCATCATTGCGGTATCTTCTGGCCCCCACGTACCAGATTCTGGAATACCAGGCCTGGGTCATAAGCCCGCTGCTGCACAGCCCGCAATCGACGCACGTTCGCCTCCCCGTACCACGCAATTACGGGCTGGTCGAAATTGGCGTCGTTCATAAAGATGTACTCCAGGCTCGCACCCGCCGCGACCGCAGCAGCGCGGATCTTGCGTGCCAAGGAGGCAGCCGCGGCGTACGCCGCCTCGTCATCCTCGGCGTTCCACCAGCTGACCGTGACAGTCCAACAGGTCTGGTTGACGGCCTGCAGCCCGAGCTCATTGCCAGTGCCGTCGTTGCTCTCACGCCCAGCCCAGACCGCGCTGGCGCTGACGGGTTGGACCGCGGCGATGACCGTGCCAGCCTGGAGAGCGCTGATGGCGGCCACCTCTGGGTCTGTGGAATATAAGGCTGCCAGCTCGCCATAGAGCTTGCTGTCTGGCGTGAAGCTGTGCACATGCCATGTCCAGCGCGGCAGCTCCGCTGGCGGAAAGAGGGCCATCAGCTAGTACAGCGTCATAAAGCCCGTCTGTTCAAACACTGGCGTCAGAGCATAAAAGGGCGCGTAAGCTTCAGGGCGTTCGACAGGCTCCAGATAGATGAGCGTGAGAAGCACGGTTCCGTTGGTAGGGATCAGGTTGATAATCATGTTGGCATATGGGTCTTTGTTTGGTGCTGACTGATACTTATGTAGAGCTTGAAGAAGCTCTGGCATTTGTTCAGTGGCAAATAGTTTGATGCCTCCCCAGCTTTGGTATATCAGGAACGTCTTCGCCTTAAAGTTGGTAACGATACCTGATTTGGGTTTTGTGAGTGTATATACCTACACAAAGGGGAGGGAAGAGAATAGGATGCTTGCAACTGATGCTGCTGCAGTCTTGATTTGAAAGATGAGAGACGGAAACAACAGCAAGACGTACCAAAATTGTTGGCTCCCCTTTACGCGCCCAAAAGAGTTCGGGATTCGAGGCAGCACTCGCAGTCACTATCTGCCCGTCGGCCAAAACGACCTTTGATCTCAATCTTGATCAGCGATATTACACGTACGAATGTTTAAAGCAGATCCTCGTAGCTGACGACATTGTCGCACGCCAGAACATACAAGTCCGATAGGTACGATAATCCGGACCCAAGCGTGAGGCCACCGACGCCAACGTCCATGACTCTACCGCCGACCATACTCCTATTGTACTTGTCTAGTTCTCCATACACAGCCTCCCAGCGAGCTCCGGGACCCATAGACACAAGTCCGGTTCCGGCATCGGAAGATACCTCATCAAAGTTGGCCAAGGCGATCAAGACGCCAGTGTCGATGTTGGAATCATGAGGATTGGGGGAGTGGCCTCTATAGCGGATAGCAAAGGCAATCTGGTTGTCAGCAAGGACGCTGACCAATGAGGCTATCTCCGCAGTGGCATTCAAACTCGCAATGCACGATGGTCGCCGCCACGCTGTTTGGGACCAGTTGTCCTCACGCAATTCCGTGTATTCCGGGTTGGACGGCAACACGATCCGAGAGGGACCGAGGTGGTCTTGGAGCTGACCGCAAAGGGCGGCGGCTCTGTCTGCTATGGCATGGTCATTGCCTGTGGCGTTGCCTGGATTTGAGAGGGCTGTGCGGTAAAGGAGGGCCAATGCGACCGCGAGGAAGGCGGCTGCAGACATGGAGACCCAATATGAGAAACAGAGGAAAACGTCAGCCTGCGTTGGGTAGAAGCAAGTTGCGGTCGTGTAGCATCAAGTTGGGATGTTGCCATTTTGTATCGCAGCACGGGATGGTCCAACCATTCGCTTCTCGGGGAAGTTGCTGGAACTGACAGAATCCAACCTCGACCTGCCGGAAACTTTTGCGATTTTGTACCGCGTGGATGAACCATAGTTACACAAGACGGCAGGGATCCAGAGCCCCTTTCTGATAACTCCAAGCTGACAGCCAACAGTCACCCATTACGCTGCATGATGCATGCTACAGTGGATTCAATAAGATGATTAGTTGCCTTACACCGTCGGAAGGGGTTTGTGCAGATATGTAACCACTACGCAGACAGTTAAGGCTGCGCTGCGAGGCGCGTCTCAATGCAAGGGGGCAAATATGCTCGGCAAGTTGCTCATTGCGCCTCTGACCGGACGACCAACAGACAACGTCCTGCGGCACTAGTGGTCGGAGGGACTGGACAGCTGTCTTAAACCAAGTCATGGAAACCGTCTGATTAGTTTCAAGCTCGAGACCTACCACGGCCCTGATCCAGAGAACCGCCGTGGCACCGAAGGCCCGACTCGTGTGGTTAGGGCCGGATACCGCTCGACGCATCTCGAGGATGACTCCATAAAGACAATTCGTAAGGCCGGGCACCCTGAGATTGACAACTTTACACGATCTAGATATGTCACGCCTATGGGGTGACACGATCGATGCGGTATGTAGGGTTAGACGGTAAACGGCAAGACACGGCTTACCGATACCTGCATCTACGACTTCATGGAGGCAAGCATCCAAACCTCTACGTGTTGGTTGAGTCTTAAGTAAACATATACCCTGGCTTTGCGGGATTTTTTCCTCTCCCCTTTTCGTCGAGCTCGCTAGCCAATTCCCCTTAACACCGACCTTAACCCCGGTATGTCCACTAACCCCCTTCACGACACGATCGGCACTGCCGAGGCTCCATGCACGCCAAGGTTGCAGCTGCACTTTCTCTTCCTGGTGGGCTCGCCTCGGTGTGCCTGTCTGCCCGTCCAAGTCCCGATCTTCACTGTATGCGGCACAACGTCACCTTCAACGCCAGGTAAAACGACCAGTAATGCGCCGCGACCGTCGTCATTCGATACTGCGAACGAGTGCCCACGCTATGACGTGAATAGCCTCAGTCAGCAAGCCAACGTAGCCCGCTATCAGTGATACCGGCCTGATGAGCTCGACCAACTTCGCCCACGCCCAGCAGCGTCTGGCTGCGCGACGACAGACCCGCGAACGAGAGACTCGGGCACAACTGACCGCCCACCGCGAAGCGTCGCGAGCCTGGTCAGAGGTGACGCGACTCCCCTTCCCCTTCAACCGACTAGGCGCGACATCACTATCGACCTGGGAGCTCTTGTCCTCGCGCGAGGGCACGAGGCCCGCCTTTCGTGTTGGTCAGGTGGATGCCGAATTATTAGATGAAGATCTGGTCGGACAGCTGCGCGACCAGGTAGGCGAGGCGGTGAAATATATGGGAGGCAACATAAAAGACGACTGGTCCGCCGAAATACTGCTCGCGCTCCGGGCGCTTCTTTTTAAGCTTACCGTGTGGGATCACGATGCGACATACGGCGCCGCGCTCCAAAACTTGAAATACACCGATGCGAGACGCGATGGGCCTGTCCTGACGGCCCCAAGCAGGTGGCAGAAGAGTCTTTACGGTCTAGTAACTGTAGGGGGCAAATATGGATGGGCCAAATGGGAGAACTGGTTGCTGGACCAGGACAACGGCCTTGTCCAACCCTCTCCGCTCGTGCAACGACTATCAGACCTCACCACCCGGGTCACAACCATACATTCTGCCGCTGCCTTTGCCTCTTTCCTTGTGTTTCTACTCCACGGAAGATACCGGACCATCTTGGACAGGGTGTTGAGGATGCGTCTAGCCCCTCCCACAAGCCAGGTCAACCGAGAGGTTTCTTTCGAGTACCTCAACCGACAGCTTGTCTGGCACGCGTTCACCGAGTTCTTGCTCTTCGTTCTGCCCCTGGTCGGTATCAACCGATGGCGGAGATGGCTCAGCCGTACTTGGAGAAAGACCAAGGAGATCATCAACGTGGGGACGGACGGCGAAGACGGTGATAAGCGAGGCGAATACGCCTTCTTGCCTGAACGCACCTGTGCTATCTGCTATCAAGATCAGAACTCGGCAGTCTCTGAGACGGAAGTGCTGGCCGCAGCTGCTTCTAGTGGAGTGGTGGGATCGGCACAGACAGACATCACGAATCCCTACGAGACCATTCCCTGCGGGTGTATATACTGCTTCGTCTGCCTCGCGACCCGATTGGAGCGCGAAGAAGGTGAAGGGTGGGCCTGTCTGCGCTGTGGCGAGCTTGTAAAGGAGTGCAAACCTTGGAGTGGGGATGTATTGGAAGAGCCACCCAAGGCATCTTCACCATCTACCAAACACGTTGGGTTTCTCGAGGACCACGAAAGCGCCACACAATCAGACGATGAAGGCAAGTCTTCGCGTCGGTCGGCCGATACCAACCTCAACGGCACGACCAACGATAGTCCAGGGGACACTAACTCCAAAGTATACGAGCAAGAAGAAGCTGGGGTAAATAATGATTTCAAGGATTGAACCTCCCGCCATCTTCCAGCACTGTGCCACACACTTCCAACGAAAAGAAGTGCTGACCCGGGAGACATCCGAGTTTCCGGCAAGAGGATTTATCCCCCCACTAGGTGGAAGCTTGCGTTTACGCCATCGGTGGTACAAATAAGGTGTGGGAGCGCAATACAGTTGGTGATCTTCTTCGCGGTTCCCAGATTCGGGCCCAGTACGTCGGAACTCAGATCCAATGAGGGAGGCTCGTCGAGTTAGGCTGGCATCATCATGCTGACAGCTGGAGCGTTCTCTCCTGATCTTCGTGTCGGAAGAGGGAGTTTTACTCGTTGCTCTCGGTGACTCCCACATCACAAAACTTGATAAACCACCCATTACAAAGGTTTTCGACCAGCGAGTTAATCAATGCCTGGACAGTCCGGCGATTAGTACCTTTGGGGACTCGCTACCTCTGCTACCTACCACTATACGTCGACTCCGAAGACGGATCGGCGATAGCCTATCCGACCCCAGGGAAATCGCTCAGCTTCTATGGTCTAGCTACATTACCGATATGCATGCTTATTTGCAGCTTAGCTATCATCTGCTGAGGTATGAGAGGCAGCCTGCAGCCCTATGCCACTGGGGCTCGATCCGTCGGTCTCGAGGAATACTTACATGCCGGATGACAAAGACACTCCGACCCAACGATCTGGAAAGAAGACTTGCCAAACGCTAAAATACCCGCCCCCAAGCTTTGCTGACAGGATGGGACCAACATGTGGTGTCATGTGCAAATCCCACGCGTAGCTTATAGATATGAACTCTTACATAGCATAAATGACGAGTTCTGTACATTGCGTCATGCACGAGCTCAGTTCCACCAGTACGTGCCTCGGATTTTCTCGACCGTGTCTGGCCGTGGGCTCTTCGCATGAAGTCCTACAGAAATGCGAAGAATAGTGCTTTCGGGAACACAAACACCAAGATGGAACACGACGACGCTGAGGTGGTCTAGCGGGCAGTCTGCTTGGACGCATGGAAGGCAGGTAGTATGATGTCATATTACTCGCATAGGTATAACCACCCTAATCACAGATTAGGTAGAGAGCATCATACCGACGGTAAACCCGACATACAAAATATTCCTCACATGCGTTCCAGATGACGAACCAGAAACTGCAGTCTCAGATCAATGCGGCTTCACAGAAGTTGAGGAAGTGACGGATATTTCCGCAGGGTCCGGCAAGTGCAGCCCGACGCACCGGGACCGTCCTAGCCCCATTAGCGTCCATGCATCACGCGGCGGTACTTGCAGGGTGTACAGGGTGCCTCCCCGTCACCGTCCGCGTCCGTCCCGTCCTGTCAAATCTGCATTCGACACTCCCGTCGGGCCTGACGAGTCGGTTGACCTTGGAACCCTGCGTCCATCTTCGATCCATCCAGTGGACGAGTTGAACCGCATCCCTCTCTACCTCCGAGCTTCTGATCTGCTGTTTGTGTGTTGTGTGTCTGGAGACTCTGCAGGCCGGTGTCCTTTGGTCGATCGAATCTGAGCTACACTCCCAGCCTTCGAGTCTACGCGACAAAGAATCCCGGACAGCCCGGAGTCGATCTCGCTTGCCGCTCCCGCTCCTCGAACGACCTCGCTCGCCTGAGCCATGTAGCCATCATACCACACAGCACAGCAAGCCACTCTATCCTACCAATAGCTACCACGCAGCCGCAGCACGCGCCAGGACCGCCCGCTCGTCCAGGTCAGGAACCTACACACCACCTGCCCCCAACGAGCAAGCAACAAAGCCATGCCCGACTTCTTCCCCTTCATCCAAGACAACGCCAGCAACAGCCACGCCGACAACACCACCCCGCTCCTAGGCCGCTTCCGCGCCGTACCCAGCCGCACGCGGCGGCTCTCGCGGCCCCTTCACCCGCACCATACCTCCCCTCCCACCGCACAGCAGCAGCAGCAGCACTATCGCAACCTCCTGGCCAGCGGCGGGCGCGGCAGCGTACACGTCGGGTACGGGGCGCTGGTCGCGACGGCCGCCGCTGCCGACTCGGACGATAACGACTTCTGGGGCGACTTCGACGATGATGACGAGGACGATGAGGACGGGGTTTATGGCGGTGGCGGCTCGCGGATACGGCGCGTCTGGCGGTTTGGGAGGAGGGTCGGCAGGGCGGCGAGGCGGGATGTGGAGGACTTGTGGGTTGCGCCGCGGCAGAGCGCTGTGAAGCGCGTGGTTGAGAGCTGGTGGAGTCGTTGGGGGTTTCTGGTTTTCTTGCCTGCTGCTTTGGTGAGTCGAAGTCTTGATTTGTGTCTACGGGTTTTATGAGGGAAAGGGGGCGGAGTTCGACGTGGAAGCCATGAAGCGAGATAAGAGCTGGCGTGACGCCATGAAGAGGCATAAGAGCTGGCGTGACGAAAGAACACTGGCTAACGACTACAATGTACAGGCGGTAGCATGGTGCGCGCTTCCCTTTCCGCAGTACCCCCTCGACGCCTCGCAATCGCACATACACGCCAACAGGTCCTTTGCGCTGCCCCCCTCAACACCGACGAACTCGACCGACCCGCCCTCCTCCGACCACCGCGCCCCCGGCCACGGCGAAGCGCGCATACAGATAAACTTCTGGTTCTTCCTCTTCGTCTACTACGGCTTCTACAACCTGACGGCCCTGATCTGGATCACCAAGGTCTTCAACCTCTACTCGCTGAACTGGTGGCCGTCGGCGCTCGGCTTCCCGCTGACCATCTCGCTGATCGCGGTCCTCTCGCTCGCCGCGCCCGTGCCCGTCTACCTGCACCCCGCGACGCGCTTCCTGACGGTGCACAACACGGCCTGGATCAGCTGGACCTTTGTCATCATGGCGATGCCCGTGGCTATCGCCTTCGGCATCCTGATGACGCACGAGCGCCACCTGGGCCTGCGCCACTCGCTGAGCGAGACCCAGCGCATCTTCACCACCTCGTGGTGGACCGGCGGCGACGGCGACGACACGCTCCAGGCCGCCCGCGCGAGTCGCAACAACCGCGCCCGCAACCGCCGCACCGGGGGCCTCGGCCCGGGCGCCTTCGACCCGGACGCGGTGCTGCAGGTCGGTGCCGACCAGCAGCCGCCGCCGGCCTTCATGCAGCGCCGCCGGTGGCTGCCCGCGAGCTTCGTGCGCTTCGTGTGGTTCTGCCTCGCGCTGATCATCAGTCTGCTGGCGTACGTGATAGGGGAGGCCTATGCTGAGATATACCTGCGGACCCTGCCGCACAACAACTTCGAGACCATTGTCTACGTCTACAGCTGGATCGTCACGGTCCACCTGCTGGACGCGCTTACGGGCTGGATCCTCGGCGCCAGCGAGGGGGAGCGCGTCGGCAGCTATCCCCTGAGCTGGATCTTCAAGCTGTGAGTGAGGAAGAGATTACTCGTCTGGTCTTACCTTCGGAAACTACATAATATGGCCTGAGGGTGATGATTGTTTACTGACTACTCGACAGATACTTCATGCTGACCTACCAAACCTACGTACGCGCTCTATATGCGCGCCTGCGCTCGCCGTCACAGTTCATCTGGCTGCAAGCGCTGTCCTCAAGCTTCCTGATCGTGCTGACGCCGATAACCATGACGCGGACGTACCACCGGGCGCTCACCTTCCTAGGTATGACAGGCCAGTCCTACGGGTCGTACCAGAAGATCTGCACGCGCAACGTCTTCATCCGGTTCCTAGCCGAGAACGTGAGCATGCTCGCCTTCCTCGGCAGCATCCTGGTGCTGCACTTCGGGCCCAACAAGGACGTCTACCCGTACTTCGCCTTCGACTTCGACGACGACGACAGCGAGCAGTACGACTTCAAGCTCACCTTTTACGCCTCCATGATCACGTGGGCGTGCGAGCTCGCCGCGGGCATTGTCCTCCGGGGCCTGATCCGCTGGTTCTTCGGCGTCAACGCTAATGTCGAGGGCAAGATGGACCTGGCGGTCTGGCCGGAGCTGCTGCCCACGAGTGTGGCCGTCATGCTGCACGTGTTGCAGAACATGCTGTTTTCCATTATTCGGCTACACTTTCGGTGACCGCTAGACGACGGGCAGGAGATGAGTGAGCTCCAGTTTCCTGACGCGGCCTACTGGTGTGTAGGGAGCATCATTTCGGGATAATGCTTTTGGAAGCTCTCGCAGCTTCTTGCAGCTCGGGTAGGCGGACCCAACCAAGCCGGTGTGGAGATGGCAGTTACTTCAAGAGGGCTGAATTACCCGTCGATGAAGAACCAGGTTTGTCGTCAGGGCTCGCAAGGAGTGTGCTGGTCAGGGCTCGCGAGGAGTGTGCTGTGCATGGCGGTAAACCCGCTATACTGTGTTGCAATGAGTTCGCATTGAGTCTCGTTTTTGAGCTGGTATGCAAAGGTGCCCAAAGGCGGAGCGGATGATACCCCTTTTAGATTCGTTGTCATAGAACTAGATATCCCAATTGTAATAGAAACCTGTTAATAGCAGCCGTGGTGATAGTGTGGTGTGAGTGGTGATGGGGTTTCGAAGTCGCATTGCCGGCATCTCCTCTTCCTCTTGCGCCTGTCACAAGCCAAGGGTAACGGGACACAAATCGATCGAAGGGCCTGGCTGAGACTCCATGGGCCTTGAAATCTGCACCAAAGTGGAGTTTCCTGGTGGAGGTGCGATGCAGGAAGCAGGAAGCACGAAATACCGCCTGCATACCTCCCCGGCAAAGCCAGCCAGGCAGACCTCCAAAGTTTGTGAAAAGGATCGCAGTGGGGTATCTGAGCAATTTACGCGCCTCTTGAACTGGCACGATACGACCGCATCCTGGACAAGACCTCCAGGCCCAGCCGACGTTGGCAGCAATCGCGATACGAGAAGAAAACGATGAAGGCTCGAATGCACGGACATTCCCAAGGGGCGTTCCGCCCACCTGGCAGATGGTAGGCAGCACGCCGCAGTGTATCGTGAGAGGCGCCCGGGTCGGGCATGACGAACGGTAGCAATGGAGACGCTCCATATATTGCCACATGTCTGAAACGGTTGGTTGCATGATGCTGTTCGACCCTCTAAGCCGGCTGGGGGGGGATATGTTGCCATAGGGTACGGAACTGGCCCTTCTACCGGGATTCAGCAACGATCGAGCAGTGGCAGGCATCTAGCCGATGCCGTGCAGCCACTTCGACGTTGGGAACGCCGGCCGGTCAGAGCTCTAGAACACGCCAGGGCTGAGGAGGTCCTCTAGAGACATCGCTCTGAGGGATCGACACATTGCAGATCCACATTGGAACGTCGCCATTCGACGAGGCTGTAGTAGTCAAATGTCATGTGTAACCACTTGATATGAGCTCGTGTTCGTACCCTCATGACGCAATGCTTGAGTCTCATGGAAGACGTGCTGGACTGCGAACCGCTTACAGCGAACTGGCGGTGAGCGGATGTAAGGAATGACTCATGATTTCCGGTTCGCAACGTGGCTCACCATAAAGAGAAAACCGGATGAGCGATCCGAATGGCAGAAAACACCGCGACACGCGAGAAAACTAGGGACGTGCTGAAACGCCTGGTAGGCCAACAAAGCTCAGTTCTTTGTTCGCCTGCAGGGGACTCGAGACCGGTGCAGGTCGCATCCACACTCTTGCATGTGCGAGGGAGCGCGAAGAGTGAGACCCACGCGGATATTGAAAGTTTGACGCTTTCAAGACTCCAGAAGAGAGAGGTAATAAGCGGGACGGGACAAGCAAGACTGGTCCGCACTCTTGAGATCATCAGTGAGTCCCCAAGCCGTTATGACTGACAGCAACGAAGATGGCTCGACGTGCCGATGTCGGTCAGAGGACCCGACTGCCGGGGCCATGATGATAAGCTGGTTGAAGCTCGCAGACAATAGGTGAATAGTGATGCTTGCTTATTCCTCAATAGATTGGCTGGTGTGTAGTACAGTCGTGTTGCTGCCTAGTATGGTGTGGATGCTGACGGGACACCATCTACCAACTGTTCAATCAAGAGGAGTACAGTTATCGGATTCATCTACTCGAGAGTACAGCGCAAAAGACATGACAGAGCTGAGTGGTCAGCTAGCAGACAGGCCAGTACGAGGAAGATTTGAGCTTGGACGGCAATAGGAGTAGAGACCTGGATGTGTTGCTATCAGCGCGGGTTGTCGATATACGGAAGAGCCTTGTTAACGATAGTGATTCGGCGAAACTGGTAGGGTGCCCCAGGCGGTCATGTACGGGTGTCGAGACGTCAATAGGTAGGTAGCGAGGTAAGCTACGCTTGTGTCGAGATGAGCAGACATATCGAACGAGATGTAGGCGGATGCAACTTGCGGAAAAGGCCCGGCTCAAAGGTTAAGGGAGTTGATAAGTTTCATCGGTCCCGATCACCAGACGTTGGGCGTCCCAGCATCCGGGTATCGTCCCCGGCGGTGGGCTGAGCACATATAAGTATGTAGCCAGAGCCAGAGCGTGGGAAGGGTCGATACGAGAGCGCCTAGAGAGGCATACCGGTATATTAAAGTTCATTTGCATATCCATGGCGTATAGTTCAATGTTACACCACATAGAAAACTATCTGGTAGAGAGGGTGCATGGCAAGCTGGACCCTCCGGCTCGGTTGCCGTTCTGTATCACCTCGATAGGAACGGGCTCCAAGATGGCGAAGCTGACTCGACCGCTGGGAGAAGGCCGAGAGGGTCGGCTGTGATTGAGGCGCAATGTAAGCTGCAAGTTCTTGAGCCCCATGCCGCCCCATGGTATTCAAGCACGATGTTGTCGCTGTTGGATGGTGGTTTGGTGTGCGGAGGCCTAGGGACGGGTGTGGTTCCTCACTGGTTCCCAGCTTCCTGACGCAAATGAAAGAAGGAAATACAGACTCTCCGTGTTGGTAAAACAGCAGCATAGCGCAGCGCAGCACAGCACAGCACAGCACAGCACAGCACGTTTGGCGACGGCATAACTCGTACACTCCATCCCTGCCACAGCAGCACAAACGGTCGCATTGGGGGCTGTTGGCATCAAGCAAGCGTTTGCAACGTTTGAACCTCTGACTGATGAGTGAAAACGAATAGAAACATACGTACCTACATGTACGAAAGGCTTCAAGGAGTTGGATCCAACGGGGACACTTCATATTCAAAAAATATCCCGGAGGTATCTCGTGTGTGAGACAAGGTGGAAGTGGTGATGTGGGGAAAAGAAGGAGGTCTGGACTCTGGAATCTCCAAGATGGGGTACAGCGGACTGGCAGCCCGGCTGTGACCTGTCTGCCCGTCACTAGTGAGGGCCAGCTGTGGGCGGCCTGGCAGCTGCCATTGGTCGTCGATCAGTTTTATGACCTGTCTTTTCTATCTGATAAGCGACAACTGATAACCTTAACGTTGTTTATTTCCGTGCGGCAGAGCAGACAACGGAGGGGAACTTTTTGCTATCTCATATGATACTTGTACCATTTGAAGGCTTCGGTCAGGGAAGTCCCATCACCAAATCTCAACAGTCTTCGTTCCCCCTTCTGGATTCGGAATACATTAGGAAGGTGATGAACATTCTGACTGCATACCTGTCCCTGGAGGGACCATACACACGCGTCCTTTTGACCGAACCTATCTTGGTAACCCTGTTAGTGGCGTGGGATGATGGGATTCCGTCGGCCTAGTCTTGCGTAAGTTCCAAAGCTTCTAGAAGGAATCCATCCCACCATCAACGACGTCTCGGAAGCTCTGGCTTTCGTCTGGGCACCGTGTTTAGACGTGGGGACCCCGTCTGATGAACCTGACACTGCATGTACTAGGTAGATATTGCGCTCACCTCGGGGAGTGTCATGCAAGCGACATATGATGAGATGCTGCCCTTACCGCCATTCCGACACGATCGAGCGGCCCCTGTCACGGTGAGATGTCCGACTAGTAACCGGTCTAGCGGCGTTGCCCGGAACGACTCAATAAAGAAAAGCGCTGACAGCACGCAACGGCGCACTTCTACGAGAGGACACGGCGTGGCGGCTTGGCGGCTGGCGTAAGGCGGCGCTGGGCGGTGGCCTAGTTCGGCTTCGGTATGGTGTCATGGCCTGGGCGAGATAGTGGGGTTGTCATCGGGGACTCTTTCCATCCGTATCAACACATAACACAGAGTGAAGGTATGTGTGACGGATCATTATGAGAGACTGTGATATTAACGAGTATGTATACCTTATCCATTAATATAAATATCTTCGGCCCAAGACCTAATCTGAGCAGAATAGTGTGAGGTATCAACGGCAGGTCCATCCCACCACCATCTGTCATCTGTACCTAATCAGTAATCTGGACGGGCCTTCCCTGGCGTGATAATGCTGCAACTTCCAGATACGGCAGACCCTGTCGATATTCTGCCTATCTGGGCTAGAGATGTCGATTTAAGCTTGTTGAGCCCGTAGGTACGCAGCACCGGCAGGGATTCCGCGTAGGGATACCGAGCACTGCCCGACATTTTAATAAATCCTGCAGCCAAGCGAGCAAGGCACACAAGTTCGCATGAAGGTTGCCATTGATTGATTGTAATCTGTGGGTGTTCGATGTCACGGCCGGCCTCCAGGGCGCGGCGCGGTACTTATTCCCCATTATTACTATCGGCGCCAGTGGCCGCTATCAAAAAATCAATTCTGCCCCGCCTCTCAGCGGCGAGGGGCGGAAGAGAAAGCCAGAAAAAAAACATCAACCGTCAACTCCATCCCACTCTCGTCGCACGTCGCACTCCACTCAGGCAACCGCCGGTTTTCTTTTCCTTATCCAATACTGTCGGTCGTATTGTGCGATTGCTCCTCGCTCGTTCTACTCGCCGTTTCTTGCACACCCAACACCATACTCGATACGGTAGACCAGCCTGACCGGTGCCTCCCACGCAATACTAGGGTCGTCTTGTCTGTATCCCCCTCCCCCCGTCAGGTCAGACCAGAGACGAAACACAACACGACAGGCTACGCCTTACCACCACCCCGTCCGTGCTTCAACTTGTGCGACTGCTCCGCGGTCTCTCCAGAGGCGACCTTGTCTGTCTGCCTATCGCCTATCGCCTGTCTCCTGCACATCTCCTGTCTTAGCTGCTCCCCAGGCCTGGCCTTGTCTCGTTCCTCTTTTTCCACTCACTCCCCGCCCGGGATCTGGTTGTGCCACGCCCCCAAAAAAATTCTCTGGGGACAGACATATCGTCTAGCCCGTCCTTCGCACCTCTGCCTCTTTCTCCCTCCTTCTTCCTCAGCATGAGCGCTCCAGTCTCCTCCAACGATAAGCCTGTTGAGTCTTCGGCCACCAACCCCTCTCAGCCAGTAATCACCTCGACATCTGTTCCCGATGCCTCCTCGCGACGAGAGCCCTCCTCCTCCACCTCCGGTACCGCCGAACTCGCCGGTCAATCGATAGGCTCCCTGACTGCCGCTGACAAGGAGAAGCTCGAGGTCGCAAAGAAGCTGGTCGTCGACGCCCTCCGATACATACCCGACTTTCCCATTCCTGGCATCAAGTTCATCGACGTCCTTCCCATCTTTCAGAACCCAGTCGCCTTCAATGCGCTGCTCGACGTGCTCGTTCTCCTGATCCATGAACGCTTCGGCAGCCAAGTACCAGATGTCATTGTGGGTCTGGAGGCTCGTGGTTTCTTGTTCGGGCCGTCACTCGCGTTGCGCCTCAATCGGCCTTTCGTCCCTATCCGCAAAAAGGGGAAGATGCCAGGGGAATGCAGGACGGTAGAATACAAGAAGGAGTACGGCAAGGACGAGTTCCAAGTCCAGACAAATGCTATCACGCCTGGGCAACAGTGCCTGATTGTCGACGACATCATTGCCACTGGTAAGTTGAAACATGATATTCCCTTTGCCGATCTCCTTCCAGACCGTCACACATTCCGTCGAGTATCCAAGAAATCACATACCCCTGCGATCGCCGACTTCGCTGCCTTTCCAGCGCTTCTACATATTTCCTGACACCTACCACTGGACGCTCACGACATGACACCTACCTGTCTGTCAAACTTCTGCAAGGCCTCAAAGTTGTTGCGCCGGCATCCCTTTGCACCTCGCCACGTTACAGGGATATCTGAAGTAAACATGGAAAGAATTTGATACAATGATACTGTCTGAGTCTCAACTCGGGCTACTCTGCCTCGTGCTGGGCTGAAAGTGCGATGGTCAAATCATACATATACACAAGAAAACGAGATCATGGCCAAATGTCACTCATCTTCTTGGCATATCTCGTTGATATTTCGCTCTGCCTTGTGGCCCTGTGCCCTGAACTAACTCCATCCCAGGAGGAACTGCTGCTGCTGCGGGACAGCTTGTCGAGCTATCCGACGCAAATGTGATGGGTTATCTCTTCATGATTGAAATCACAAATCTGAAGGGCAAGCCACTGCTCGGCGATAAGCCATTCATCACTCTGGTGGAATATGACGAAGAGGAGTAAGAGGCTCGTCGCATTGCCATCGTTTCCCATCACTTGAATACCTACTCGACCTCCAAAAAAAATCCATTCTGCACACTTGGAAGGGAACATAATCTGGGAGACGGCTGTTCCTTCGCATTATTGATGAAAAACCCGGGATTCAACAGATCACGCTGATTAGACAGCGTGGGCTTGGATCTACCTAAGCTCGGGGTTCAGGGGTAGAAAGGGGCTCCTTGGAGAGCGTTTGGGTTGCATGGCTTGGCGTAAATGGACCATAAACCCACTTGGTATTGAGTTTGCACGTCAGTTACAATGACGCGCGTATCATAGAGAGAGATAGGTAATCTCAACTAATTCAAAAGACGACTTCGATTCAAATCACTATCTCTGCAAATATTGCATCACTTAAGAATTACTGCCGATCTCCTCGTCATATATTGAGCAACGTACTGGATGGAGCTGGATGAAACGACGGGGACTGTGAAGTGCCTCCCCAGTCCCATCACAGCGACATCTCAGGGGCTCCAAGAACGGCCCGAGACTTGCATGACAGGCGCCTTCAGCCTCGCCAGGGGCCAGGGGCTATACGAACCCGAACAAGAGGGAGGATATGGGATCCTGTCACCCATTTATTTCGTTGCCAGCCAGCTGACTAACGCACTGATGATGGGTGATGATGCTGCCGTCTTGTCCCCTTTTTCTTCCGTCTACTCAGCTTCCGCCTACTCAGCTACTGATCACTCCACGTGCCGTCATCCCAGGACCCGTGCCGATGGACATCAGCGAACGATGGAGAAATCTGCTCTGCTCTGCAGCGTAAGCATGGTTGTAGCCGGGCGGATACTTAGCTGCAGCTGGCTTGCGTTCGGCTTAGGTCGTTGGGGTGTGTGGGATGAGTCAGAATGGAGCTGTTGCTACGTACGGGTTTATGAGTTGATGGGTTCATCTTGCTTGGTCTTGTGTCTTGTGTTCACAGCTATGTCAGTTTCAGTGAGGCTAGGCTAAGCTGAGCTTATGTAGGGGCTCCATGGTGTTGGGTGGGTGATGGGTTGTTGTCACTCCGGTCGTTGTGGGGGTTGGTTGGAGGGGTTGGCTGGGGTCTGTCCTAATGCATCTCGCTCGGGTTGCCATCCGGTTCTGCGGTACCATGTATAAATGGAGTGTGAGTTTGAATGGGCTCCCGGAAGATGAGTGCGTGTCTAGAGGCACGCGTTGTGGACTTGTGTGTTCAATCGGCGAGCGCATTGTTGCGTGCTAGGTATGCGGTGCGAGAGCACCCGGTGAGACCTCGACCGACGGCTCTGGGCTCGACACCCGGCCAACATAAGGTCATGCTTGTGGTTTCGGATGACAGTCGTGCGGCTGTCCTGGAGGTTATTCATAGACTGCTTTTGGAGGCGTGAAGACGGGAGTGTGTTTCCCTCTCGCTATCTGAACGCGTGCTTCTTGTAGACACCCTCAGAGCTCGAACCTCACCTGCGTCAACTGCACGAGCAGAAAGGGAGACCCGTTCTGTAGTACAGTCACAACATCCGTAACGTAGCTTCTTACCGCTACTATTGGCAGGCGGTATATTCCTGGCTCTACCTCACTCCCTCTCCCAATGTCGAGGTCGTCCCCGTCGGCGATGTCCCGTGGTTCAGAAGACTCGGTGATTGTCTATACACACACACGCGCTTTTCTGACCTCATTCTATGGAGAGCGATCTCAGTCATTGCCACTCGAGTCAGGGGCGAAGATTATCAGTACTACTGTGATTCACATGATTGGGCTGCTTCGGAAAAGCCCACCAGAGGCATCTCACAGTGACCACGCGCCTTTGTTGCAACGCTGAATGTGCATAGGTAGTCGACGTAGACGACCGAAATATGGTTTCATACTCCCTTCATCTTCATAATAATTCTAGGCAAGATAGTGACTGGCCTGCGCCGAGGGTCGCCAGAAAGGTGATACCTGAGGGAGCCGGGTCCAATCTAGGTCCAGCTTCCAACGGCCCGCCCCCAGTCCCTGTTTTTACGAACTCAAACACTTTGAGACATGCGGGAGGTTCTATAGGTGATTCCAGGCAGAAAATTCGGAACAGCGGCTGGTGATAGCCTTCAGAACCGTGCCGACTGGTCTTCGCGCTCGGGATCGGCAGGGTAAAGGGGGGAATACTATCGGTGGCGGCGACACAACACCTCGACTCCTTCTCATCAACAAGAGTACAGGAAAGTTGGGAATACCGCTGGTACTTCCCTCGAACGGCCAATCGCTGTTTTTCACGTCTTCTCTAGTTGGTAGTCCACAGCGAGACCATTCTCGTGGCGGTTTGGTTGACCCCTCCACTTGCAGTCCCCGTGTATACGGTACGACCAAACAGTATTCCTGAGACCAGTCCGAATGTTTCAGAGTAAGTACGTTTCGATTATCATGTTGGAGGGAGACATAATGAGCACTAGTTAAGCCATTGAAATTCAACTCAATGTCGCTATTTGGGGGTGGTTGAGCCGCGAAGCTTTACACATCATGTGTTACAACCCGTACAGAAACAAGACAGGTCCTATGTCTCTTCATCAATGATCGATTCCATCTTATCCTCTTCGACGGCCTCAGCAAATATTTCAGTTCGCGTTTCCTTTGGAACCTTACCAGCAGCAGGGTTGGCAGCTATGTTGGGCTCAGCTGCAACTCGTGCCTTGCGTGGTTGTAGTTGTCGTCCTTGGGAAAGTGATTCGTCATCTCCCTATTAATACCGCCTTCGTCCTGTGGGAGGACCGCGCTTCCACCTTCCAGCCCATCATGTCATTGGACATCAACTCTGCTACATTGCTTAACCAACAGTGTCCGTCTTTCCTCTCAAGCCATTCTCCGTGTCTCTTGCGATACGGTACAAACTCCGTGAGACCAGTTGGTGATAGCTTTCACTGTTCTGAACAGTTCAGGAATGCTGAGCAGGGACAGCCACTGGCCTAGTTGACTATCGACACTCGCAACCACGCCGGTGACCGTTCGTCCTGGCGGAGGCGGGCTGATCCGTTGTTCAGGAGGGAGGGAGTGACCATCGGTAGGGACCACGACCAGTTCGTGATGCATGTACACATATCCAGGTCGTGGAAATGCTCCGATCTTGTAGGGTTTCGACGACGTCTAAGTTTGAAGTTAGTATGGCTGGCTATACACTCGGATCGCTAGGTAGAGAGGACGAACGTCTACGTCGCATATGCTCGATACTGGGCGCCACGGACAAGGACCGGTGAACGAGAATGGGGTTGTTCTCAGCAATAGAACCACGGTCCACGGAGTGTGAGCGGCCCACGCTTTGATTACTGCCGCCTAACTTCAGATGAAACTTGGGCGCAGCGTTGCATCGGTAGTGGTCCTGATCGATGTTTCCTACCTGCTGAGAGTGTCTTTTCTTCAGATCGGTAGTCTTTTCCCAGTACTACATTGCACGCCATGTGTCGATATGCTTGCATATATATATGATGCAGTACAAGACTCTCGATTTCGTCCGGCTTGTGGTTGTTGATGTCGAATGGAAGGAACCAAATGTCCGCAGGCGCAGGCAAGCGATTTTGGCTGCCCGTATTTTCAAGGCCTTCTTATGCGTTCATGTCTCGCGTTGTGATAGCAGGCGGTCAAGGTAATGACTGATGTGCAGTGGGTTTTCCACTCTGGCATGGCCAGATTTGGCCAGCTTGTAGCCAACCGTGCCAGTTTCAAGGTGATCTGGGCGAGGCTGTCTTCTGATGAGTTGGTCTTTGTTGCGCAGATTGTGTCTGAGTCGAAATCGCCGCAAACCGTGGCAAGTTCTGAACAGGACGGCAGGTCTAAGGTATGCTGGAGCAAAAGTACGCCGGCACAAAAATTATGTGCCTCCTCTTGCTGACATGACCAGGTTGTGGGAGAGCTGATGGGGGCGATAGGGCCAGCATGAGTAGTGCGTCGACTCATGGTGGTAAGAAAGGGGAGCCGATATCGAGATGGCCGAAGCGGTTGGCTTCCAGCGGGCAAGAAAAATATGATGGTCGTGATGACTGCGTTTTCAGAGGGGTATATACGAAAAAAGGCTACATTAGGCAAACCTTGGTTAGTATGGACATGGTGAGAGGTGGGAGGTGTGTAGAGATGTTAAGGGATACTGGGGATGGGGTGAAGACGTCGAGTTGCGCCCGACCGACGATGACATGGGCTAGCAATCAAGTGGGCGCGAATGAGAAAGAACAAACGCTCGAAAGGACTTACAGCGATGGCTTTGGAGGACTGCATCGTTGGCAGGTCTTTGCGTTACGAGAGAGACAATCTGTTTTCGGTCAGCTGTGATCGATAGACGCCATCGAGGCGACCAGGTGGGATTTGTTGCGATGAGGAGTGAGAAGATGGGAGAAGACCAGAGTAATGGCTCTCAGGGGCTACTTGTAACTTATTCGCAGACACCCACAGTACCAAGCCGTCTAAAGAAGAGCCCATCTTAGTACGTACCTGTTTGGATGGTGATTGTGCCCCTTCTTCTGGGAAAGGTAGTCCACGTCGTCGTCGTTAGCGTTATGCCCAGAGGTAGAAGCAAACGCGAAGGTTGACCGTTCGTAATTCGTCGGTGGTGTAGGACGTGATACTGGCGACGACATTCATGGGATTGAACGGTCTAATCCCTTGCTTGCCTTCCTGTTCGAACTAGCCAAGTTCAATGTGTCTCGCTATCCGGTAATGGATAGATCAACCGCCCTAGCCGCCCGGCGCGGCCCATCTGTCGAAACTTATCATTCGCTTGATCCACTGACTCGAGGAACGTTGCGATGAAGTTATGAAACGGCCCTTGCTCAGTTGTGGTGCTACTTTACTGTAGTCAGTAGGCTTTCTACGAAGCACATGAAGGGCAGGTTGTGAAATGCACCGAGACGCGCGTGAATTGGCGAGTCGGCTGCGCGCCGCTGGTGGCACGGTTGAAGCTGGGGACGGGACGGGACGGTTCTTCCCAGACAGTGTACGTGAGCCGGAGCGGCTAGGTTGAGGATGCGGCCTTCCGGGATGGAGCTCAATGTGCTGGAAAACCTCGCAGCACATCTCATTGGGAAGGTTCTCAAAATGAGAAGCAGCCATGGTGATCAGTAAGTGGATATATAGGGCAATGAGCCGGCAGCAAAAGCAGGGCCTGTGTGTCGCGGGGTCGCGCCAACGCTGCCGTGGCTAATGTCTCCAGCACCGGCAAGGGCGGCAGGACCAAACATGATGACGACGGAGATGAGTTGGCAAACTCCTGCTGGTGGAGAGCCTTGGTGTCGCGGAGAAGCTTGAGGTAAGCACCACCACACTCGAGACCCTCTGGGAAAGCGACCGTTAGCATGTCGATGTTCCAGCGCAAGGCGTGCAGAACTTACTCTGGAGCTTGACTTCGTATTGGACCTGAAACCGCTGGAACTCATGCATGAGCTGGCAGCTGTGGTGAGAAAAAGAATACAGAAAGGGAGCAGAGGGGCAGGTTGTGACTATATAGTCTCAGCATCATAACCACAGTACATTTTTCCGTTCTCCTCGATGTTCTTGCACTTCACATATTGTGGCTTGAGCGTCAATACGTCCAGGAGGCTGCCAAGCTTACGGGCCAGGAGAGCCTACCACCATCCGTATCCGACGTTGCTCATGTTAGTCGCCGCCGACTCGAGTAGTGCTTGTTGCAGGATCGGAAAATGGCAATGAACACCTGCTCGATCCAGTTCATGATTCATTTGCGGTCATGTTCAACGACCTTACCCCATCTTGTCGGGTACTGTTGATGATTGGCGAGATGATGTGTTCTTGTCGCAGAGCCGGCGCAACGAGTACGGATATCCCGCCATCTTCGTCCCGGCGACGCCCTGCACCGGGTTCATCTTTCCCCATGAAGAGCCCATGAAGCGTTTGTACGAACCAAAGATTTCCTTCTCAGCCGGATTCTCCTACAGGAAGGCCGCGAGCTTGGCTAAGCTGCGGCGGAGGTCAGTCTGGAGGCTTTCAGGCATAACCTTGTGCGTCAGAAATTCGACGCCGAGGCCTTTACGAGCATGAACTGGTACGGTTCCTCGACGCACCACTCGCCAACGTAGGCCCATCCCTTCATGTCCTTCTTGGCGTGGGAAGGCTTCCATCGTGACTCCCAGTCGTCGGTGAACTGCTCTAGGAAAGGGCCTTTCAGGGTGGTGGGCTTCTTAGGCGAGGCGTCGGTGACCTTGGTGATGCTCTTTCGCCTTGGTTAGTAGGCTTTGTATGAAACGCATGAGGGGCCTGTGTGTCGAGGATGGGGCTGCCGCAGTGGTGGACGATGATGGAAAGGGGTTCTCTCAAAATGTTTCTAATGAGCTCGATCAGATCCGCTGCTCGGATCGCACAATGCCTGACAAGGGCCATGAAAGAAAGGGAAAAGGAAGAAGGAAAATGCGTGCCATGTTGATGCTGTGTAGTAGGTCGTATATATAAGCTCACCACACACAGCCGAGTCCTCAAGTCCAGGACAAGAGCAGCAGCCCTTGTGATTCTACAGTCCAGTCCAGTATCTATGTCTACCAACTCAAGTCTCATCACATCCGGACAACCGTCGTCCTTAACTAGCCAGCAACAGCCTCACCAGATAGCATGTAGGCTCGTGGGTTTGCCATTCCATTCCATACATACGAACAATCCGCGAGAGCAACACAAGCAAATCTAGAGCCTCACGCAAGCCGCAAGCACCAATACATCAAGCAGCAATAGCTCCAAGCAGCAATAGCTCCAAGCAGCAATAGCTCCAAGCAGCAAGAGCAATACATCAAGGAGCAACACATCGAGCAGCAAAACACCAAGCAACAATACATCAAGCAGCAAAACACCGAGCAACCGACAAACCAACCAACCAACCAACCAACCAACCAACCAACCAAACCCAAGCCAGGTGATGCAAGCCAAACATCCTGCCCGGGTCCAGATCCTAGTCACACAGCACGCCACGCGGGACTCTGTGCCTTGGAGATATTCAGGCTGAGCTGGGAGGAGGAAGACTTGTGTTTCAGAGCTGGAGAGACGGACAGACAGACCCCCGCAAACCATGGATGGTCAAGCGCTATTTACCGCGGTTAGGGAGCTTACTTGTCCCATCCGTCTGCAGTGTCATGCGAGGATCGACATCAGTCCATGGGATTGCCAGCCGAAGCACGGTCAAAGGGTACATTTCTGATAGGTTGGGTGCTGTAGTCGACTATAGCGGTCACACCAGGAGTTAGGCAAGGAGCAAGCATGGCAGGTTTGAAAGATGTCATCAAACAAGTCACAACGGTCAAGATGAGAACAGATGGATGCGCCAAATGCATGTGTATGTATTAGCTATTAGAAGAATGTTTGAGCCGGCGTACGCTTGCCCTAGGTGGCAAGACGCAGACGCACGACATTCCTGGTTCGAGGAAACTTTCCTGAGTTGGACCTCATGTGCTTCCACCGCTCCCTCCGTCAATGAAGGCATCGGCGATTTTGTTTTGATGGTGCTGGGTTTTCGGATCCAGATCAACCAAGTGACAGTTCTTTCGGGGTATACTGGGTATCAGTAGAGATAGGAAACGTTGCGAAAACACCAAAGCAGTTCTCCGCGCATCGTCAGATCAGACATGCAAAAAGCGTCGAGTATAAAAATCATGCATGCCACCTCTCACATCGTCGCTCCAGTCCATGCTTCGCCAGTGGTATCCGCTCGAAAGATGGATTGTCGACAAGTGAAAGAAGATGGGGTATCAGCTCAGAACCAATCTTGACGGGGTATCTTGAAATGCAGATCCTTTCCCGACCAAACTCAACAGGTTGGTGACTCTAAGAAAACATCATGAATTGACCAGCGGGGATCGGCCGTGATCGTATTAGCGTCTCAGTAATCTGCTCGCACCCTATGCGGCAGCAGTGACAGGCGCAGGACCGGCAGCAGCGGGCTGCTCGACAGGGGTCTCGTCGACAACGGGAGCAGTGACGGGCTCCTCAGCCTTGGTCTCGGCGGTAGCGTCAGTGGCCTCGGCGGGCTTGTCCTCCGCGATGGCCTCCTCAGCGGACTTGTCGGTGGTCTTGTCTTTGTTGCCACGGTTGATGGTCTGGCGAAACTTGGAGAAGAAGGGAGGAGACTTGGTCTTCTCACCCTCCTCATCCGAGGTGGCCGACTTCTCCTTCTTGCCGAAGGCGAAAGGCAGAGACGACTTGCGCTTCTCGCTCTTCACTTCCTTCTTGGTCTCGCCGTTGGTGGCGGGAGTGATGTCGGTGGTCTCGGTAGGGACAGTCGCTGGGGAGGCAACCTCGGCAGACAGAGGCTCAGTGGTCTCGACGGCGGGGATGACGGGAGCAGTCTCGGCAACAGGCTCATCAAGAGGAGCAATAGCAGTGGTGTCCTTGGCAGGGGTGGCAGGGGCAGAGTCAGTCTCGGCCTTGGGCTTCTTGCCGAAGGACAGGTTACCAAAGAGGCTACTTGATGTTAGTGGTTTGATTCGCTTGTCTTCTCAGATTGCAGGTCATGCACGTACCTCTGACGCTTGGGCTTGGTGGCGGTGGCAGCCTCCTCCTTCTTGGGCTCCTCGACTGGTGTAGCCTCGGTGACAGGGGCCTGAGTAGTCTCATCAGCGACGGGCTCGACCTCGGCGGGCAAAGCGACAGGAGAAGCCTCGACAGCCTTGTCATCAGCAGCAGGTGTCTCCTTCTTGGACTCGTCCTTCTTGTTGAGCAGGGTGCCAAAGATGGAAGTGCGCTTGCGGCTAGCGGATCGGCGCTTGCTCTCATCCTTCTTCTCCTCCTTGGCCTCCTTCTTTTCTTCCTTCTTCTCCTCTTTGGCTTCCTTCTTCTCCTCCTTGGCTTCCATCTTCTCTTCCTTCTTCTCTTCCTTGGCCTCCTTCTTTTCTTCCTTGGCTTCCTCCTTGGGAGTCTCCTCGGTAGAAGCGGCAGCGGCCACGGCGGGTGTCTCCTCCTTCTTGGCGGCAGCAGCGGGCTTGAAGCTGTCGAGAGTGTGCTTGTAGGTCGCGGATTCTGTAACGGTGGGGGCGAGATCCTTGGCCTCGGTGATCTTCAGCTTCAATTGCTCAACCCAGTTGTCACGCTCGGCAGTGCTTGATGCCTTGAAGGTGTGCTTGTGGCCCTTGGAGGTGAAGTGGAACTTGTTGGCACCGTCGACGGTGGGCTCTGAAGCCTCAGACTACATCATTGTCAGCTTCGAGCTCGGCCTGCAACGGGTGCCAGTTTCATCATACCAGTTGGATGGCACCGGCCGGGGTGGCCTTGTCGGCTTCCTTTCCGTAGAACAACAGACCCTTTCCGGTCTCAGTGGCCCATGAGGCGACGTGGTGACCGACATCGGTGGCCTTCTCGTTCTTCAGGTAGGTGGCGAGCTTCTCCTTCTCAAGAGCGTCGGTACCGAACCAGAAGTAGTTCTTCTGGTACATGAAGTTCCTACGCCAGCTGTGTTAATCATCGGTCCCGAGTGCATGCCACCGTCGTTAATGCTTACTTGGGGAAGTTGGCAGGGGCACCCTTGTGCTCGAGGGTGCCAGCCTCGATAGGCTTGACTTCCTCCTTCTTGGCCTCCTCAACGGGAGCGGCAGTCTCCTCAGTCTTTGTCTCGGCGGGAGTCTCAGTAGCAGTGCTGGGCTCGGCAACTGGGAGCTCGGAGGGGGTCTCGTCAACAGGCTTGGCGTCGACGATGGGGTCAGCGACCGCCGGAGCGGTGTCGGGTACGGCAACGGGCTTCTGTACGTCGGCCATTGCGATGGATTGTGGAGGGTGTGGTAGCGAAGAGAAAAAAAGCAGTGGTTATCAAAGTTGAGTATCTCAAAAAGGGAATTAAAAGGAAGCGGCGAGGAGGGTCCTTTTGTTCGAGGGGGCGTGTCAAACAAGAACAACGGCGATGATTGTGTCTTTTTTTGCGTGGACAAGGAGGAGGGAGGGAGAAGAGTCGGGTGGAAGGACAGCAGCCTCTGCTGGGTGATATTTATTGTCTTGTGACAGGCAGGAATAGGAGGGCGGCAGCATGTACGCAGCCTCTGGTTGGCCCGCAGGGCGTGGGTAGCAAGAAGCGAGCCAAGCACTCTTCCACTAGTCGCGCAGGGATTGGACGGTGCTGATGGACCTAGTGGGCCCAGCGGGTCGCGGGTGCTGCAGCGAAAAACATCAGACCCGCAGCAGACCAACCCTGACATTGCAGCGGCAGTCCAATCAAATCCAATCGAAGGGCGCTGCAGGGATGTGTAAGGCCCTTTAGTTACCTAAATAAGACCACTCAAAGTCCAGGGCAGTCTATCATGCAATCTGGCAATCTCTGAGCCGGCACATTCAATGCTGCTGCAAGCTGTCATCAGTCGTATCACTCACTCCCATCAGGTACCGCGCAGTCCTTTGCCTTTGGATGTGGTGGTGGTTCCTTCGTCCAGGACCATGTGTCAACTAGTCCCTCGTTACTCTTTGTCGCATTGTTGATCGGCCGCTTCTCGAGTCTAAGAATAACGAATCCTCAATCCAATGCAGCACAGTCAGGACACAATTCAGGACACATTACATCCAGATGACACATGTAGTAGTATCCAGGGCTTTGGTGAATATCCTTGAAGCCACACATTCACATACCCAGTACTATGTAGCACCTCGCAACCGAGACCTGGTCCTGGACTGCCTCCGACTCCCCTGACTCCCTGTTGCTGGGCCATCGTGTGGCATTGGTCCGTGCCGGGCTACACCTTTTTGAAATGAAGGCACCACGAGTAGCTCGCCCACGAAATTACAGCGTCGTCTAGCATGCACCGACAACAAATGGTCCATCGCTGCTTCGTGTTCCGATATTCGCCCTCTGTCGCCATGTCAGCCCTTATTATTATTCCCATCCAGGTAGACTTGGCAGCTATTGCGGTGCCTTCTTTTCCGTTGCTATTATTGCAGGAAGATTTCCATTGTGCTCCTCGCGTGGAGTCAGTCACCCAGTCACCCCGCCGGTTTGATAGTGCTATTTGCAGAGCCTGTCAGTGATCCAAGGGTCCGCGGGGTCTGGACCCGGACGGTTGCTTGGTATATGGGAGAGCCAGTGTTGGGCGATCGACATATCGTGTCAGATGCTCCAATTCTCCCTCCCTGGTGTTGACTCGAGCGGGCACCGATACTCCTTTTTACCTGCGATTTTCTGGCTGTCTGGGTGCTGACCGCAGTGGCTGATTTCCAGATACGGCACATCCATCCTAGCCATCCACCATCCTGGTCACACAATCATTTCATCTATCCTGCAGATGGCCATCCATTCAATGAAGCCGATACGCAAGATGTCTTCATTCGTGACTGCATTCGTGCTCACCTCCTGCATATCGCTGCTGCACCAGGTGGTCATAGGGCCAGGGCGGTGGAGGGGAATGCATGAGTACCAGCATATGAGCATGCATGGGCCTTGATGGGAGGATTGGTGGATGGGTTATAATTGGACAGCATCTCCGACGAATTGGGGGATGGTCAGGATTGCAAGCGACACAGATGAAGTACCGGAGTCTGTGACACGGCCCATGGGCCATCATGAATTCGAGACGATCACTCCTCCGACTCCCATGGATGAGATCTCCCACATCCCCCCTATTGGACACTAAAGCACGTTTAATTGAACATCGAGACTATGTACCTAGCTGTATTAGTGTATATGCCCTGTGATTGACTAGTCCCCTTGAGCCGGTTGATAGTGCCTGCCAGCTAAAATGAAGAGGCGACGCGAAGTGGGCTGCCGTTCGTTCCCCATCGATCAGCAACGAGATTATCTGAGGACCCTGGAAATTAACACTCGGCTTGGTGTCGCGGAATTATTGCTATTTTGATTGTCATCTGCAGCGCCGAACCATCACCGACTAATACCGACCAGCCTTGCTCTGTTGCAGTTCCAGACGAGGCCGTCTTCACATAAAGACTGATCGTCTTCCCACTTGTTGAGTCAAACATCACGACCTGCCTCGTGCTGCTGCTGCACTGCTGCATCCATCCCGTCTCTAGCCTCGCATCTGCCCTGCCCGAGACGACTCACCACCAAGTGGGCTGACATGGTCGCGCCAGAGCTGCACGTTCCCGCCCCGTCTGGTGTCAGTGACAGACTGACAGCTGGGCACTGGGATACACAGAGTTTGGGATCGTCCACTTCAGCCTTGGTTGGATTCAACAGTGGCGAATAGAAAGTTCCAAGTGCGACAGCATCAAGCCTTGCTTGGATCGAAGCAACATGAATCTCAACTGAGACAACGCGGCAGGCTTGGCTTCCTGTTTGCCCAACACGAGTTTGCACCTGACCTGACCTGACCTGATTTGCCGCTACTCCAGAAACATTGTTGATGCTGTCGGGAACTTTCCGTCAAACTCATTGCGGCCTCGTTGAAGCTAACCACTGGCGACCACTGGCACCCAGGCCACCGGTTCACGGTACTGTACGGTAGACGACATGGCGTGATGAGTGACCGTGTTACAGGACACACAGAAGACATCGGTTCAGCAGCCGCGTTCTATCCAGGACGCGGCAAACCTATCCGTTCCCTTCGCCGGCTGCGTATGCGCCCTGCATTCACACGCTAACGCGAAACCGCGAATCGCTTGCGCATTCGTGTCTGGGCAATATGCAGCAGGCGTGGCTCCCGTGGTGATCAGCCCTTCGCAGCCTTGCACCCAGGTGCGTTTGGTGGTCTCCGTCGATGTTGCGCTGTGATCTTGTACGAGCATCATGTACCTCTGGTTCTGCCCATGCCTTACTGGCCTCGGCCTTCGAGTCGCCCAAGGCACTTGTTCCACGGGCGCATGATGTTGAATATGGGCCGTTGTGTTTTGAATGCCGCCTCTATCCTCCCGTTTCGTATTATCGTTGGTCAGCAAGCAATCCGCATTTCTTTGCCGATCTGCGCCTTTGTTGTGATGATCATCAGGATCACGCAGCCTAGGTAGCGCTGGTGTGACCTTATCGCGATATCGTTCGTCGGCGAGTTCCTGTATGCCCCCTCTGAGCCCTACACGACTGCACCCAGGTCTGTAACGAAGTACTCATCACATGTGTCACTGTCTGAATTCTCACGAGCAGCTAAGGGATAACAGCCCAGGTTGCTAGCACTCATGCAAGGGACGCGGTGCAATGCGATCAAGCCATGCATCACGGCACCAAAACGTCAGTATCAGATGTACACCAGGACATCTGTTCACAGTGTTCACCATCTGGCCTTCGTAGCAATGATAATCATAAAGGCCGAAAGACGTGGGGAAGTCAAACGGCAATTGGCATCCCTGTAACAGACAGGCCCCTCACCGAATCTGTGAGAGATGTGCCACGAGGATCAGGCGAACTTTTTGCTGACAGGATGGACAGGAACCCGGCCAAAATGAGAGGATGTCCCATCCAACAGGGCGACGAGACCGTCAGCCACGTTTCCCCGAAAAGTCGGTGACCAGCTGGGTGTATCCTCGACAATTCATTCATTCTCGCATCCCCGACCCTCGTCCGAACGACAACATCCAAGCTGCCAAGCATTCAGAGACAGAAACGATGTTCAATTTGACTCCCCGGCAGTGCATGTGGTCCCCTGCTCGTCATTTCGAGATGCGCGCGATAGGCGGGTCCCACTTCCTGCGCTTCCTCCTCTCAGGAGTCGGGAGTCAGGAGAACGATTCATGCGTGCCCTTCCAATTGCTGTTTGCCAAATGGTGAAACGACAACGCACACAAGTTATGCGAAGGCCGTCGGTTTCGGACTGATGAATTGTTAGCTTTTGCAATGCATTACATGTGAGGTAGATACTAAAACGAATCACAAGCAGTCTATCCTCGTCTCTCCGAAGACCGTGAAACAAGCGGGCTCTGTCTGACCTTCCGCAGCGGCTGCTTTGCCGGCGTAGGGAGGGAAAAATCAAAACACCATAATTCCACGCAAAACCAAAGCCGTCAGCCGCGCAAATCGCCGATCATCAACGACTCACGAGACCGCCTTGGAAGTTGCGCGGTACGGGATTTTTTGAAACATTTATCAAGGTTTTCGTGACCTGGCAATCCCCGGTTTGATGTTCCGTTCTCCCCGCAAGATCGTCAAAGGGGAACCCTGCCTTTCGCATCATCTCCTCCTGATTTGGCGTCACATGAGCGGTGACGGCTTTTGTCGATGGACGTCTGCTATCGCCATGTCTTGTGCCGTGTGTAGGTTGTGGTTAGTAGCAATGCTGATCAAGCTTATCATCTCACCCAGTGCCGTTTCCCATCCACAAGCCGCCCACACATGGATAAATCCCGGGTCACACCTCCCTGCCCCCTTATCCCCTCTACGCCGGACTATCAACTTTGACTGAACCCCCCCCCCCGCTTCCTGAGCTTGCAGAGTGCACATGCAGCTGCAGCTGTGTGCCTGTGTGCCTCACCCCGCCACGCCGCTACTGCTCTACGGCATGGTGTGGGTGTGGTGGTGTGGTGGTACGGTGTGCTTAGTAATGACGGTGCCAGGCAGACGTCCCGTCGATGCACACTTCTTCCCCTTATCTTCGGTACCTACACGTGATATATCGAGCAGGAAAGCATACCACATCGCTCCTTCTCCTCATCATACGACCATAACTGATATCTGTATTCAAGCTGCGTTGCACCCCCCCCGCTATCTGCGCACCTACCTAGGTAGTCTGGAGCGATGTCGGACGGTGTAACGCCGTGGCCGTTTGCGTTTGGATTGCGGTGCGCGAGACAAACGAGACGGCAGGACGATTCCTTGACTACATACATTATGTACGTACGCAACCCTTTCTGCGCCAGTTGGCAAATCAAGGTTCGATCTACTCTAATGTATCCAAACTGCAACGTGCCTGCCTTCCTGATTCATACAATCTCCCTCGGATACATTCATGTACGTCCATGCAATGTAGAGCTTCAATGAATCTCAACTCACTCCGACGTAGGTCTCCTGTCCGCTCAGTAGCCCACCCATCCATTCCGAGTCGACTTTGACGCCCGCACACTCGCACATCGTGTCGCGCAGAAAGCGGCAAGGGGACGATGAAGCCGGCGCCGGACACGTCGCCGCTGCTGCCGCCTTTCCGTGTCGTCGGGTCGGCCGTGATCGTAGTAGGACTTCCCTGCGCCGTCGATCTCCCGTGGCACCTGACGACCTCGCCTCCTAGTGGTCGAGATGATTGCCGCGCGGTGCGGTGAGACTTCAGACCGAGGTATGGATCCGGGTCTGTATGCGGCTGCCGGAGCCGTGAATGAGTTAGTATGACCTGCTATAGGAAGGTATCCAGCTCTAGCCGCAATGATTACTTGTCGTTTCGTCTCTGTCTTATTCTGTGTCTTTGCTTCGTGTGGTACTGCCCTTGGCTTCGATGTTCTGCCTTTTTTCGTTGAACCGCGCTGACGTCCCTTGGGAGTAGCTCGTCTGCGTTTCGAAAGTCGGTCGAACGAATATAGTCTCTTGGACGGCTTTCATATCGCGAAAAGTGTATAGTCTTCCTGAAACTGTTTTTCTTCCTCTCGTATTTCTTGATATGTATCCAAGCCCCTATTCCATGGTTATACCAGACCTGACCTGGTGATGTAGACGTCCGCTTCCCAATGACCGCCAGCAGCTGCCCTCCCAGTCTCGCCGCAAGATAGCATGATGCTGTCGCCGAGCCCAATGGCATCGTCGGCGATGTCCCTGGAATCATATGTCAAGGTCTGGTCGGCGAGCGTTGGGGTACAGGAAAAGCCTTCTGGCTGCCACTTGTCCATTCCTTCCTCTTCCTGCTATTTCCATGCATCCCAGATCACGGGTTTTCTGTCTCACCAACAACTGATGTCTGTCAGCATCACAGACACATCCGTCACTATCACAGAGGCATACCTGCTACCATCACAGACACGAGCCCAGTGCTCTGGTATTTTTCGACACGCAAGATGATGGCCATCATATTCTTCTTCGCCTGGGTTCATACAACACTCGTCACCGCATCCCTTGGTGTTTCTGCAGTCATGACCTCCGTCTCTTCTTGCGTCTCAATGCCGATACTGCGTCACGACTGCTGGTCCAGGTCGCCGTCACGGGAGACACAGCACCCGTGGCAGTTCGTGGGATGCTTTGGGTTGCTCGGACGTCTTCCAGCTTGCGAATTCGTCAACCACTCGTTTCCCAGAAGCTCATTGCTGCCCGGGGGCCGGCCAGCCCGCCATCTTGGTATCCAGTCTCAACGGGTCCGCGGTGATCACCGATGGACGCGTCTGCCACGAGAAAGTTCGAATGGTTGTGCGGGAGATTCACGCAAGGGAACGATCTCTGTCGCGTCTCTGCTGCTTGCTGATTGGCGTGTGGAGTCGAGTCGAGTCGAGTCCGTCGTCATTGTCAACAGCCTCCACGCTGTCTGCCTACCGTGTGCGGACCCTTTCCTTCATCGTCCCCGTTGTTGGTGACAGCATGATGTGTTCCAGACTCCTCGACTCATTGGGTGCTGAGCTTGCCAGTGGGATGCTCAGCTCTCGCCGGATTGCTTGATAGTCACTGGCAAGTGCCTTCTGTCCCGCCACCTGGTTCTGTCGACAAGAGCAAACGTGCGATGGCCGTAGCTGGACTGGTGTTGGATAGAGCTGTCTCGAAAACAGATGTGGGATTTCTTTTAGCTCTTTCTTGGGGGATCTTCTTTTCGAAGCCGGTCTTTGCCTTCATCGTGATGCTGCCGCTGCTCAATGGTTAGTCACAGTCGCCCCTAGCAGTGAGATGCTGACAGTAGGCTGTCGACTCACATTATTGTCTTCGGGCTACGCTCCTGCTGTGGACGCAACTGGCTTCTTCTGTTAGCAGGGGTGAGCAGGGGTATCGAGTGGTCCAGACCAGGTAGACGTCGATGCCAGGGGTTGTAGTGAATTGTCGACTTGACGCTGTCCTTTGTCAAGATGTTCTTGGAGCCTTGGCTTCTTTGTCCTTCGAAGTCTCGCAGAAGTTGGTCTTCTGGCGCATAGTCTGTTGTCGTGATAGCTAGGTCATGCCAGCATCCGTTGCCAATGCCACGACGTCTGGTCTGCCTCAAGGTTACTTGCAAGCCTTGGACGACTATGACCGTCACTCGCCCTTGTGGTGGTGGTGTTGTTTCATGGTCGTCAACCCAGGGGATGGGACAGGGTCGGTGTGCCGATGTACGGTCCTCGTTGCTGGTCAGCTCCAGCTCTCCTGACGACTACGTTTCCGTGGACGCCATCTTGGGTCACCATGGGTTGGCGCTGCTTGTCACGTCCCCGTTGCTGGCACCTCGGGTATCCTGGAGGGAGGGTTATGCTCGAATGACTGAGAGGCTGCCAGAGGCTTTGTGCTTTCCAGACTGGATCACGGTCGAAAGGGTAGGGTCTAACACTCGAGGTCCATGGCGCATGGCACCCGATACTTGGCATGATCTGTTGATCCAAGGTCAGCTTCGTATCTGATGAAAGACTGTTGTTGTAGGCTCTTTGGGGATTGGGAGCCTCGCATACTCACCCGTGTGAATGAGGCTGGTCCAAGGCCATAGAGAATGGTGTGAAGAAGACGATTGACTTGACACCAACAAGCCCTTCTATTCGGCACGTTCATTATCATGGGGTAGCACCTTTCGGTTGCTCGGAAGCAAAGAACTCCCCGCCGGCTATCTCTGAGGTAGTCAACGAGGTAGGCTGGTGGTCTGGGTGTGTGACTGATCGTGCCCTCCAAGCAGTCCCTCTACCCCCTATTCTGGGTCGGAGACCTCGCTTGACCCCCCAGAGCCTTCCTTCACCGGCGACGGCGCCCCCTATACAGCACCACCTCCTCCTCTACCACGTGCACCCACGTCTTATCACAGCTTGCACCAAGTTGATCGATAGGGGGGTCCATGGAGATACTGATTTGGGCACACGTCTTTCGAGTACAAAAGGATTTCTCGGGCTTCGCTTTTTCTGCTTTCATCCCTCTCTCCTCCCACAACCACTTTCTTCCAGTAAGTCCATCATCCCCATCTGCAATCTCTTCCACCAAGACTCCTCCATCTACACCTCATCCAACACGATCATCACTTGTTCGTGAGTCCATCTCTTCCTTCTGCATGCACTCTTCCCTGGCACATCGTAGCACCCTCCTCTCGCACGTCAACAGCGCTTCTATTCGGAAGACCGTCTCCCGCCTACGCCTTCACTGTGCTGCTCGTTGCCGGTCGAATTCAGCAAGCACGAGATTCCTCACGTGACACCTCAAACACCCAGGCTACCAAGCTTGGTCCTCTCCTGCACAATCCCTCACTTCCCTTCCTCTCCTCCTCAAATGCACACCAATCATCACCAAAGGCAAGCCGTCCTACCTATATTCACCTCGCCCGAGCATCCAACTTGCCATCTTCCTTCTCACTACCACCTACACACTCGACCACCCAAGGTAAATTGCTGTCCGCTCCCTCACCAACCCACCTCTCCAGAGCACTCCACTCGTCATCCTCCCTCTGCCCGCCATTCACGAACACTGTCATCCAAGGTAACGTCCTACTCCTATACCAATCTACCTCTCCAGATCACTCGACGCGTCAGTCTCCCTCCTCACGGCATCTGCACACACTGCCATCCAAGACGAACTCTCCCCTTACGTCGATCTACCTCTTCAGACCACTGCCCGCGTTCCCGTTCCTCCTCCTACTACTGGTACGGATACCACGTTTCTCCTTCCATCAATCCAAGGCCGTCAATAACCCGACGCGTTGCTTTCTAGCATGCTGCGGGGCCTGAAAAGCCATTGACTGCCCAACAGACATTCCCCGACCAACACACAAATCCGCGCACAGACACAAATTTTTTCTCCCCCTCCCTTGACATACACACACCACTGCACAAGGCATGTGACTTTGGTGTCCCTACGTCTCTACGTCTCTATTCAAGCACTCTTCTACACGTTGCCGACGGCTGGTCTTGTGATGATCACTGCTGCTGCCCTGCTACCGCCCATCCCTTTCCACCTCGACGATATCATTGTTCTCGCCGCCCTCCCTCTTCCTCTACGCTGACCATCACTCTTCCAAGCGACCTGAAGCTGAAGAATCCTCTGTAGATTCCCTTGCTCCTGACACGTAGTGGCAGAACAAACCCTCGCAGTCATTTGCTTTGGCGTTCAGGCGTTTGCACTTGATTTCAACAACTACGGTACCATTGCTTCGGACACAACTTTGCTTCTGATCTCTTTCGCCAAACCCAATAGATCTGATTGCATTTACGCTCCACAGCTTGGAATTTCCGAATTCTGATCTTGTGCGCACGTTCACGGAAGGTACGTACCCCTGCTTGCTGTTGATATGGACTATACACATCTGCTACCCCAACATATCTCACTTGTCCCCTTGACTACTCCCACTCCTCACCCTCCCAACTTCCACCTCTCTTCCCACTGCTACCTCTCCTGCCTCTACTTCCTTGCCACGTCAGCATCCGACCACCGTTTCTCAAATAACTCGACCGCTTTCTCTTTCAGTAGGCGGAAGGTAAGCTCTCCTGCCCTGACCTATATCTCCCTATCTCTGCTCCCGACTATCCCGCCTGCCTCTCTCTACACGAGCGATCTACTTCTCACCATAGATCTTTGCCTCAACATCCTCAACCTGCTTACTTCCTCGACACTTTGTCCAGACGTGTACAGAGACACTCGCCATCCCCGCCCTTAACACCATTTCTGTTCCTTCCCTACTTACCGAGCCGCACACTCTACCTTCTCACTTCAGTCTTGCCTGGCCAGATCAGCTGACATTATTTCAAGTCATTGGGTGTTCGTATCGAGCTACAGCACTGGCCGAATAACCTCTGGTGCTTTTGCAAAGTCTCTGCCCCTCAGGTAAGTACATTTACTCCCACTGTCCTTCCTTCCTTTCTTCCATCCACCGTCTATCCACCGTCCATCCACCGTCCATCCATCTTGTCTCTTGACTCTACGTGTGCTTCGACTTCAGCAACTAAGAATCATCACAAGGATATCTCTCGTATTCAACATCGCTCAGACGCAAGATATCAGAGCCATACGTACTCTCACCGTGGTAAGTTCCTGCCTTTATTCCCCTTCTTCTGTCTGGCCTATTCTCCCTTCGCTTTCGCGTCCTTTTGGTACTGATCTCGGGGATTCCCAGACCTCTTAAGTCACCATCAGAGTGATTGTGGCTACCCAGCCCCTAGGTTCGCGTCAGTCCTTCATTTATCTACCTCGTCTGTTCGCTCACCTCCACGAACATGACACCTCATCCGAAGAAAGAAGCTGACATACCTCAGATCTACCTGATCAAGCACTCGATCTGGAACCACAGATTCATCCTGCGCTTGCCTCAGGTCTATAACACAAGACCACCCGCTCTCCTACAGACTTGATCATCGATCCTCGACATAAGAGATCATCGTCACTTCTAAGAACTATCTCCTGTTCAGCACGAGGTACGTCAGCTTCACCTGCTCCTTCCCTCATACATGATTCTTTCCCTATCACTCACTCTAGTCACTCTCCGTTCATCTTATTTGACATACGCATCCTCGCACCACTGCCCCTCCTTACCCCTCCGATACCATCCCCACTCTTGCTTCCCTCCGTTGAGCTCTCCCAGGTTCAGTCAAGCTACCTCCTTTCCCATACACAGCTCATCACCTCACTTCCCAACCCCACTCTGCCACACACTGATGTCGCTTGCTTCCTTCGCTTGGTATACATGTCCTTCGCCTTACCGTGGCGACAGTAGTCTGTTTTCCACGATCGGGGGCTGTTGCTTCATTCTTGCTCCTTCTTTGCCCCTGGCAAATCTAGCTTTACCCGCCATCTGCTTGCTCATACTCCAGTCTCACATGCTGAGAGGTGAAAGCTGACTGAAGCACACAGGTTGCATATTACACGGACGTCAAAGTCGGTTACCTCCTTCGATTCTCAGGCGATTCTCACCGAGTTTGATCTATTGCCCCTCATGGCGGATTATACCCGGGCCTGGGCACCTTCCCTGCTCCACCGCACGCTCGGTTATGTTCAGCAGCAGTCATGGCATATCAGGCCGGACATCCCCAGCATCCAAGGTGGCCTTGGTAGGGAACAGGAGCTCTTCCCGGGACTTCACGCCCCGCTAGGTTTCGTCCTCTCCAATGTCTTCGCCATGCCTAAAGGTGAAAGTCAACGCGACGGTTACATCTACAGAATCTGCGTCCGACTCAGTACAGGCGACGACATTTATGGCATTGAACGGTCTGATCCCTTGGGTGCCTTCCTGTTCGAAATATCCAAGTTTCTCGCCTGGCGCTATCCGGTCATGGATAGGTCCAACGTCCCCAACCGCTTCGACCAGCCCACCACGGTCTATGATCGCGAAGTGGACTGTTACATGCTCGAAATGGACCATTACCCTGACGTGCGCAAATGCATCATGAAGGTAGGTATCTCTCGGCCAACTCTCGAACATTCTCGTTAACTGACTACCATAGGGACGTTTCCAGCTCATCCCGGGCCGATTGAACCTAGCGCCGGCGAAGCAGCCTACAGCCCTCACCATGGTGTTCGGCATTCCTGAGCTCTTCGAGAAGATTACGGCTGGGCTCTTCACCCGAAGCGAGGATCTGAACAACCTGTTCAGAGCATGCCAGTTCGCGGCCTGCACCATCCGCGATTTCTTGGTAAGTCCCTGTGATGCTTTGACATTGGAGGACCGAGCTAAACGTTGAACAGACGCATGTCGATATGGCGCATGGAGATTATCTGGGCATGGACAGGGCCGTCGACCATGAGCTTCCGAAAGTAGTTACCCCCCATGTGGTTTTCGGCCCCATCCGCGACGCAGCCAAGCCCAGAAACAGAAGTATCGATCGACACAATGAGTACCGATATCCCGTCCTTAGTTCTGCTCTCCCATGGGTCCGGGAAAGCGAGGTGTACCGTCTGGGGCGTCACATGACCATGGGTAAGTGTTCCCGTACCTCCACCAGAATGATGCCTCGGTCATTCCGCTAACAGATCAACAGTCAAAAGTATCTGGCTCTGTGGTAGTTCGCTCAAATCAGTGATGTTCACCAACTGTCCTTACCTGGACATGAAGATCCTGCCTGAGCTGCTGAAGTCCATGCCTCGTCTTGAGGCTTTGGCCATTCATAGTTGCCCGCTAATGCATCTTGGCACAACAGCAGATCTCATGGAGCTCGTCGGGGGCTTGAATCAATTGAAGAAGGGCGAAGCTGTCTCAATCAAGCTTGACCATACCCCGTGGTTTTTTAAGGGTCCCAGACCGGGCGTCACGGAGCTCAAGAGGACATACGGGGTCCTCCCGCAGGATGAAGGAAAAATCGAGATCAAGTCAGCTGTGGCTGCGTACCTGGTCAGGATTTGGCGCCAGTGCGAGAAGTTCGACATGAATTTCTTCGCGGTGGGAACTGCGTTCCGCGCCTACCTCGAGCGAGTTCCCTTTGAACTGGCAACGTTGCCTTGCATACTCAAGGCAATTGTCAATCTGAAGGATCTCGAAAAGGGCAGATTCGGGCAGGTCAACGCAGAGACGCATACCGCCATGCACAAGACTCTCCTCTTCGATTTGCTCGTCGCTGTTGAAGGGAAATCAATGGAGCTACCTGATCTGGAGAAGCTGTTGTGCATCCGTGGCAGAATAGTGTTGATGGAGTGCATCGAGTGCCACGAGTCACTCCCTGCTTCGTTCTATACGAAGCAGATGGCGGAACGCAGGCCGGAATATCGACTTTGCAAGGGGTGCCAGATGGTCGATTATCTCGACAGACACTGTTGGGACTTCAACGAATTTCGAGTCGAACTGGCGCAACAAATTCTGACCTTGGAGCCGCTACCAGGTCAGGGTACGCGTCGTTTTGACGGTCGTGTGAACTGTACGCTCGAGGAGTTTTTGAGCTGCGATTCCTGGGAAGCCAAGCAGCGGCTCCAAAGACTCATCGGCCTCGCCGAAGGTATCGACAATCGCATCCCGGGTGAAATCAAGCGGGCCCTCCAAAGGCAGCAAGAGAAGCTCGATGAGCTGAACAAAGAATTCGTTAAGGACAAGGCCAACCGGAAAGCGGCCGAGAAGGTTGCGAACACAATCGCCAGGAAAAGATCGCAGCTTGGCGAAGAGCAGATCGGCTCGCGCGGATTTACCGACCGTCAGTCTTGGGAAGCCAAGGCCAAATGGTACAACACGATGTTGGCTGTCGATCATGGCAGTCTGGGAAACCTGGCCTCCCGTCCTGGTTTCAATAGCGATGAGCATGCCGTGGACATCGTCGGTCGTGGCATACCCGCGTTTGACTTCGATGATAAGCAGAATTGGTGATGCGTGATGCCCATCCTCATACTCTCTCTCCTTTGCCCTTTTGCACCCAACATGGCGGAGTCACAGCATTGCTTTTGCCCAATAGCGTCACCTGAGCGAGGAGTATCATGATCATCAGTCTGTGGACACTGCGCGATTCGCCTTGACGGAACCCCGACTCTTGTCATATGCGACTTGACATTCATGACACCAGTACCAGTACGCCCCTGTGCGCTAGTATCTCACACACGGAATGGTCAGATCACGAGACAGTCTCATATAGGGTCCGGCGCAAAGGATCTTTGATTTCTTTAGGCATACGGTTGCACATCGGGGAAGGAACAGCATTGACGATACCCGGTTCTGGCGGCGCGTGGCGTTGATTTCTTTCACGGAAACCTTTTCTTTTTCCTATGTTCGGCTTTCCTTCGGTTTTTCCTTCGGTTTTTCCTTCGGTGTTCTCTGCGGTTTTCCCTTCGGCATTTCTCTCTCGGTACGACATTTCTTCACACATACGAAACCACGACAACTCTCTACCTCGTTGGACTCTGGTCCTCGGATCGACACGACGCCTCTCGATCGACAACATTCTGACTACGAACACCTCCCCTACTTTGAGATACAGTCACTACCTCGTCACCCGTTTGCACCTCTAGTCCTTCTAGTCACGGTCGGCACCGCATGGTTTGGTACTCGTCTACAGAGTCCATCCACCCCATACCTATATCTCGTTTCCGGACACTGTTCACGGATTCGAACTCTGCGGTCGCCATTCCGACGATGGGTCTTCTCTTCTGCGACAGGATTGCATTATACAGGGTTCGGGACTTCCCCCTATTGGATACCCGTCCCATACCCGGCTCGATGCAACGGCCTTGGCAGATATATGTCTTGTGAAGCCGAGTACGCAGCCGATGGTTGGCTCTATACTGATCCTCCTCTATTGGATCATGCCACACCTGCTTTTCCGACAGCATTGAGATTTCCTCTCTTTGACACGGTACCTATTCCTCCACGAGACACGACAAGAACACCCACCAACAACATTTGCGCTTTACAGTTTTTCCTTGAGTTTTTCCTCGCGTTGCTTTCTCCTTGCGCTGCTTTCATCTTTCGGCTTTCATTCGCAGGAGAACATGACACCGGTGTTCCACTGAGTCACGCAATACAGTGCACTCGACAATGAAACCGGCCCAGTCTGTTTCTCAACTGCGATATCTGATTCTTTCTTCTCGCGATCGCAGACGAGACACACAAATTCGCAAACGTGCATGGAGGTTGGGCGGGCACGTCAGTTTTCCCATTGCTGGTTTCCGAGCCACAGGTGACGACGCGACATGGGAGTTGATTTCTGCGGTTGCTTTTTCTCTCTGCTCCTACCAACATATGAGGTTTGCTTTCGGCGCGGATCATGGTCAGGATGGAGGGTGTAGGATTACAGTACTCATAATAAAATCTTCTATTCCTCTTCGGGGGGGCCCAAAAACTTTGCTGGCTTCTTCTTTGCTGTGACATGTGATGATTCTTCTGTAGATTTGCTTGTGAGGCTTGTGTATTGATGGATGCATGATGGCGGGTGGTGCTGGCGTTGGCTGTGGCGACTTGGATGCAGATGCCCCTAGACGGGCCTAACACCATGACCGGGTAAGTCGTTCTAGTCTACGGGCAGCTACTAATGATGCAATAGGTTTTCTTCGTTCATGTTCGAGAAGAAAAGCCGGTATCGTCTCACTTGAGCTATGCTTTACTTCAAGATTGCATCATGTCGATTGACTCCGAGCCGTCGAATAGGGGTAAGCACAAACTTCACACCGCGATGATCTGTTCCGTCCCGTTCGAGAGGCCGAAACTTACACCGAGGCTATGAATACACTGTATATCTACTACCTATCCTTGTCCTGCACTTCTGTAGGTATGAGGCCTCGTCAAGTTGCAGCAGACATGTGAGGCTGATTAGGGTCGGCCACGTCCAGCTCTTCATGAGCCGGAGCTCATAGCATATCACTGCCGACGATGACTGATCTGCGGGTTCTCGGGTCCGCGACTTGATACTGTTCTCAGCAGGTGATTTGTTCAACTGCAAGCGCACCGGGTGGCTTGGTTGTCGCCCGAAGGAGGAGTTGGGTTTGGGGCACTGGTGAGGACATCGTAAGGAGGTGTCGTTGGAGGTGTCACGAACACAGCAAGGCCTTCCTGGGATGAGAAGGTTTCTTAATTCAGGATGTGTACACCGACTGAGTTAAAGCCGTCGCCGTGTGTTTGTGACCATCTGTATTATATTGATAATGCTAACCAGACTTGATGTCAGCACCCAGTACAGCAGAAGCGGGCGGGAAACGCCAATGCCAGAGGCGACCACCCCTATCTGTTTGGCCCTCTTCCGAAGTACGTCATGCTCCTGCAGTGCCCTCTTCCCACGATATGCCGATGACCTGACGCCGTCTCTGATCATCCTCTGTGCGAGCAGCGGTGGCAATGAACGTGTCCCCGTCAGATTGAACGAGACACGGGTGATTCAAGTCGTAGAGAACAGAGGTATTGGCCAACAGGAGCTTCCAAGCCCTCACGTCAGTCTCGCCACAGCTGAGGGTCCGCTGCACTTGGTCTTTGCCATATTTGGCTTCGAATATAACGACCCGCGATAGTCTTGCCGTAAATCCGTCAAGAGTAGCGCAAGTTGGACACTCTCCTCACCCAGGATGATTGTGAAGAGCACGGAACACGACTTGCACTTCCAACTTCCGAAAACGGTAAGAATAGCCATCAACATCCAGGACAGGGGTGAAAATCTTGCTGCCCAGCAGGCTTAAGTAGGTGGACCCCGGCCCATGGCGCAGGAGGCGAGACACGGGACCGAGGATGTTGTGGTGTCCCCTCACGTTTGACCAATAGATGGTGCTGGTACTCCTGCATGCCGAGAGCGGATTACTCACCACAATACCTACAGAATCCCCTCCTATTTCCAGAAAGCAAGGTGCGATCAAGTAGTGCTATACCACCACATTATTGTCCCATGACGATCCTGAACGAAGTCAAGGTGCCAATATCAATATTCTCACCATGGATCAACCACCCTTGGATAACGTTATATCACACTCCGTTCTCATCAGAGTTTTCGAAGGCGTTGCAGTAGCAACAAAGACTGGTGAGGCTAAGAAGGATCTCATCGTGCGCTTCATACACTCTCGGGAAGCCCCATCGCGCGATGTTGGCTCTATTTCGGAGCCCAGCTCACCACCCTGTCAAGGCCTGTCCTTTCTTGATTGGAAAGCAGCACTATCCGCTGGGCTTGATGGAGATTTACGACACCTTGCCAACATAACGCTTGCCATCTCTTTTCTCCGCGAAGCCTGTCGGCATAATGATGCGGCTACCCCAGAAGATATCACGCAATGCTGGGCTCTCATCAAAGCAGCCATGACATCCACCGAGTTGAGTGGGGGCAGATTAACTGCCTCCCGCAGCGCTCAGGGGTTCCTGTCCGTGCCGCTCTGTAGCCTAATAAGAGACGGCAACATCGATGAGCTTTTCCGATTGCACGTCTGGCTGCCAGACGGAAACCGAGGAAACCCAGACCTGACTCTCCACTCGCACCAACCCTTTGCCGAGAGTTGGGTCCTCGCTGGCGAAGGGACAGACCATTCGTACAGCGTCGAACCGGCGAGCGATGACGAGGCAACTCATGCCGAATACGCTCTCGAGTGGAGCGACGGCGCGTCTCAAAGCGCGGCATACAAGACGCAGCAGAAGTACTCGGTGATCAAGAACACGGGGAAGCTATTCCGCGCGAGACACACCGCCTCCGCGCCGCATACGCGGAATATGACATATTCGATCCCAGCAGCTGCGTTCCACAGGAGCCAGGTTGCGCCTGATGCCTTCCATGCCACTCTGTTCTACTTCGATGCCCGGCGCGGGTTTGTCAAAGATGCAGGTGTCTTGGGTCCAAAGAACGGCGATTCGTTCTCGCAGCTTCGCGAGGTCGCTGGGACTACTCCTTCGGCACTTGCGCGCATGGTCGATGCTGTCCGTGCGTGGGGAGTCTTGGTCGAAGAGGGGCAGAAACATGCTCACCGCACGGATTATGAGGCCGCTCTGCACTGCTTCGCCAGGGCCCTTACGATGTGCGGTAGCGACTCGTTTCCCAATCCAGCGGGAAGTAGGGCTATTGTCCTCGGCGAGCTCGGGAATACCTACAGGCGAATCGGCAGGTACGACGAGGCCATAGCCTTCTTAGAAGAAGCGATACAAGAGATGAAACCTGGTTTAAGTCAGGTTGAACTGGCCGGTGAGCTAGGTGTCATCTACCGTCATATGAACCGCCTAGGAGACGCATCAGATGCCTTCGAAAAGCAGTATGTCACCGCGAAGCATCTCGAATTTGACCGCGAAACGTGCCGCGCCGTCGGGAACTTGGGAATGGTCAATTATCAGTTGTCCAATTTTGACCTCGCTACACAGCAACTCCTCGAGCGAGTGCGACGCGCCCAACAACTAATGGAAGCCATCCACCCGCCAAGATCCAATGAAGACGATCGCTGGCTGAAGAAGTTCAACACTTGGGAGTCCATCGGCCTCTCCCGTCTCTCACTCTGCTACTACAGCCAGGACCGCAAACAAGAAGCGATAGAAACGTCGCGAGCAGCCCTGACGATAGCGAACGCGTCCGAGGACTCCACACTCAAGGCCATGTCGCGCTTCTTCCACGGACGAGCGCTGCTGTTAAACGGCCAACAGGCAGAGGCACTGGGCTTCTTCAACGACGACGCCCAAGGGACATGCACACCAGCCATCGCCTTCTGCAAGGAACCCTCGGACGAGAACCGCGGATATCTGAGAGAGCTGGTCAAGGCCAACGCGAAATTCGACCTCGTCGACGACCAGAGCTACACAGCCCTCGACCACGCGGTGTTCAACGGCGACAAAGAGACCGAAATGATCGTCCTGGAGGGGCTCGCCAACAACAACATGGTGCAGGATATGGCGCAGCGCTAAGCCGACTCCCGACTCCGGAAGGGGTACCGGGAGCTATTTCAGGAGAAGATCCGCGCCGTGCTGCTGAGAGGGAAGGGCGACACCCTGCGCGACATCCGAGAAGCCTACGTACGTGAGCTCTCGGCCAACCAGGCGAAACGAAACATGTTCGACGCGCTCAAAGTCATGCGCTACATCGACTTTGCGGAGTTCGGAAAGCTTCCGCGGTCTAGCGACGGACTGGCACATGAATACGCGGCAATGTCGCACAACATGCCCGTCACATACATCGTATTCTTCTCGTACCGATGGATCAACAGAGCGCCTCGTGCACGATCACCCGATGATGAACACCACACGCAGTACCGGCGCATGATAGGCGCAGTCGAGGATTTTCTTCTGTCGCACCCCTCTGTTGACAGAACGACGTTGGGGATCTGGATGGTAAGTAACCTACATACCCACCTTACCTACCAAAAGCAAATCCTCTCGTCCCTCACCCAACTCTAACTTTGGGTAATCGTCAGGACTTCGCATGCGTAAACCAAGACAACCCCGACGCCGGCGTCGCCGCCCTCCCCATGATCATCACCCAATGCGACGCCATCATCACCCTCGCAGACGACCAGTACTACGAGCGGGGCTGGTGCTGCGTGGAGGCCATCATGGCGCAGACACTCCGAAAGTCTTACGGGCTGCATCTGTGGTACGAGCAAGTCCGCGACGATCACGATCGCAACGGGAAATGGATACTGAAGAGGGCGCCTGAGCGCGAAGACTTGGGTTTGGAGAATAAGCTGCTGACTTACAAGGAGGACCGTCCGAAGGTTCTGTTCTTGGAACGGCAGAGTAAGTTGTTGGGATGAGCGACTTAGGCGTGGTTATCTGCATTCAGACGTGCGTCGGCTATCTGATGCGAGTTTGTCATACATCTGAAAGGCTCAGACAACAGGGAGTCAGGAAGAGACACTGGCAAGCACGGGTATCCATGTTGATGTACAATGCCACATTGAGGGCGCGTTCTACATCAAGGGGGTATCATCCATCTCTATCTATATCGTACAGGGTTTAGGCGGCAGGAACGGCCTCAAGTGTTCTTGACCGCTTGGGAGAGTGAGACAACATTTCTGAGGTTTCCGAAGCTGAGGGTATCGCTGATTCTCGGTGCGCCCGAGAGGAGCATCACCAGCCTGTCGACACCACAGCCCCAACCACCTGTGGGGGGCAGGCCATGCTCCAGGGCTTGGATGTAACTTTCGTCCACCTCAGCCGGTCCTTCGTCATCATTCGCCGCGTTGCTGCCGCGCGACTGCAGTTGCAGCTCAAACTTGCGTCGCTGCTCGAATGGGTCATTCTCCTCTTCATACATGTTGGCGATTTCGCGACCTCCGATGAAGAGCTCAGCGCGTGCGGAAACGAGCTGACTGGTCTTGGGGCAGGTAAAGGACTTGGACAGCGGGGACATGCAGGCCGGGTGATGGATGATGAAAAGTGGCTGCTCGAGAGACGACACCTCGAGATATTCTCCAGCAAGCTGATCCAGCAGCTTGCTCAGGGTCAACTCGGGAAGCACGGTCAACTTTGTTCGTTCGGAAACCAGGGTGCTGAGCTTGCTCAATGCATCTGGGTCTGACAAGTCCGGAACTTGGAAGCCGAGAGCATTCTCCAAAGCGGGAACGAATTCAACCTGCTTCCACGGGCCTTCTGGTAACAAAATCCTCTCCCTGTCCAGGGACCAGAGTTGACTCTGCACAAGACGGTCGGCATTGCGGAATAGGCGCATGATGAGATCTTCAGTAATTGATATCAACTCTGAAAGGTTAGAATAGGCGGAGTAAAATTCGCACATAGTGAACTCTGGATTATGCGTGGTGTCGAGACCTTCATTTCGAAAGGCCGGCCCAATTTCGAAGACCTTGTCATTGCCACCGACGACCAGGCGTTTGAGCCACAACTCGGGAGCTATCCGCAATGCTAAACTCTTCTCAGGGAATTCGGTAGCTGATGTCAAGAACGGCCGAGCAGTGGCACCGCCTGCAAAGTCAGACATGATGGGTGTCTGAACCTCTAAGAAATCTTGCTCGTGAAAGTAATCGCGCAGAGACTTTATGATGTGCGAGCGAAGCCGAAGGACGTCTGAGGTTCGCTGGTTGATGAGGAGATCGACGTGCCTGTTCATAATTATAGTCTCCTCGTTGATGAGTTTCTCGGGAAGTGGTGCCAGACCCGGGCTCAGCAGCTTGGGAATCTCAGTCGCACGTAATGACAGCTCGCCCATCTGGGTTCGGACAGCCTTGCCCTTGGCTGAAATGATATCACCACGACGAAATGGATGAAGAGCTTCTTTGAACTCATGACTGCCCAGTTCAGATGAAGAGAGCGAGGCCAGACCGATCATGATCTGAACCTGCTCATATCCGCCCTTGACGTCTACGAAGGCTAGCTTGGACCCTGCCCGTCTAACGGACATGATCCTTCCCTCCAAAGTGACTTCGTCTGGCGCTGGTGTAGACCCTTGGTGATCTTGATAGGTCTTTCGGAACGCCGGTATGCTCATGCGGTTCACCCGATCATCCAGCCTCGGGTATCTGAGCGCATTGTATTCTCTGAGCTTCTGCACTCGGTTTTCGACCGTGGAGGGGCGCCGAGCGGAGGTCTTCAACCCATCTTGCGCCGCTCCAGCCTGACCATCTGACGATGTTCTAGACGCAGAAGTCGATAGACTCCTATTCCGCGGCGCGATGCCTCTCGAAGAAACACATGGCCAATTTGTTCGAACCAAATTGTGGTAAGCGGCAGAAGAAAACCGAGTGAAGGCCGCCTTCTTAGCCGGGCGAGGATCGCGGAGGGAAGGCCGCAGAAACCGAAGACATTGTTTGCTACTCATTGCCATACTTTTAGCATGTCAGCTGCCACGGCGAATCGAGTGCTAGACAAATAAAGGGGAGGGGAGTGATTCAGGTTCAGATAAGCTGGCTAATTGAGATCAAGCACCACAGAGTGGTGTCAGTCGCAACGGTTCTAATGTCAAGCGATATCATCATTACAACTGCTAATTGGGGAGAAAGAAAAAGATCATGACTTACCCTTAGGTGAGGCATCTCACTGTAGGAGAAGAGAGAGAAGCGACCAAGTTGTGCGATGTTTGCACATTGTTCACACAGCACTTCAATTGGAAAGTTCAGACGGCCCCAGGAGGGGACTGGGGAACTTTTTCTGCCACACCGCTTTTGGCCGGTACAACTATGATCCACACACCGCCTTCCGAGTACGGCAGTGACCCGAGCTGCAGCTCCCGAGCTTTCTGCATAGCTTCGAATGGATCTTCAAGGCTCAAGCTCCCGTCTGCATCAATTTTGGAACCCTCGACCAGACGAAAAACCCAACAAGACAATATCATTTTCCACCACAACACACCACAATAGACCAACATGTCGTTCATGGGCTTCGGAAGACCCCAGCCCTCGTCGGCCGAGAAGATCGCCGCCGTCGAGGCCGAGATGAAGCTCCTGACAGAGATGCACAACCGGTAAGTCCTGCCTCGTCCCTCCAAGCCCAGGGCGCCCAAGACCAAGACATCTGCGCGCCACTTGTGGATGCAAGGCATACTGCTCTGCCTTCCCACAAACCAAGTGCTTCGCTGACAAACGCCCGTGCAGCCTGACAAAAGCCTGCGCCAAGAAGTGCGTCCCCAACGATTACCGGGAAGCCGATCTCAACAAGGGCGAGAGCGTCTGCCTCGACCGGTGCGCGGCCAAGTTCTTCGACGTCCACATGAAGGTCTCCGAGCACCTGCAGCAGGAGTCGCAACAAAGAGGGAGCGGCGGTGGTTTCGGGTTTGGTGGTTAGCAGGGAGCAAGCGTTACAATCTGTTTGACATAGAGAGAGAGCGATTGGCTTTGAGCCTTCGTGGTGAGGCTGTCGAGGCAGTGGGAGTGTACAATACGCGGATCTAGGATTCGAGACTCGAAAGACTTGTACTATTTGCAGTTCTTCGTGGACCCAGGACAGGATATATTGCGTGTACTATTGAACTACTCATCGGCCGGTATAGGACGGCCTGCAGAACGAACGATTCCCCTCATACTGGGAGTCCCCGAGTTTGAAGTGCAAGGAAAGAGACTGGCGAATATGTGATGACGACTTGCCGGTATCGCAGAATCAGTCACGGAACCATCCACCCGAGACCTATCTTCCATAGCAGCATGGGAGTCCAGCTCTTGGAAGAAGCGAAGTGGTATCGATGGAAGAAGCGAATACCATACCGCATACGACAAACACATTGAAGGATTGTTGACCTTGTTCTAGTCCCGAACAGTCGATCTGGGTCGAGAACACCACGACAATAGCATGAGGGTCTGCCTCGCAGGTGCGCGCGCTCACCCGTAGTCTCAACTAACCAAAACCCAACCTCAGAAATCGTCAAGGCGTCCGCCTCTTTAGGCATTCTATAGTTGATCCAGGGTCTCGGATATGGAGGGCAACTCAGGGGCAGCGTCTTGATCTTGTGATCAGCGCTTTACATGTTCTATGGGTGTGTTCCATGCCTCCTTTCCAATTAACGGTGTTGAGTCCATTCGAGTCCTCTTCCGTACGTGCCCGATGATGGCCAGCGCAGTCTATCTCAGAATCCATAGGTCAACCAGTCTAGAAGGCATTCCATCATCATTTGCCTTGGGATGAATGAGGCAAGAAAAGCCGTCTGTGGTCGATGTCAATAACATTCTATGGTCGTCCATAAGTAGTGACAGCGATGGGAGTTTTGTGACCATCGGCTCTCTTGTGCTGCACGTGTCGCACGGACGGCAATGTACAGTAGCATTTGTAGGTTGCGGGGAAGGCAGCCTTATGGGTTATAACATCTGAATTTCTGAAACCGCCAACCTCGGTATCTCCTACTGTTTATGACGCTGCGACGACTACAGTAGACAGTAGAAAGCCGCTGGACGTTCAATGGCAGATGGACTCAATTGTCATGATTTCAGATACGGAATGCGGATACACTGCATGCTCTAGATGTCATCACCCTCCACCATGTGAGTACCATGCAAGTATTCGACTCCTACCCGCTGTCTCGGATTTGCGAAAGAGCGTCTCGGAGTCTTGGCGGCAATGGCGGACGGTGGGGTGCATCGCCGGTGAATCGAGCTTACCCTAGGCTGGTTAGCTCCCGGGGATATGTCGTGACTCGTCGGACTTGCATGTGGGGAGTTGGCGGACTCGCTGTGCCTTCTCTGCTTCTCAACCTTTTGCATTTTGGTGAGAGTTTGGGCGCATCAATTCCCCCACACTCCCCTTCTAGAGCGCAACCACCGAGGGCTGTCATCCCGCTCGCATTGTTTCCATTCTCATCATCATTATATCGTTCTATTGAACTTCTATCAGGATCTTCTTCGCCGCCATGGACTTCGTCTAACAGCGCATCGGGATCCAAGCTGGGTCTACCCCTATCGATTCGTGAAGTGACGCCATACAGGCCCCCAAACCTACCTCCGCCGCCTTCGCCAATTGCCGCCCTGCATCGTCGCATCGTCACATTGTCGCCTCGTCTATCTCAATCCCACCGTTGCAGGCGAGACCAGCTTGGAGTCTAGACCCACCCGCCGCGTTACACAAAGATCACATCTCGAGCGTCCACCCGAGACCTGCTTCCCGCCCGCTTCCTTGAGCCGACAACTCCCTACCCGCATTCCGTAGCCTCCCGATTCCGAACCCGTCCTGGGTAATATGCGCCTCCGCCGAGCGGCCCGCGTGATCCTCGTCGGCGCCCCGGGAGTAGGCAAGGGCACCCAGTCCGAGCGCCTCCTTGCGCGCTTCCCCCAGCTGTCCGCTATCTCGTCCGGCGACCTGCTGCGTCACAATGTCAAGAATCGCACCCCGCTCGGCATCAAGGTCGAGGGCACCATGAAGACCGGTGGCCTCGTCTCCGACGACCTCATCCTGCGACTCATCACCAATGAGCTCGGCCAGCGCGGCTGGCTGTCGAGCGGCCGACCGAACGTCATGACGCTATCGTCGTCGTCAGCCGCTACTCCGAGTGAGACATTCGATGGCTCTGCTACTGCAGCGGCTGTCCAGGGTGTCGACGCCTTCATGTCCAGCCTGGAAATGAACCCGCACGCGGACGCCCACCTTTCCACCACCGCATCCGACGACCCCTCCGCTTCCTTCCTCCTTGACGGCTTCCCGCGTACAGCCCCGCAGGCTGAGCGCCTCGACGACATCGTGCCCATCAACTGGGCCGTGTCTATCCAGACGCCCTTCGACGTGATCATGTCGCGGATCGCATCACGTTGGGTGCACGAGCCGTCGGGACGGGTCTACAACACTGGTTTTCACCCGCCGCGTGTTCCGGGTCGTGACGACGTCACCGGTGAACCCCTCGTTCAGCGCTCCGACGACGGTGAGGAGGTGTACAAGGCCCGCTTCCGCAAGTTCCAGGAGACCTCCGAGCCTCTGCTCGAACACTATGCTCGCAAGGGCGTCTTGTGGGAGGTCAGCGGCCTAAGCAGCGACGAGATCAGCCCCAAGCTGTTCAGGGAGTTCGAGAAGCAGTTTCTATAGTGGCAAGCACGAATTGACCAGCTGGCTTCAAACCCCTCCTCGCTGATGTGTGGATAAAATGGACAAACAAGTGCATATTATTTGGCTGACTGGGTACCTATGGGATTGCTTGGGTAAACGAGAGGGCGCGCAAGATTGCTCGATGGCGTTCAGGGATTGCATCAGTCGATTGGTTGGCCGGCTTTGTTGCTTTTTTCGGTCTATGTGCGCTGTACAGTACATACGTACCCCAGTTTGACAACATTCGTGTCGCCCTTATAAATACGAAATAACTATTCAACATTACTGGGCTCTGCTTGAGAGTGTCAAGCATGGATCTCTAGATCTTATTCAGGTAGGCCAAGGGCGACTGAGTCAAGAACGATGCAAACACTCCAATTGCGAAGTAAGTATTTTGACCAACGGACCTTTCTAGGCGCTTTAATAAATCTATTTTCATGTTCGGTGCGGTGGTCTAGCACTGAAGATGATGTGGTGAGCCTAGCCGTACACCTTGATCCATGTGTCGTTGACTGCTTCTTTCCCCTTTTCTTTTCCTTTAACTGACGCATGCATGAAAAGCCGCCGGGAAAGCCGATGCAGAATTAAAAGTTTTCAAATGTTTTGACTCTACCTTTAATCTACCTTCACCTGCGGACGAGGCCTCCTCACGTTACGGTAGCGATGAAGGCGGTCGAAGCCTATCGCTCTCAGTATGACACCAAAAGGTACCTAACTAGATAGGGGGAAGCGGAGTTCCAGCCTTGCAGCCCCTTTTTTAGCATGGCGGCAGACGAATCGACCATCTAGCTGGGCTTTCCGCATGGTTCTGACCGACTGTGCTTCCCGTTCCCCCCATGGGGACCAGACCAGACCAGACCGCCGGTGTGGTGTCACACTCATCGCCGCGTTATATTAGTCGTTGATTATTTCGCACGAGGTATCAGACCTGCTGATAAACCGTGACTTCATTGGTCTCTACGAAGTTGGTGCGGCCTCAGCTTCGATTCACACCAAGCATGTCGAATCACACGTGATATATATCATCTGTAGGCCGTGTTGCTTCTACGGGCTGTACGTCAGTGAGAGATAGTACTAACCTAGAAGCTTGTGGGATATATTGCGGAGTGGCTTGGCCCAAGAACGCGTAGTGACACACCCAAGCCGTTGAGAAAACATCTGCGCAATGAGCCTGCCGAGCGTTGGTTCAGCTGACGGCATGCTACACTCAGCCCTTATAACTCTCCGTACGCCCACGTTGATAGGATTCCATATCACCCATGGGAGATTTTTCAAAGAGTTACCGGAATAAAGCATACAGGAATAAGCAGCTCTGGTTCGATACGTCGCCTTCAATGCTTATTCCCCGTGTGCTTATTTCAATTCGATGAATATAGCGTTGTATGCTGGACGGGTGGGTGGTGTACGGAGACTTACGAGGGTTCAGTTTACCTATCTGCTTGTTAAAGAAGTTTCCAATAGCGTATAAATGTCCAGGAGTAGTAATGGTTAGCGGTTCCACGTATATCTACAATGGTAATAGGTAGAACTTTACGCGGTAGGAACTTTCTCGTAGGATTCGTATTATAAGAACTTTCATAAGAACTTTTATAGGAACTTTCTCGTAGGAACTTTCTCGTAAGAACGTCGTTGTTAGGTATATATCAGCATGTTAGTTACACGTAGAATCGCTCACCATTACCATCCTGGACACCTGTAGTGGCGTCGTTACGGGTGGCAAGATATAATATCAGAAGCCCATCACCTCGGTCAAGGTACGAACAAGGTCAACATGCCATCCTCCACAATGTCGGGACCGCCGTCTACAGTCACCCGTCTCCATTCAGGATACTCGTCTCTTCTTCCGCGACACCGAACCGGCCTTGCCGTCTCTATGATGCGACTTCAACGACCCTTAAAACTTAGAAGCCAGATAAGTGCAAATTTCGACGCGGTCAACCCGGCCACTCCCGGCGACACAGCCTGCTAGTATCTATTGAGTGTCAGCGAAGAGGGTGCACATGGTCCGAGCATCCTCTAGTATATATTTCGGCAAGAGCGAAGATGGACCCCCATGGTCCACGGCCACGGCTTCTGTTCTGCCAGTTCTGCCTGGAGATTCCCTTTTATCCACTGTACGCCCCACACCCACACTCGGTTAGATCACATGATGAACGAGTTCTTTGCCGTCAACTGCGTTCTGCTACATAGTTAAAATGGAGGTATCTTTGGAACTTTCCTTGGTCCTGATTCTCCATATTCTGGCATGATTACGTGTCTGGTTGTTGGACCAGGGCTTTTGGCTCCAGCTATCTAGGTACGTACTTGATCGCCAATTCTGGGTGCATATGGTTCGGTGTCGTGATCGTCAGCATCGTAGCAGGCATATAAGTATGGTTTCTACCGCCCTTCAAATCATCGTAGTCAATATCAACATCAACATCTACATCAACCCAAGAACGACCACCAAGACCCGACACCCACCAAGCCCCAGCCGGTACACCAGACAACCCTTCTCAGACCTGCCATACCAGACCCTCGGCACAATGCACTTTTCCAAGCTCTGTTCGATCCTCCTGTGCGCCGCCGGTGCCATTGGCGCTGCCCTCCCCGCCAAGAGCAGACTACAGCGGGCGCCCGTCAACGAAAGCGACGACAACCTTCAGGCCCGCGACATCGCCGGGATAGATGACGTGTTCAATTGTCTGGCTCTACTAGCCGTGGAATATCTGGTTGAAGAAAACTTTCACGGCGACAGGGTGGACATGCTGGTGGAACTTGTGACCTTTGGCTTCATCACCGCAGACAGTCAAGAGTGGTATCAGGAGACGTTTCCAGACGGCATCAAGCAGACGAAGGGGGAGGGACTCACACACAACGAAAAAGAGGCCCTCAAAAAGGCTCACACAACTGAAGCGGAGGAAGATTTCACAGCAATCAAGCCCGAAGTGAAGAAGGAGATGATTGATTATGATGCTGGTTCTGATGCTGGTTCTGATTCTGATGGCGATAAGATGGATGTCGACTCTAATCACGACTCTGATGTCGAGATGACGGGGATGCGCCGTAGCTAGTCGCGAACTTGTTGTTTCGAGTCGTTCGTTATCTTCTCAGGAGTCAAGGCGTTCCGAGTTATTCCTCAAGGGGCAGGGTCCCTTGGACAGGCAAGCAATATATCACACTCTTTTCGCATCATGTGCAGTGCCGCGCTGTTGAATGCGTGATGTAAGATGTTTTATCTTATGATGTTGAGGGTATAACTTACTTTACACCCTGAATCAAGGTCAGAGATGTTCAACGAAGCGTTCTAAGACATGGCAGCCCGAGGATTTGCCTTCATCCAAGACATGGCCGCCACAGACTATGTTGTGCCATTAACGAGTCGTCAAAAGCGTCACGGCCGGTTGGAGTGGTCGCCGCAGTATCAACAAAACGGGCGTTGAGAACACGCCTGAGCCGCGCACCAGGGACGGCCTCGAGCGGCAGTCCGGGGTCAACCACGTCTCGAGCTGGCTGCTCTTCCACGAGGTCAAGGCGGTGCTGCTCGCCTCGTCGACGGTCGACTTCCATTCGCGCGCCGTGTTCGTGTCGGCCAGCCACAGCGCCAGCGGCATTCGCAGTGCCAACCTGAGCCTTGAGGGCGTGAACCAATTGTCGTTTGGTTTGGAGAGAGTCTTCAAATTAAATGAAAGTCCTACGAATACCTACTCATCGCATTGTTACTACGCAGGACTGCACGTATGTACCTAGTGCAGGCCAACAAGCATCTTGTACGAACTGGTGGATGCTCCGTCTTCAGGGGAAACTCGAAGTGGATACATACCTACCTAGCTCTGCTTATGTCATCTCAGCTGCCCTAATTGAGCCTAGTCCGGGCTTCTCCACACGAGCTGAAACATGACTTTCACGGGCTGGAGCCTGGCACCCTGGAAGGAACGAAGGAAGGAACGAACCTTGGAAGTTGGCTCGTATTTCACCTGCAATGTTGGACAAGCCCGCATACATGTATGGATTCACGCCAGTGCCGTGGAAGTGACGGTCCAAGACTTCAACTTCAACAGGTCTGCTATTCTACCTACAATCCGGGCGGTATTCTGACTTCAATGTTTCTGCCTCTGCCATCTCTCTACTGAATTCATCGCCCCTATAGTCTATCGTCCCTCTCCCCTTCTCCCTTCATTCTGTCCGACCAGTCATCCCATCGGCGCTCCTCCAGCCGAGGATTACGCTGCTTACGGTCGTTTCAAATTGACCGAGGCATCACCAACTGCCTTGTCGAGCGCCATGACTTCCATGGGTATAGTAATGTCAAATTGAGCCCTCCTCCCGTCTTTTCTTCATGGTCCTTTTCTTTCTAATCGCTGTGGAAGTCGATGAGGCCTTCCTCTCCGGATTGGCTTCATTGAGCTATGGCCCAAGGCCAGTTGACCTGGTTGGCTCTCATTCGAGCCATGCCGTTGTTGGCGCTGCTGGCACTTGGCGCCGCGACCCAATCCTCGTCTGCACCGGATGAGAATAAGTCGTCCTCGGTCCAGGAATGTCCCATATTCTTCAAAGCCATCCAAACATGTATACCTATCGCTCCAAAAAGTTTTCTACCCGTTGGCATGGATTCCGCCACGGCTACTGGAGGCCGCCGTACCCTAGGGGTTGATGCCTTCGCCAATATGCTCGACGCCATGAACGTTATGCAGACGGAATACTTCGCACCATGGCTTGGTACCTGGCCCGACGCCATCGACTGGACAGCTGCCGTCATGGGCACGCACATTTCAGGCGCAGCACGCACTCTCTCCGAAGACTTACCCTTCTTGAGTTCCGACGACGGCCGCACGATTGATTGGAGTCGAGCCTCCAATCTGGTCGACAACTACCTCGGTCAGCTCATAGGGTACTATTTCGGCCAAGATGCATTCGCCATCAGAAACGAGGCATACGATGACATTCTCTGGGTCGTGCTCGGCTGGCTTGAGACCGTTCAGTTCGTCAACACACACTCCGATCTGCATTACAAGCTCAAAGATGAGGATCTTACCCAAGCTGGGAGCCCTGATGCAGAAAGTTTTGGTATTGGGGTCGTGAACGTCCTGTCGAATGAAACTTATCATGGCAACCTCTGGATTCCAGCCTTCTCCCACCGCGCTCGTATCTTCTGGGACCTCTCTACGCATGGCTGGGACACAAGGCTATGCGGAGGGGGCATGGTATGGAACCCTCACCTGGAACCCTACAAGAACGCCATTACCAATGAACTCTTTATCGCCGCGTCTATCTCAATGTATTTGTATTTTCCTGGCGACGACAACCAGTCTCCGTTCTACAACCGGTCGGACACTGTCAATCCCGACGACCCAGACCTGCACATCTACAGCGGACCAAGGGGCGCCAGGTACCTAAAGGCGGCCGTGGAGGGCTACCGATGGCTAGTCAGCTCAAATATGATGAACGACCATGGGCTGTATACAGATGGCTTTCACATCAGCGGGTATGCTGACACCGGTGGTAACAACACGAGGTGTGACCGGCGCAATGATGAAGTCTACTCTTACAACCAAGGGGTCATCTTGACAGGGCAGCGCGGCTTATGGGATGCTACCGGTGCCTCTTCGTTTCTTCGGGATGGACACAAGCTCATTCAAAGTACCATCAAAGCCACTGGGTACGATCTTGTTTCGAATACGGCCGTCGATGATATTTCAAGCCTGAAGGAGGGCGAGCTTCCACCATGGCGGGGCTTAGGCCGCCTCGGTGTAATGGAAGACACGTGCGATGCAAGTGGGAGTTGTTCTAGGGACGGTCAGACCTTCAAAGGCATCTTTTTTCACCACCTCACAGCATTCTGCGCGCCACTAGTCGCACCACAGCCTTCTTCCGGGATGTACGCCGATACCCGTGCTTTTGCCGCCATCGAGAAGTCACACCATGACGCATGCATCTCTTATAGCAGCTGGCTGGGACACAATGCACACGCAGCGATCGGAACGAGAGATAAGCACGGCAAGTTCGGACAGTGGTGGACGGCCGGCCTGCTGATCAGCCGCTGGACCGGTCCATGGCCTACTAAGACTGACGATGGAGTGCCGTGCGAGACCAACGGTACGGACTATCGAAACTACGGCGTCCCGAACGACACGACATGGCGTGGCCCGTCCTCGGATCACGACCATGCAAAACCGCCACAGGACCCCTTTATTCCACCACCACATGAGCAACCAAGAACGGATCAAATGCCCCTGAGAGAGCCCACGAAACAACAAGACCCAGTGGGCGCCGAGAAGCAGGTAAACCGCCAGCTCAACACAGATGACCCCAATAAACGCGGCCGCGGCCGCACCGTCGAGACGCAGGGTGGGGGGCTGGCGCTAATGCGGGCGCACTGGAAGCTCGCCCACGGGAAGATCGCCCACGGCCCCTAGTACGACGATGACGACGACGACGACTACTGTCCGATCATGTCATGCGCGTGTTCAGCAACCGGGATACCATGGCTTGTGTGGCACTTTGAGAACTACTGGCGTAGTCTCCTCATGGGGCTTGACGCTGGGTGGATTCTTGGTAACCTTCTGGGCTGGTGGTTCTTCGGAGATGACTATCTTTAGGGATGGGATGGAATCGGATGGAGTGAAGATGAATGGGTGTACCTAGATATGTGAGATGACACCTCACGATATGATAGAACCACTACACCATTGCTAACCGACCTTGCTCAATTTCGTTCGAAGAAATCACCTTGCACGCTTCATGAACTGTCTGTGGAATGCACTCCGGCCATTTTACCCACGGCCCATACTAGGCTTACTAGGCAAGGCACGAGTACTGTTTCGTATGGTAAATTTGTATATTCTCAGGATCCCAACCCACGCCTGCCGATGGCCCCCAAATGTGGTACTACAAAGCAAGAGAGAACCGCCTCAATCCCGGGCGAATACACATCATCAGGCTTGCCAGATAAATCAAGAAAAACCCGAGTACCGCTCCACCGGAGCACCCGGCTTTCCACACCATACTCCTCTCTCCAGAAGAGAATTCCTATTCCTACGCATGGGAAGGGACCTAGCTGTCTCGCCACTCATTTCCGTTACTCACGCCGCTAGGAACCGTCTTATTCGTGTCCCCACGCGACGATGACCCCGAAGGCAGCGTCCCATCTTCCTCATCGTCGTCATCTAGGGCGTGCGCAAGCTCATCCGGGTCTTTCATCTTGGCGTCGGGATCGACACCACTGTCATTGAAGGCGTCATTGTCATCATTGTCGTGGTGGCGGTCTTGCTCCAAGGTAGTGTCGTCGGCACTGATGGATATGCCCCTTGCGCCCCACTTGGACCGGCGCTGCTGCGACGAGGCGGCATTGCCGTTCCCGTTGCCGTTGGTGTTGTGTCCACCGAGGGCGGGGGCGCTCTCCTCGTCGTCGCCCTGGTCAACGTTCTCGAAGCGCTTGTTGCCGAAGATGCGGTTGAGCAGCCAGCCGCGGCGGATGTCGTCGGCGTCGACGACGCCGCCGGCGCGCAGCTTGACGCGCTGGCGCGTGTAGTAGACCCAGAAGAAGTCGAGGTAGAGGGCCGTCTGGATGACGCCGAAGATGATGGACACGGCGTTGGGTTTGATGTCGTTGACGTCGATCTCGCGCCAGATCCAGTTCAGGCAGTACAGCCCGCGGTACGCGCCCAGCGTGAGCAGGTAGAAGGAGTCGATGACGGTCGGCACGGTCGTCTGCCGCAGGAGCAGGAGCTGCGGGAGAATGCAGACGGATTCGAGGATTTGCGAGAAGTCCCAGAGCCACTGTTGCACGGGACCGGTTAGTCACGCACGCACGACAAGGGTCTCGCGAGCTCCGGCCAGGGGGAGGAGCCACTAACCGTGAAGAAGGACCACCTGTCCTTGCCCTCGAAGATCAGCATCGCGAAGGGCGATAGAAATAGCGACGCCGCGAGGGCAGCGCCACCGAGCTTCCAGGCGATCTCGCGCTCCCGCGTCCGAGGGTAGATCCACCTCATGATTCCAACGATGTAGATGCTGCTGGTGATGTAGAAGAACTTGAAGCACCAATTCCAGGTCGATGTCTCGCGAAAGAAATCCGTGTAGCGCGAGAGAAATACGAGGGTATAGAGGCCTTGGGTTATCATCGAGACACCTGGGAGGAAAGACCATGTTAGCTGACATTATTCTGTGTGGGGAGGTGGGAGGGCAAGCGGTGCTCGCGGGTGTCTGGACTGACCTTCAGCACTCCTGTTACGGTGGATGGCGAAGATCAAGATGCATTTTGACAAGAGATGGGAGCAGTCTCCCAATATTCGAAAGATCTAGAGCCCAATCAGTCATGTGCTCCTCGTGGATATCTCTCGTGGTGGTGGGAAGACCGACGTTCCAGCCCATCTTGTAGGAAAGTTCCCCGGGAAGCTATCGTGGGGTTCGTAGTTGTATGGGTCGTCGGTGGCTGGGCGAGCTTGCTTTACATCTCATGGATGAATTGCGCAAAAGAATAGAAGCGGCTATATTTCGCAGCTTCTCTCGAAATACTCACGGGACGAGCAAAGATGTGTCAAGAAGTAGTTGAAGCACTGGCTTGCTGGGAGATGCTCTCGAGATGGCCACTACGTGGATGCTCACAGCTTAATAGTTCCGGCAAGAGATCCGGGTGACGTTGCCTGTGGCTGATCCTGGCAGTCTCCACTACTTAGCCACGGCTTTTAGCGCCACAGCTCAAAATAGGTACACCCTCACCTTTAAATTGCAATTGCACCATCTGCTTCTCAAGATTCCCTTCACGCAACCAACAACGAAGCTTCATAGAGAATGAGACTCAGTATTGCGTACGTCTACCAAACATACCGAAGATGACTCTCCTACGGGATGCATGCCCCTCGTCTCATTGACTCGTCCGATATCCTCGAAAAGCGGTGAGATTTATCCTACATTCATGGGTTTGAGGAAGCTCTTGTGGCTGCCTCCCAACCCTTCTGCCTGTCATACAATCCAAACTCGTTGATCTTGGTTTTCTTTGTCCTGTTCTGATCCTTCCCGTATGCGATGGCCTCCCATACCTACGTGCGTGTCCAGATGTGAAGCGTTTCAAAGCAGAAGCAATGGCAACAAACTGAAACAGAATCCTTTGCCAGGGTCCCCTCAGTTCTCATCTTTCATTGATGGGAAATCAGATGCGTCTGGGGCCTTTTGCCGCCAGATACGTCCCAAGAAACGACCATCTCAGGGAGCTCACAGCCTCCATCGTGGTCATCCCCACAGCAGCTCTCCCTAGGCCAGTGAATGAATCACTCCTCAACTCCCTGGATGGGCTCAATGCGATCCACGCCGAATTCCAACGACCACATCGAGCTTGGTTTGATGTTACCCTGAAGATGGTAGCACTTGGCGCTGCAAATGTTGAAAGTGCCCTCGTCATTTTCGTTAACGAGCACATCTTCCATCACGACATCTTCCTCTTCTTGGCCCGAGCTGGCATCGGTTTGAGCCTGGACTTCCTCATAGCGAGCGAACTCCTTGTCGCCAAAGAGGTCGTCTTCATCCCCGATATCTTCGAAGGCCGGCGAGGATGGGCGATTATGATACTGAGCAGATCCCTGGTCGCCAGAAAGATAATCGCCATTGCCAGCTTTCTCGAAGGTAGGTAGAGGCTGGCGATTCGTCTGCTGGGCGGATTGCTTGTTGCCAGCGAGATGGTGGTTGTCGCCCGCCGTGCCTTCCAAGGACTCCATGGGCTCAACACTACCATTCATCCGACCAGCCTGCGCCTTCTCCCGAGACGGCGTGGCTCTGCCGCTGCGTTGTTGATCCGGCATTGCAGTATCGTCCTTGGGCAACAATCCATCTCGGCTATCTTGCCTGACTGAACGAGGTGGTGTAGGAGCTTCCTCCCAATGGACCCGTTTGGCAGGCGGGCCAGAGTCGCTCGACGCACCTCTCCGACGTTTCCGACGGTTCTGACAAGTCGAGTGGATATAACGGCCATGACGCATGGCGGTCCCGTCACGGGCAAGCCTGTTCTTCACCCACCGAGCAGCTCTACCGTCCTCATCAACATACATGCCTTGCACCACAACCATGTGTACTTGTGCCTCGCTTCCATGAGGGTCTGGCACAGGCTGGCATTGATGCTTCATCTTCGACACGTATCTATTATACTCTTGGGGTATCATCGCTGCCACGTAGACCGGGGTTAACAGCCCTGCATCGCGAGTTTTGCGTTGCTCTTTATCGTAGGCCGTTTCATTATCCCCTTCTCGCGGGCCGGTAGATGCTTCCGTAATATTGTCGCTATCATCGTCCCTGATGACAACAGGTTCCTCATAATCAATGGTTGCCGATGATGCAGGAGACTGGAGGCCGGGTTCGGACTCCAAGGCGTCTGGACCGGTGGGTGTGCTTTCTCTGGTGGCCATGGGCGAGGGGGGAGCTTGGACCTCGGGGGCAGCTGCATCGCATGGTTTGCCGGCGAAGTTGGTCCATTGCGAGAGCGCATTGAACGGGGTCTTATGCATCAGCGACAGGAATGAGCATGTAGCCGGGGCCTCCAGATCGACGAGGTCTTCCCAGATGGTGCCAGTGCGGGTTCTCCAACCGACGGTCATCAGCTTCATGAAGTCCTCGGCAGGAGGGGTCGGACACTCCGGAATGCCGACGTTGATGGACTCGTGCTTCCAGAAGTCGACATCATATGATCCCCGCATTGATAGCCAAATCCAGACAGCCCAGGCTTCGAATCGACTTCCATCTGTTTCGACGAGCTGGGTGACTTTCCGGCGGAGAGCGAGCTCAGCTTTGGCGCAGCGAATGCAGGGTTTGGTCAGGAACCCGGTGGCAATCTGCATCTGGACCACGTTCTCGTTCTTGAGTTGGCACATCCACTTCCAGAAGACGGAACTCGGCTCCATCTCAATTCCCTCGATTCCCCCATTTGGAGTGAAGGTAGGCGTCTTGCAGAGGTTGCAGCAGGGCACCCACAGGGTAAGGCTCCGGTGGGAAAGCTCGCTGAGTCGGGTCTCCCAGTGTGCATCTGCGTTGGCAATCTTGTTCTTGCAATGCTTGTGATACACCATGCGCTTGATGCTCTGACTGACATACTTCCAGTCGGGCGGGAAGTCAGTATCGGCAAATTCCATCTCGTCGTCATCGGTCTCTTCACTTGCAGCGATCGCCGGCCGAGGATATCTAGAGTGCTCTCTCCGGGCGTCATCGTTGATCTTCTTGGCCTCGCTGATGTTGTTGTACCAGATAATAGCCCTTCGAAGGCAAACATCGCAAACATGAAGGCTCATGTCTTGGGGTGATGGGGCGAGGGGCCAGGTCATCTCCGGGCAATAGAAGCGGTGGCCTGGGGGGAGAGGTTTGTCGCCTTTAGGATCGTAGTACTTGTCATCCTCGATACCGTTGCAGCGATGGAAGAGGTACAGGTCATTCGCCGTGCAGACCACGCAGAAGAGACGCGTTAAACCGCACATGGTGGCTGACTGGTTGCGACGTGTTGGCAGAGGTCAGATGGCAGGTAGCTGGTAGCTGGTAGTCGCTGCGTCAGCGATCGGACGAAGTGGCAAGATGGCCATCGAGAGTGCAGGAACGCCGTGTGCATCAGATCAGATCGAAGGGATACACATACCTGCAGTGCGCAGTGTTATGAATGCGGCGCCCTTGATCAGGGTGCAGAGGTTCACGTCACAGATCAAAGAGTGTGCAGTTGTCGAGATGTTTCGCAGGCGCGTGGAGAGATTGTGAGATTGGGATGGGAAAGAGTCTGCCTTGGATGTTAGCACCGCACTGGGAAACCGTCGCGCTCTGAGGCGGACGCGTTAAATAGATGCCTCACCGGAGCAATGAGGCGACAATGGTTGCTGTGGTAGGCAGGTAGGTCGTTGCCAGCTGAGGGGTCTCGGTGGTGGAGGGGGAAACTTGAAAGCAAGCACCTGGGATGAAGATGGTACTCTGGCGATGGGATCAGATGGGCTTCTGAATGGGATGCATCAGTCTCACTGTCTTGCCAATCTTCTCAGTGCAGGATAATCTCATTCGCGTTGCTCATGTGTGCACGTTGGGGTGGAGGTTGCAAGGCATCGGTGGGTGCGAATTGTGGAAGGTAAGGTATGTAGCTATTGTGAGCCTCAGGCACAATGGCGGCGGCGAGGATGCAGTACAATGTATGTAGGTACCTACGCTGCTGAACTGGTGCGGGCGTATAATGTCCTGCCTGGATGGCGCATTGTTGTCAGGTCATTGTCATGGACTACCATCCATTGTTTTTTCTCGGACTGCGCACCTCGGTTTTTGTGCAGGGACCTAGGATAGGGGTGCCTTAGCTGGGGGAGCGAGGTGCTGTGAGGTACGAGGGGTATGGAACAGGTACCTGAGTGTGCTTGCTGTCGGGCAGGAGCCGAATACCTTAGGCATTGAGAAGTTAGGCCAGATGTCCCAGAGTCCCGGAGGCCTTGGGCGGATGAACTCGATGTCATGATGGAAGCACTTGGGGGCCTATGATGCTCAATACCAGGGTTTCACTGTGATTTCGTTGCAAAATCGAAGGTGGTGAACTTAGGGGCACTACGAGAAGGGATACCTGCAGGAACGACGGTGGTAGTTATTAATACTACTGGACAAGCTGAACTGACATTGTAAGGGGCGGTTTTGGTCATCAGCTGAAGGGTTGAGAATGATCATAGGTTGGTACTAGAAAGGGGTGGTGGGCTACAGCGTGGGCGGTGGTCTAGGGGTTCTCGAACACGATGCCTACGATGTAGGCCTAGGAAGATATTTTCGAGGACGAATCTGACTACAATGTGGCTCGCCGTACGAGCTGGTTTCTGGTTTAAATACTTGATGGACGTGAGTTACAGACTTCGATGGGAAGAGGCCGCTGAGTCTAGACACTTGCGGCGGAATATTTCTGTACATATGATCTGGAGCAGCAGAGGTAAGTTTGTGGAAAGATATATGTCAAGGTAAGTTACGGCCCTTGAAGTATACTCGTCTCAGGTGGGCAGACGTGGTTCGTATGGTATTGGAGCAGGTCGTTGATCATCATTGCTGAAGAGGACATGTTGCAGAACATGGGCAAATGCAGCGAGCAGGGTATCGACGGTGGACATGCACATATACCGTTGGATATTACGACGAATGTGGCCTCATGGGAAACCCCTCGCTTTCTCGTGCGGTTAAGGGTGGACGTCTAGCATCAAGCCTGCTACACTCAGCCCTCATAAGTCTTCTCACGCGCACGTTAACAATATCCCAGATCCCTCGTAAATCATTTATTATACTGAAATAAACATACAGAAACAAGCAGTTGTAATGTTATAAGCTACTTTTTACGCTTATGCTACTGTGTTTATTCCAATCACGATGAACATACTGTTGTTTGCTGGACTGGTGGTATGCGGAGACTTATGAGTGTTTAATGTCCTTGCTTATACTGCTTGTTACCTTAGGACGAATATGTCTCCGGTTGATACACTGACCCGCCATAAGTCTCCGAGCATCCCCGCATTTACACCAAAATGCCCTACCTTTACACTTTTATAACTAAAGATTTAAAGCTTTTTAAAATGAGATATTATAAGAAACTAATATTTGAAAATGCTGAAGTTTTTGTAACTAATTTCTAAATATTTATTTTCTTAGCGACTAAAATGTTAAGAAATAGATATATAAAAGTAAACTTTAAAATCTTAAATCTTAAATCTTAATAAAGCTATAAGAAATGTTTAAAAAATCGTATAAGTCGTAATAAAGTTATATAATATTAAATGACATGTAATACACGTATAAGACGAAAAACCTTATGTGATAGAATTTTTAAAAAATAGATATATTAGAAAGTTATTTTTATCGAAAATTTAACCTTTAATAAAGTAACATTTACGACCTTTATCGTTAAGATGTTAAAGTTTTTAAGTAAACCATTTTAATATTCCAGTAAATTTAACTATATGTACTATAACTACTTAAGTTGTATCTATTTTACTCGATTTATCACGATCGCGTAAAGTTGGGATGTTTTGGTGTAAAACAGGGATGCTCGGAGACTTAGGGCCGGGGAGTGTATAAGGGTTTGGAGTATAAGGAGGCTTGGTCGAGATCATATCAAGATCTAAATACATCGCGGAAGCGGTACCCCTATCTTGACCCCTTGAGTAAACGGAAAGCCGTTTCTCGTAAACCCTTAAGATTGTACCGTGAGGGATACTTGAAACCAGATAACATACTCTATTTACTCAAAATCGTGTTAAGCCCACCCTCCAGCCTGTCCGACGCGGATAGGGATAACGTCTATTATAAAAGCTTATATTCCCGAAGCCAGATTCCTCGTTCTTGGCGAGAGTGGTGATCGAACTAACCCTACTAGACAATTTCCGTCCGCTGGAGTAACTGTGAAGGGATCAGCGGCCATGTCGTCTGTGGAAACCGAAAGTTCGAAACTGTTACTAGGCGTCGTTCGAGAACAAAGGAGTAGGGGTTTCACTAAAACCTAAACAGATCATATTAATAAAATATTTAACATTAGTTAATAGTATAATTAATTCAACGTTAAATAGTGAAAATTTCGTGTTATATTTAATATTATTTTTAATAGTATTTCTTAGTATAGTTATAGCATATATACTTTATATTGATAGATATCGACCACAAGGGGGAGGAGTTAAATTATAACTATGGCAAATTTAGATCTACAGTAGCTAGTACTGAGAATAACGATGGTTCTTGTTAAACTTGATTAGATAAAACATCCGAAAATGTTTAGTCCAAAAATATTATGTTCACGTGCTTATCCTGAAGGAATAGCCACAGCAGTAAGAATTCTGGTGAAGTTCCAGGATTTTAAGCTAACCCTAATAATTTTTATTATACTAATTACAACCCTGATAAATATATTACATATAATTTACCTCATAAGGGCAATGACTGGGGCTACTTTCCCCCAGCATGGGGATTGATCTTAATAATAATTATTGAGTTCAGAATAACCCTATAAATAACTTAGTTTAATAGAGCTATAGCTTTATTCAAAAATAAATACCTAATAAAAATTATAACAAATAGTATATATATTAAGTAGGTGCAATAATTATAACAATAAAAAAAAATGTAAAGAGAATTGATCGAGTGGTTTAAGATGGTAAGCTTGAGTCTTATTTGGCCTAAATAGGTCACATCCGTTCGAATCGGATATTCTCTGAATTAAATTCATAAGTAAATTTGACAATTTAATATATCTATATTAAAATTAGGAATAAAGTATTTAATAGAATAAGATTTATCTTTATTCAAAAATAAATACATAATATAAAATTATATTAATAATTAATATATAAAGGATATATATATATACGGATTAGGGCCGGGTAGGTTAGGCGTCTCATTTGGGTTGGGAACTAGTTACGTTCGAATCGTAATAATCCGAAACCCCAAATTTATAGTGATATAGTGTACTAGATATAGAAAAATATTTATATTATATATAAATAAGTATACAAAGAGACTATTAGGGATCCCTGTAAGGAGCTATGTATTAAAGAGCGATAAAATATTAAAAAAGTTATGTACTAATAAATATACATATAAACTCTTAGAGAAATTAAATAATAAACGAAGGCGAATTGAAATATCTTAGTAGCTTCAGGAAAAGAAATCAAACGAGATTCTACAATTAGTGTGAATGAAAGTAGAGTAGCCTATATACTAAACATAGTATATTAATAAGTAAAATGGGCACAAATCTGTTTAAATATTAAGGGGAACCTTCCTCTAAGGCTAAATATAATACATAAGCGACAGTGAATAAGTACCGTGAGGGAACGGGTTGAAATAGTAGTTTTATAAGCAGCTCGAGCTAAGGCAAGAGCGTACCTTTTGCATAATGGGTCACCAAGTTAACATTAGATGCGAGCAATTTGCGTAGTTAAACCGATGATCAAAAATGAATTAGTGTCTAAAGTTAGACCCGAAGCTAGGTGATCTTACTATAGTCAGGATTATAAAAGTCCGAACGGGTTATCGTAGCAAAGATATCCGAAGAACTATGGTAAGTATAGTGAAAGACAAAACTGACCTAGATAGCTGGTTTTCTGCGAAACCTATAATAGTAGGCAATTTAAGTAACATCTTAGCAGGTACAGAACTTAATCTCAGGCAAGATGTTTAAAATTTGTTTAAAAGTTGTAATAGACTTTTAAATAAATCTACATTTTAGTTTGTACATATCGGGGGGTCGTAGAGACTTTATCGGTGAGTATGTAGACTCGGAATGGCAAAGATGAATCTTGAATTATCAGACATAGAATGATAAGGTTGTATGTCAAAAGGGAAACAGCCCAGAACAAGAGTTAAGGTTCCGAAATTATTATTAAGTGAAATTAAGAAAGTTTTTATTCAAGTCGACAAGGAGATGGGCTTAGAAGCAGCCATAATTCGAAGATCTCGTAACAGAGCGCTTGTTAATTTTTAAAGGCATCTA